AGCTACGCCGTCAGTGAGCTACGCCTTCAAAGTCAGCTACGCCGTCAAAGTGAGCTACGCCGTCAAAGTCAGCTACGCCGTCAAAGTGAGCTACGCCTTCAAAGTCAGCTACGCCGTCAAAGTGAGCTACGCCGTCAAAGTGAGCTACGCCGTCAAAGTCAGCTACACAAATTTACTTATTTTACAGACGCGAGAGAGTTCATTCTATCTAATTAGTTATTTTAACAAATTTGAATTCCATGGTTTGTACATTTCTACATTTCTGCATTTCTATAAATAAAATATTTCTACATTTCTACATTTGTACGTTTCTATAAATAAAATATTTCTACACATATAGTCAAACTTACAGTTCATCAGGAATTGATGGTAGATTTAAATCATATATTTCAACACTAAAGTCCAAATATAAAACCTCAAGCAAGATATTAAAAAGTTCAGCATAACTGTCAACGTTTGATTTCATCCCTACTTGATCTTCTACAAGATTCTCCTGCAGAACGTTTTCTTCGAGGGAATTGTTTTCGTCACGTTGCTCATGCTCCAGTCCTTCGTGATGTTCGTCTTTATTTCTGTTCTCGTCCGCATTTGATTCAGAATTTGAATCTTTATCGTCTTTGTTCATATCTTTATTTTGCATATGCTAATGTGATTCACAAACTTTACAAACAAATGTGGCTTTCGACGAGGAGATGCTCTGTCACAAGCCAGCTACCACTGAATTATGTTCCAATCCAACGGAGGTCTTTATATAAGGCAGTGCCTTGGAATGACAAGAAGTCAGTAAGATCACTAATTGCACCAATCACATTCATTCAGTCGATGCTAATTGCATTCCATGAAAACAGCGTTTGGGGAAGTCCCTGATTTCTGAATGATATCTGATTTCTGACGCGCAATATATTTTTTGCTACTTTGGCTATCAATCTTGTGATACATCACACAACATCACACAATCATACTCGGGGCCTGTTCACACTTAGCTCACTTTAAGATCGATCCGAGAAGATCGATCTTAGATGGATCTTTTGAATGACCCCAAGCTCAATTTTGTGGGCGTTCAAACACCTACGCCGAGCTAGTTTTGTTGACAACATGACGTAGGACGATGTGGGTAACGCGCCGCGTTATAGAGGCACGACAAAACGCCAAGCTAAAGAGCGCAAAATAAGGCATAAGAGCGCAATAAAAGGCAATAAAAATTTAATTTTTCACAAATAGAAAATACGACATCGAAAAGTACATTTGTTCTAATTAGTAAATATTTCAATTATTATTATGTTCACGGCGAACTTGTACAAATTATAGATATTTATAGTTCATCAGGAATTGAAGAAAAATTTAAATCATACAATTCAATAAGAAGTTCCAATATAAAAGTACGAGTAAAAATATTAAATATTCAGTCTGACTTTCTGCTCCAGGTTCCATCTTTTGATCCTCTGCAACACTCTCTGCAACGTTTTGTGAACGGGAATTATTTTTTTTGTCTTGATGTACTTTCTTCAAGCTCTAGAGATTTTCTTCTCGTCCGTATTTGATTCAAGTTAGCTCTGGATTTTTTCACCGTTTCCGCTCCTTTCCTTACTTTGTATAAAATTGAATGTAAATACAGTTGACCAACTTTAACAACGTAGATCATTCATTCTGCCACAGCTACATGACACACCAGTGCAATACAACAACACGATGAACCGACATTCAACAACGTTTGTCGCGGACGCAAAAGGCAGCATGGTTATCTACACACTTCTTTACATAATACAAACAATATTGTCGTAAGTGGTGCCATGGAAAGAAAAATTTAAAATCTTTTCGTACAATACTAAGAAAATGCCCGCACCTCATTTCCCCTAGAGATAACTTGCAATGTATATTTTAATTGGATTACATGCTGGTTTTGGTGTATGTCAACGAAGATGTTCGAGTTAAATCGAAGTGATGAAATACACGATATAATGCGTTCTCATATAATTCAGAGAACAATTATCAATTTTATACCCCTTGAGTGAAAGCAATATTTTAAAACGAATTACGCGGAGACAGCAACGTATTTACCCCTGAATACAGTAGAGTAAATGCTCTTGATGAACTCTAAATATTTTTCAGGTTTTATTGATAAGCGTACGTAAACAAAACACGATAAATTGACCGTTTTGCTGGCGAACAGTTTATGCTATTGCAGACGCACTTCCTGTTCACAGCCTGTCTCTCTTAGGAAACAGCGTCTTGTTTGGAGCTAAATTCAGCATTTTTGGCAAAGTTATCTAAATAATGCTCAGTTCCCTTACTTGCATCCAAATTTGGTGGTTGATATAGCCACTCAATAAAGATATGCTATGCGATCCATGAAAAAATTACATTTTATTACAAATGAAATGACAGCCCTACTCCGTCTAGTTTCATAAAAGAAATAACATACATAATATATCCAAAGTTTTAACTTGATTAAATTGATGCTCACCATCGAAAGCAACAATCTCAAGTCGGTAATAAACTGAATGATGTGAAGTTTTGAATTACTCGTTTGTATATGTTGATTTTTAGGTTAGTGCAAATCCTGTGAAGAGCCGTTAAGATTACGTGAATTTGAAGTTTCGAAAATCAGTCAATACCAACACCAATTATAAATCGATCACTCAATATAAATATTACAGTCCAACTTATAACTTATATGTTGTAGTGTAATATTTATATTGAAAATCCCGCCTGGCAACAATATTGATGAATCTACAACTCTATTTCTCTTTCAACCTTGAAAATTACTATAATTCTATAACTCAAACCGAAAGGAATACCCTATTTTTTAATTAGCTTTGTTTTTTCGTGTGCGTTTTTCCTATTTATCAGTGGTAACACTGTATAGCATGTCTTTGTCCAACGTCAAGCTGTGTTTAGCTGTTTGACTGAAGAATCGGAACTTGTTGACCTCTTGTTGACCTCTTGTATTTCAAACATGCAAATGTTCGGTGTTTTGCCAGTGGCTCAGTGGTTTATACATTATAACGCATGGAATGACAGCTCTAAAAATTATCACTTGATAAAGATCAATAATTACATTAATGAAAATAATTATTATTAAGAAAGAGCTTTACAAAAACGTACAAATTATTTTAAATTGTTCATTAGTAGATAAGATTAAAGTATGCCTTTCTTCCATTCATTATTGAATGGTTAAAACAAAATATTTTCTTGAGTTCTTGCGTTTTACACAAACCTATTTATAATATAAAATGTGCATGATTTATTTCTCTTAGTATAAATCATTTTACGTTGAAGTTGACGAATCTTTAAAGTTTTTCTAACGTTAATGGAACATTTAACACAAAATCTTCGTTCAGCATTTCCATCACACATCCATCTTCTCCTGTCAAGTCTTGCAGGTCAAACAAAAATTCTTCAGGAAGCGTTTCTTGAATGGGTGAATTTAGAATTGGTTGAGTATTTCCACTATCTTCCATACTTTCATTTTCTAATGTATTGTCGTATCTTTCGTTGCCATCTTCTAGCCCATCACAACCATCTTCTTTAACGTTATCCTCTTTTTCAACACAGGATTTTTCACCTTTGTCGGTCATCTTTTTGTAAATGACGATCTAAAGATAATTAGAATAGGAAAAGATGCATAATCTGGACTATTCCACAAAATAGCCAACTTATTACGAATTTTAAACTTCACCACTCTCAGACGGTGAAACTATAGATTTCTAGAAAAATTATCAATGGTAATGTTCTGAAATTTGCAAAGTATATTCTGGATTCATAAGTATTTTATTTTTAAATCACTTGACAATTCTTTCTACATGACGACAGCTACCAAGTTTGCGGGGTTGTATGGTTGTATGACGTACATGACCCACACTGACTACATAGAAATGTAGATAAAATTTAAGATCATAAACAATTATTTTATTTCACCCAGTATAATAATAATAAACTAAAATCATCACGCTTTCTTGCTACCTTACAGTGATTTTGCAAACACGACGTTGTCGTCTAAGACGCCGTGAAAATGGCGTGGCATGCCCTTTTACTTACGGTTCAATCTGCGACGGCAGTCCACTGATATGTGTATTAGACTGGATAACGCATCTCTTGCGAAAATTGAAGCCGGAAGATCGATCATTTGCTATTGGCTTCATGGGGGGTATTGATCCCACTTTACTACACTTTTGTAGTACAAAATCACAGTTTTCGCGTTTTTATTCCTTTTACAAACTTCTGATTAAGGCAAATTTTATGACATGCAGAGGAAAACCGGTAGAGAGTTTTAACCCTGAAGCTCTGTTTTTTTGGCTTTGTAAAGACTGAAAAATAAGATGGCAAGTTGTATTGAAAATTGAAAGTTGAAGGTGACGCGGACAATTTCAGTCAAGCGAGGCATTTTTAGAAGATCAATACTTAAATTACAAATTTATAACAAAGTAAGAACAAAGGTATTCATATCTTCAACATATTCATCAATATTGAAATTGTTCACATAGGAACTGGTTGAAAACTTTGCTTCGCTTAATGACAACAGAGGTACTTTAATTCGCATATTTTGATGATGTACATCTCGTAGAGTTTGATGATACCGTTTTCAACAAACTATTGTTCATTAAAATGTCTTTCTGATTACTTTTCTAGGTCGATTTGTTTTGTTTCATCACTGATATAATAAAGACGTAATTTGAAATTATTATGATATTAGCGATGTGAATAACAAAGTGTTGTTAAATAAGTAAATTTGTAACAATCTTCCATAAACATTGCAGATGAAATTTTGGTAGCAGTAGTAGGATTCTGTAATGTTTCTACATTTTTTGAGAAGCAGCAACATCATATAATCTCCAGTTTGTGTCAAAACAATGCGGGTCGACCTTGTACCATCTCAATTTTCTGCCATTATAAAGCAAAGAAGACAAACGTTTTAGGATTAAATATCTTTGACGGTTGTTCTGTCCCTTTCACAAAAATTTTGCTCGAATCAAAAGTTTGTAGAACAAATAAAAACGCAAAAACTGTGATTTTGTAATATAAAAGTATGGTAAAGTGGGACCGATACCTCCCATGAAGGTCATAATCAGATGAGCCATAATCAGATGAGACACATAACTTTTCTTCAATATGCAAAAGACATTGTTATGATATCACAATGCATAATTAGCTTTAGGAAAAACTAATTTTTGTGGTCAGTTTACATAAATTATTGCCAATGTCACAGGGTCCTAATATTATTGATTTCAATGCATTGGGATGGTGTCATTGTAATTTTCAAATAAACGACTAATGATTGAATATGTCCGTCTTAATACAGCATGGGGTACTTAGGGAAATGGTAACAGGATGATATGAGGATAGTAGAGGCACCAGGGGGATGTCATTTTAGTGATACAATATACTTTTCATAGAAATATAAACCAAACACTTACAGCTTGTTGTAAAACAAATGTTCCTTTCTTGTTCATAATGACTTCTTCAATGACTTTGATAGATGTTTCCAAAGCTTTCAAACCTTCTTCTCGATTCATTGTTGTTGTCATGACAACATAAGTTGGTGGTGAAATGGGATTTATCTTAAAGAAGAAAACAGTTTACAATCAAACAGTGAAATTTTCAAAAGATTATTTGTCCTTGTATTGTATTTAGGCCTGACATAGCTCAAGGTCCGAATTATCGCAAAAAAATTGCTTCGCAACTTTTTTGGAATAAGTTCCTACCGACCCCCGTTCCGATCGACCCCCGATTTAATTTCTTCTCGCAATTTTTACAATGCACATGATTACGCCAATACTTTTTATTAATTTTAAAAACTATAAACTAAACTGCAATATCAACAATGTTTGTAGATGACGCTGACTTTGATTGCCTTTCTGCTGGATACTTTCGTGGTTTTGCACCATTTGGGCGTCTAATCTTTTGCTCTAGCCAATATTGGAGAGCTTCCTCCGCATTGAATTCAGCTAGCGGGCATTCTTCTTCACCAATTCTTAGCTGAGCGTTGAGTCGTTGTTTACTCAAACGATTTCGCAGAGTTGTCTTAATTCTGTTCATTCGGCTAAATAAACGCTCCACCTTGGCATTCGTGAATGGTGTTATGAGCAACAATTCAATTATATGCAGTACATTTTTGCACTCTTTTTGCATTATAACATTTTCCCAGATGCTTTGCCATACATTTACATATTTTCCCTTTTTTTCTGCTCCAACTATGTAGCTTTTGACGTGACACTAGCAGAAGAAATATTCAGTTATCCAACTGTATAATACGAAAGGAAAACAATGCATTTACTATTCAAACCTTCAAACGATTCCATTCTGAGACGACTTTGTCAATGTTGCATCCATTCTGAACAAGTAAAGCCTGGTAAAACTCTTTCAGTTCTAAAATTGCCTTGTCGCCATACCGCTTAAGTGCTTCGTCGTCCTTGGGCCACATTGCAAAGTCCAATATGACTGGCAGATTTTTAAACACCACACTTTCTCGGAACTCTTCAAATCTTCCTTGCACACTTCTAGACACTGCATTAATCCTTTTTTCATAAGTTTTCGTTACTTTCCTCCGGGACGCATTAAACCCTTTTAGCTTTATTCTTTGGTAAGAAACATCTTCAGAAACAGAAAAGGCAATGTTATGACATAAAGTATTACATTAACAAAACACTAATTATAACATTTAAAAGTACCTGCTTCATCTTCATCGTCTTCAAGTTCTTCCACTTGATGCCTGGTAATTTTTTGCCGTTTTGTCAAAGGTTGGTGAGGTTCTACTGTGTGAAAAAACATTTCAAGCGTACGTAAAGTCAGGGACTCATTCATCAATTACTTACAGTCGTCGGACGTTGTGGCTTCGCACTCCTTCAAAAACCGTGTAAAATTAATAAGTTTTTCGGAGTCGTCCTGAACGCATTTATTGATCAATTCTTTTAGTTTGACCATAGTCCACTCAAATTCATTAATGCGCTTCACCGCTTTAACAGGGTCGTGAACTTCCTTTTGGGATCCCAGGCTAAGAACCTAAAAATAAAAGTCACAACTCTTAATTTTGCACCAGATTATATATGTTGTGATGAGACAGCAAATCTGAACATTGAAGCGTTATACTAATTACCTTCAAAGGCCTCAAAATGTCAATGTATACTGTCATCAGCATAGGATACTTTGCATACGTCCATTTTGACAAAACCCTTCAATTCTCTTTTGCTGGCACCGAATCTGTTTGGGACAATGACTCAATGTGTAGCATGTATGCGCCATAATTGGCAACAAAGGTCTCCATGGCTTTCAACTTGTGGGTAATCCATCTCGTTCCAAAGGCTTTGGCTGGCTTTGCTATGCTCTTTTCGAAAATCTCGCTGAATCCCTTCAATTCGCGATAGCGCTTTGCCGACTTTTGGTACAAGTAATACAATTTAGTCAGGAGCTCATCCACTTCGTCAAATTCTGATTAAATGAGTAATGTATATATTACGAACACATTGTTCTGAAATTCAACATCTTAAACAAAAGAAGTGTCTAACTGTTGTGACACCATACCTGTTCCTTTAAATGCGTCTTTAACAGCCAGTTCAAGGCGATGGTTGAAGCAATGAATAGTAAGCAGCCATGGTGAGCCTTTGCGAAGTTTGGCTGAAAGTCCGTTTATGCTACTCAAATTTACCGAAGCTCCATCCACGTTTAGCGCTGCCAGTTGTCTTGGGAAATTGTTCATGTGAAACCGGGAAAAGCAATCCTGTATCATCTTCTTAAGGCCATCTGCACTTGTTGATGTAGGTGATTCAATTGCTAAAAAACTTATTTGAGGGATACCTGTCCATTGAAAAAATAGAAATAACGCATCTAAAGACAAGAATCGAAATAATTCAGTTCAGTGTATTGCATTTACCTTCACTGCTTATAAAAAAGGAGATACAAAACTTCCTGTTCAGAAACGCCTTTGTCAGTGCTGCCGTCGGTCAACAAAGAAAAATAGCGTGTTTTCTTCAATTCAGACATCAGCTTCTGCTTGAGTTTGTCAGCAATTGAATCAGTGATGTTTGCCATAGCACGCTCGTTTCGGAATTTGGAACTGCAAATCATTCCGTTCATTTCGTTTAACGTAATGATGCCCTCACTATCGCTATAGGGTCTTTCTGAAGTGGCTAAATAGTAGGCAGTGTTGAAACGAGTAATCATTACTTTCCTGTCAATCTCTGCCATTTTGATCAAACCTCTTCCAATTGGAGATCGTTCAACAACTTGTGCGCCAAAAGTTTCGCCCAAGGACTTCTGATCAAAAAGACGTTTTGCATGTTGATGTGCTTTACCTTGGACATGTTTTTTCAAGCTATCTAATTTGACAGATGTTGTCCCATCTATCCATGCTTGCGAAAAACCAGCTATTGAAGAAATTGTTGAGGAGAATTCCACACAGACAGAACATTTTAACGCTTCTACTTTTTTCTTATCTGTACTAAGACTTTTGATCAATTTAACGTTTAAATCTCGCTCCCAATTTTCTACAGTCTTTTGCTTCGCCATCGTTAACGTATGCAGTGTGTATTAGTTTGTGACTTTGTCACTTCGCGTTTTCAGATAATATTGAAAATGTTACGTTTCATATTACAATAGATAGCGAAGTTTTTTAAAAAGTTGCGACCATTTTAGGATAAATTCCTGTTAGTCACATTCCTGAGGCATGATGTAATAGCAACGCTTTGAAATTATGCAAATAGTGCAAGAAATTTGATCATTTGATATTTCTTTTGACGTATTTTAAAACTTAGGGAGTGGTCGCAAAGCATAATAAAAACACATCCATCACAGCAATATAAAAAGAGTGCTTTCAGTAAGCTAATTTACATTAAATAACAAGAAATGCGAAATGAGCTTCGCAATTTTACGAAATTTGCTTCGCAATATTTCGCCAAAATCGAAATCACTTCGCAATTTGCGATTTGCGAAACGCTAATTCGGACCTTGTAGCTATTGTAAGATATATTTACATTGCTGTGCACATTTGGGACATCTATAAATAATTAAATCTTGTTTTCGTGAACATCAAAATGTTCATCCTCATTGTGTTTATGTAGCAATATTGCAATTTGATGCATTTCAATGAGAATGATCTGTCATATACAGTGGTGTGAACCAAAGCTTCGTGCTTTTCTTGGTTCTTAAGGTTTGTTTTCCTTGACAACTCATTTATTGACAGTTGTCTTGTTGTACACAATGTTCAGTAGTATATATAATAATCATTCTACAATTGAAATCTTGACATAAACATATTTAAAAGTTAAAATGACATGATGAATATGAGGTATAGCTCTATTGGTTAAGAACAGTTCATGTACGAGGTCAGATGATGTTAATTTTGATTCATAATGGTTTCAAAAAAGCTTGGCTGACTGATAATTATGTTAATAAACACATAACCCAGGCTGTCACATGTTACAATCGTAAACAAAATCTCAGCAAACTTTTGCCATAAATATAAAGCAGTTTTAAAATTCAATCGTTTGTCAAAGAAGATGACTCTGAAGATGACTACCGCTAAGGTTGTCAAAACGTCAGTCAACAACAACAAAAACAGTCCTTCTCAGGACTATACCAACCAGGACGACCTACATTTACTAACATGTATGTAGATGATTTGATGATGGTATGCAAATGATAACAAGGTGTTAAGGGCGTAGTGTATGCACATGAATTAAAGTGATACACAGATTTATTACAAAAAGGTTGAGGATCGGTACTTTTTCTTGACACGAAATTCTTCATGCAAGAGTAAGAGAAAATAAGACAATTTATTTGTAAATAATTGCATTACAATCTAATCTTTGATTTTACAAACAAAGTCAACTTAACAGACAAACAAATACATACATAAAGTAAACATTTATATACTTATCGATATTTTGCACAAACCTTATTACGTCAAGCACAGAATGTATTGGTTCAACTTTTTCTTCGTTCGGTTCTGGTTCTTTCACGTTAACATTTCCAGGTTAAATGCAAATAAACAAATTACTCCCCAAAACGCCAGCAAACATAGTCAGCCATTGTGGTCGTAAATTAAGACACAAATAACGAAATGCCACAGAGAGGATAACCTTTGTTTTACCATAATGAGAGAAAAGCAAAGAAAAAAAATTTCAGTTCATTTTCAATGTTATCAAGTCAGCTTTCATAAATACAAAACCAATTCACAATTTTCACAGTCCCCTGGCCGAGCGCAATGAATAATTATCATTACAAATTATTTATGAAATTCAATATGATAATCAATCAAAAATTAACCACAATTAATGAAAATTATGGTGTTTTTGAAGTTATTGTCTCGTTATACTCAAAAATGTCTTTTTCCTCAAAAAACATTTACCATAATCATTTGGCTTGTCTTAAAATCAATTACCAAGAAATACCTAAAGAGAAAACGGTGAATAGTTCGTTATTAAAACCACTGTTAAAACTGATTACATCAAAAATGATCATTCCAATCAAAGACAACAATGGCGCAAATAAAAAAATGAATATAGTTACAAAAGTTTACGTACAAAGTTTTTAAAAAAGCTACATAAATTGTTTGTCAATTAATTACACAAGGCGGTCAAGGTGTTAGCATACATGTCCTTGAAAGTTTTTGTTTTTGAAACAGAATGTATAATGAAGTGTTTACGTTTAACGTACAAATAAATAAAAGATATAAGGTGAGTGGTTGTTTCTAAATATGAAGGTTCTAATACATTGAGCTAAAGTTGATTTAAAGTTCTCCTGGTATGTAAGGCGAAAAATTGAATTCTTCAATACGGCTCTCTGGTATGGGATAACCTCCAGTACCATTTCCCATTTCCGCTCTCACTTCTCCATGACGATCTTGAAAGTTTTCCTAATCATTGCTTTGGTCGTTTTGTTCATTTTCTGAGCTTCTCGAGTTCTTCGAAGTTTCACCAGGCTTCTTATCCATGGCTATGTTTGTATAAAATCAAGATAAGAAGTCATTATTCACGGAACTTTTCCATACAATACACTACTTTAAAAGTTAAGTGATAATGCTTAAAATTTGATTTCAATTTTACAGACAACCAAAGTATTTCATACACGACCGCGTAGCAAGTATAGGAAAGAAGGATTCTGAGACAAGTGGTGCCTTTAATTTGTTGCATTGCTGCAAATTTCCTTGTGCTATTTGACAACTATTACAAGACGCAAATATAATCAAACATTTTTCTGGCCGAATGAGCGCCTTGTTATATGAAATAAGTATTTTTGCAACATTTCCAAGAATCGTAAAATAAATAAAGCAGCGTAGAAAATGTCATGCATATATGAACATAGCCCCCAACAGAAGTGAGAATAGATTCAAATAGACAATTGAATATTCCTATCCTCTTATGTCGTGAGGGTTTGGGCGCAAAATTTTGGAGTTAAATTTGGGATAATTTTCAACTGTACAAAAAAGGTATGAAACAAGATCAAAGCATGGCAGCTAAAATTAATAAACATTCGATACATTATGCATAAGGTCAAAATTCAGTAATTTAAAAATTTACATGATGTTAAACTGTATTGAACATAACGTCAGAAAAGCCTAAACTAGCTTGTACTGTCCATTAGAAATCCAAACCCCGCAATTTTGTACAAATTCAGTAAGTATACTAATAGTAAACCAAAACATATCTCGTAGCTTTAGCTAAATAAAGACTAACAAAATTTAGCTCGAGTAAAAGTATGTGTTCTCTTGTAAACAAAGTACCTGTTCTTGAGAAACCACAAATAAGAAAAATAGGAATGAAAAATTGCTTTTATTCCTTGAGTAACTCATACACTTGTGGTCTTGTGCAAACTAACAAGGTTATTCCTTGAGTAACTCATACACTTGTGGTCTTGTGCAAACTAACAAGGTTATTCCTTGAGTAACTCATACACTTGTGGTCTTGTGCAAACTAACAAGGTTATTCCTTGAGTAACTCATACACTTATGGTCTTGTGCAAACTAACAAGGTTATTCCTTGAGTAACTCATACACTTGTGGTGTTGTGCAAACTAACAAGGTTATTCCTTGAGTAATCATACACGTTGTGCAAACTAACAAGGTTATTCCTGAAAATCACACTAACAAGGTTATTCCTTGAGTGACTCATACACTTGTAGTCTTGTGCAAACTAACAAGGTATCAAGTATGTGAAGTATATGTGGGAGTCAAGAAGTATATGATGGAAGACACAATTCAGTAGAAAACAGCCAAAAGCGCGCATGATCTATTGTCTAGTGGTGTAAGTGGTCACGGCCAGGTGGTATCGAATAAAATATTCCATCGTATTATATTTTGCATGTGTTTATGCATGGACAACAATGCAAAATCTATATTGTGTTGTTTCTTTTCGCCTTTCAAAGTCAGTTGAGACAACTAAAGACAACATTTTGTTTGAGGAATTAAATACGGGCATCGAGGAGCATTCTGCCTCTGAAATTTTAGGAAAAATTGCTTTACTAAATCACGATGAAGGTGATATTGTTCAACATCCAGCGGCGTCAAGTCAAAGAACAAACTGAAAGATTGTATCGATTTGAATGGTACGAGATGGTTAATAAAATTTAGTATCATTGCAAAAATCTATCATCGGTTATTAGCGAAAAGCTGACAAGCAAGCCCATTGAAAATAACTGCACAATGTCTCATAAATTTCTCCCATCGTCGACCCAAACAAGATGAAGGATACCTGTTACGTATGCGGAAGGTTTTGTCAACAACATCACGACAAAGTAGACTTTCAAGCTAAAATTTTGTTGCTTTTTGTTAAAGGTAGCGTATCTATATCTATGTAATCTGAAAATAAAGTTATTTAGTTTCATTAGAATGAAGCAAATGCTGATGTTCAATGTGCGATAGGCTTTGGTAAAGTTGGCAAAGATGCTTACATAGACTTCGGTCAAGCATATGTTGTAGTTGCTTCTCACTGCAGCTTTTTGTCGTGTCAAATTACTGGATACTTTTCTATTTAATTTTATCAACAATATTTGTCTGAATCATTTAATACATGGGAATATGCATGCTTCACTGAATTCGACTTAATGTTTCATGAAATAACTCGATGTTTGTAATAGTTCAATTTCAAAGACTCGTGAAATAAAGCAATTTCATTTTGTATGACAGTAATCAATCTTCAGTTATAATCAGGGCAAATAGTGATTTTTCTTGTATTGTCTGATTGCTATTGATTTGTATCTACAGCAGCCTTCTAAACAGGATGTTTCAAACTTTGATAAATTTTGCCATGGTTTTGGAACTACCATTTGGCACATTACACTTTAGTTGTACTGAGCATATGTAAGGTTTATGAAGGAAAGTCATGATGCTATGTAATAGGACGACTGCGTGTTAGCAAAAGCCATCTTAACACAAAATTACATAATTATTTGCACATTTAACATCAGTATGTGCTTGTTTCAAATGCACATAAAGAACTTTATTTTCATATTTAATGAACGTAGAAACACAGTCCAAAACGAAAAGCAAATAATTTTTAACAAGAAACCTTCCACAACGACAAGCGTAATTTCGTCCAATTTTATAAGACACAGTGCTACAGCCAATTATAGCTTTTGCAATGTTATAATTATTACTGGTACAATTCAAATTATCACAATCTCTTAGTTTGTTCTTTGCCACAAGTTGTTGAACAACGTCAGTTTTTCGAAATTTTCAGATGTAGGTGACTCCTGAACCTTTGTATTCAAAAGAACTGTCGTCTTAAATCGTCTTGATTGACTTGAAAAAGCAACAAGAAAAGATCACCGACTTTCGCTTAGGCACGGTTCAAACGTTGTGCTTTTCATGTGCCGAACCTAATTCATATTTGGTACGACAAAGAACGACGTGGCTCGACGTCGATTTCAACGTCGAACGAACTTAATTTGTCGAACTTAATTGTTTATAGTAAGCCTTCGGTTGCTTTAGGTCCTGAAGTGATAATTATTGAATACATGTAATACATTCATAGTGATTTACACACATCATATGACTTTTTGTTAAGTTTTTGGAAGTTTATTCAGTGTTTTTATTTTATCATATGTTCAAAAATGACGAAAACAGAACACCAAATCAGAACGGAAACTAGCTGAAGAATTTTTTTGATTCGTAGCATGTTTGAGCGAGCAAAGAGTCGGAGGAAAATGGTAGAGTCAACATAGACTGTCCTTTGCCGCAGATGTGTTTGACTGAAATGAACGCTAAATGGCGCCAATTATCACTAAACACGTGATGTGTAAAACTCGCCCTAGTTTTCTCGGGCAAAATGTATTAAGTTCGGCACATGATAAGTTCGACGTTTGAATCGGACCGAACTTTCTTATTTACTTCCGTGACTGATAACTTATTGAGTTAGTGTGCGCATGATCAGCAGAGGCACCAGTGCGCTAATTTGGTCGTGCTATGTAAATTTAAGACCATTATCATTATTCATTTCTTTAGAAATCTATTGTTTTTACAGTTATTGAAAAAATTACATTGCACGATCAAAGTATGCGGGGGCAGGCCCGCATCATTAGCATTTCTTCACAAGGAACAAGATGTCATCTCGTGTGTCATAGAGGGAGGTTTTTCTTCATTTCGGAGGCAGCACTTTTCACACAATTTAATTTACTATAAATTTAGGGGTCGCACGACCCTTAGGTACGTATAAACTGATACTGTTCATGATGTTGTTTGTAATATGCATATAAAAGTGAACTTGGAAACTTCATAGCTCCATTCGCATCAACAGCACCCTTTTGACATCATTAAACTTACTGTAAATTTAGGGTCGCACGACGCTTTTCGTACGGGTTATTTACAAGATAGTTTGTGAAAATTCATTAAATGTTTCAATATTTTTTAGCAGATGAAAAATACCTCAATGTCAATTATTGCATACAAAGTTTCTGCTAGGGATATGGGTACATCGTATAAGAAATACATCTCAGGCACGACAGCTACATTCGATTGAAATTTACTTTCAACCTGAGTCAAATAAAATAGACAAGCTTTCTTACCTCTTACAGTCACAGCAACCTCTCTTCTGAAGTAGAAATCTCAACCTGACAACATGAAGATGCGAAGGTGAGAGTTTCATCGATTTACGTCACAGAATGGTGGGCGTCAATGTGTAGCTACATAATTATGATCAGAATCAGAATTTTCTTTGGGTGGTGAAATCACAAGGTTTTGATTGGTTCTTGTAAATGTTTATAAACTGCGTCGAGCTCATGACATCGTCAGATATCACTTACACTTTGACTTTCGTGATGGAAACATCTCCCAAGAGTCAAAACAAGCTCTGAACAGAAGCGGCATGAAATACATCAGATGAAAACGAAACAACACTATTTCATAAAACTAGTAATGTTTATTTTTATTGTTGCTTTGTCCATTTGCAATGTCGATAAAATCATAAAGGTTCTATCGTTTTGTGAACTTTTGTAATTTTACAGCGAACATCTTAATACACTTCCGTGTTTGAAATTTCAAATATTCTCAGTTTCATTTGATGATATATAAAGTTAGAAAGTAGCTATAGAAATTTTCAACGAACTTCACAGACTGTATAAGTTCTGATACACAAAAAAGGCGAACGTCGAGATTAAGTCAAGATGAAATTTAACTTCCATTTCAACGACTACACATTTACAACAATTTCGCGAAGGTCCAATTCATCTCAAGTTAAATATTTGAGGCTGTATTTTAACCATACTGGACCTTAAATAAATTTTCTCTCGAAATACTGACCATGAAACATTTATTTCTAATAGTCACATGAAAGATCGATATCTGTGTTGGGTTTTAACCGCAGGGTCATGTATAATAAAAAATAAAACACAGTAACTTTTAAAACAAACCACAATCATTTATGCTTCACCTTGTTATTCTTCATCATCAGGATTATCATCATCACCATCAACTTCTGCATTTTGACGTTCAAGTTTTTCCAGTTCCTTTGCAAAGTCTGCTTCATCCATATTTGTGACAACCTTTGGCTAAACAGATAACAATGATTATCAATGATAGAAATTCATAGCTTAAATTTATCATTTGAAATCAACAAATTTCTTGTATGAATGCAAAGGCATGGCAATAGGATTTACAAGTACATTTCAACCCCTAATCTTGATTGCCATGTATCTGACATAATGAGAAGAACTGACAAAATAAACACAAAAGTAGATTGCTAAGCTCTTGGTCAGTAATGATCAAGGTTAAAAATCTGTGGGTAAAGTGAAGGTTTGAATCAACAATCGACTTGTAATGTGCCAATTTATCGCACACTAATCGACAGAGCATACAAACTTAACAATACGAACAAACAATGGCTTTTAACGAGACATAAAAAAACATCACATCCACTCTTTTACGAAACTCTTTCCCACTACACTTTATTAACAGAACCGTAAAACGATATCTCGACAACAAACAAAGCAACAACCTCAAACTAGACACCGAAACTCCTGACACGACGATCACAACCAACACAAATGAAAATTCCAAAATAACAACTCTATACTTCAAACTACCATACATCGGACATTACTCACGACACACACAACGCAGACTTACAAACATTATGAAACGCTTCTGTACAGATATTAACATTCGACTAATTTTCACATCATTCAAAATCAAAAACCTTTTCTCATTCAAAGACCCCATCCCTGTGATTCAATTAAATTTATGGTGGTATATGAATTCAATTGCGCGGGATGTAATTCCCGATACATTGGCGAAACTTCGCGCCATTTATCCACCAGAATCAGGGAACATACCACAACAGACAAAAACTCTCATATCTACCGACACCTTCTTAAATCTCACTCATGTAAAACCAATTATTCACCCTCTTGCTTCAAAATCATCCACATTGCCGACACCTCATTCTCCCTTAAAATCAAAGAAGCACTCCACATTAACAAAACTAACCCTGACCTCAATGTTCAAGTTTTAAATTCAATACAATATTTATTTTATAATACGCTCGGACGCTCCTCGTTAATTTATCTTATTTCCTTATTGTTGTTGTAATTTATGTATCATATTACATTTATATAAACCTTGTATTATTTATTATTTCACTTATACTGAAGATGGCATCATGAGATGTTGAAACATGTCTATTTTAAAAAACTCGTCATGTATATTAAATGCGCATTAGAAATAGTGCTTCTACGAAATTATCAATACAAATTTTTTAACTTTGTTTGATTTTTGAATTTTTACACTCATTACTTCATGTCATTTTCATGTTTCAATTCTCGCAGATAAATATTGTTAATGTTAACAGGGTCATTATATTTTTGATTTTAAAGGACAGGGATGGTGTCATTGTAATTTACAAATAAACAACTGATGATGACGTCATACTTGAACTTTGATAATGTCCCATTTTTAATACAGCATGGGGTACTTAGGGAAATTGTAACAGGATGATATGAGGACAGTAGAGGCACCAGGGGGATGTCATTTTAGTGATACAATATACTTTTCATAGAAATATAAACCAAACACTTACAGCTTGTTGTAAAACAAATGTTCCTTTCTTGTTCATAATGACTTCTTCAATGGCTTTGATAGATGTTTCCAAAGCTTTCAAACCTTCTTCTCGATTCATTGTTGTTGTCATGACAACATAGGTAGGTGGTGAAATGGGATTTATCTTAAAGAAGAAAACAGTTTACAATCAAACAGTGAAATTTTCAAAAGATTATTTATCATTGTATGGTATTTAGGCCTGGCACAGCTATTGTAAGATATAATTACATTGCTGTGCACATTTGGAACATTTATAAATAATTAAATTTTGTTTTCGTGAACGTCAAAATGTTCATCCTCATTGTGTTTATGTAGCAATATTACAATTTGATGCATTTCAATGAGAATGATGTCATTTACAGTGGTGTAAAACAAAGCTTCATGCTATTCTTGGTTCTTAAGGTTCATTTTCCTTGACAACTCATTTATTGACAGTTGTCTTGTTGTACACAATGTTCAGTAGTATATATAATAATCATTCTACAATTGAAATCTTGACATAAACATACTTAAAAGTTAAAATGACATGATGAATATGAGGTATAGTTCTATTGGTTAAGAACAGTTTATGTACGACGTCAGATGATGTTAATGTTGATTCATAATGGTTTCAAAAAAGCTTGGCTGACTGATAATTATGCTAATAAACACATAACCCAGGCTGTCACATGTTACAATCGTAAACAAAATCTCAGCAAACTTTTGTCAGAAATATAAAGCAGTTTTAAAATTCAAAAGGAGTAAAGATCTTTTTATAAAGTCTAAAGATGCTCAATGATTACAGTACAATAGAACTTACCTAAATGAAGTCATAATATTAAACGTCGCTCGATTTTGAAATAGAAATACAAACAATTCGTTATGTTGATGATGGCACAAAATATGTACAAAGATATAACGCAGATTTTTTAATCAGTAGCATTTTTCATTGAAAACTTTTCAAGAACCTCAAACGATAATACTTTAAATACAGACAAACAAGTTTACAGCTTGAGTTTTCATGACTGACTTTACCGATTCTCGGAAACATCCGGTGGAACTATCGGTATTCGCCGATTATTATTCGATGTCTAACGTAAAAATGGTCGTGACGTATTCAGTGACGTAATCAGTTTTCCGGCCTTTAGATGTGGGAAATTAGGGATTTCATCTTTTTATGTAAATGAGGGCATAAGAGCGCAACAAGATATGATAATAAGAATTTAATTTTTCACAAAAAGAAAATACAACATCGAAAAGTACATTTGTTCTAATTAGTTAATATTTCAATTATTATTATGTTCACAGCGGACTTGTACAAATTACAGATATTTATAGTTCATCAGGAATTGAAGGAAAATTTAAATCATACAATTCAATAAGAAGTTCCAAATATAAAAGTACGAGTAAAAACATTAAATATTCTGCTCCAGGTTCCATCCCTTGATCCTCTGCAACGCTGGCGATTTACCTCTTGCCCGTATTTGATTAAAGTTAGCTCTGGATTTTTTCACCGTTTTCGCTCCTTTCCTTATTTTTGTATTACGCGTTTTTATTCCTTTTATAAACTTCTGATTAAGGCAGAATTTTTATGACATGTAGAGGAAAACCGGTAGAGAGTTTTAACCCTGAAGCTCTGTTTTTTTGGCTTTGTAACGACTGAAAAATAAGATGGCAAGTTGTATTGAAATTTGAAAGTTGAAGGTGAAGAGGACATTTTCAGCCGTGCGAGGCATTTTTAGAAGATGAATACTTAAATTACAAATTTACAACAACATAAGAACAAAGGTATTCATATCTTCAACATATTCATCGATATTGAAGTTGTTCACACAGGAGCTGGTTGAAAACTTGGCTTCGCTTAATGACAACAGAGGTACTTTAATTCGCATATTTTGATGATGTACATCTCGTAGAGTTTGTACATCAAACTCAGGATACCGTTCATGAAAATGTCCTTCTGTTTATTTTTCTATGTCTATGTTTCATACTATCATACTTTCACGACCTGAACGATCTACATTTACAAACATGTAACGATACTCCCGGGTTCAAACCATTTACTTTATTTGAGCAAGTTCTACAAAAGGTTTGCTAAATCACAAATACTTTAAGACGTGGTGGCATATGACACCATATAATTGTTGGTGTTAATGGATGTGTTGATGTTGTGCAGGTTGGCAACAAATCGAACAGAATACAAAAAACATTCTTTAAGCTCCAGTTAACATGACTTAATTGGTTATTGGCTGAGTTCTAACTTTCATGTCAACTGCAACATATACATGTAAAGATGAATAATTTAAACGAAGCAATTGCTTTGCTACCGCTTGCCTTTAGCATGCAAATTTTTGTAAAATGAACTTTGGAAAACTGCTCGTCCAATTATTCCTAATTTAATTTTTGATGATAAAAATTAATGAACATTCGATGATACATTATGCATAAGGTTTATGCCAGGTGGTATCGAATATAATATTCCATCGTATTATATTTTGCATGTGTTTATGCATGGACAACAATGCAAAATCTATATTGTGCTGTTTCTTGCCGCCTTTCAAAGTCAGTTTAGACAACTAAAGACGACATTTTGTTTGAGGAATTAAATACGGGCATTCAGTAGCATTCTGCCTATGAAATTTTAGGAAAAATTGCTTTATTAAATCGCAATGAAGGTGATATCATCCAGCGGCGTCAAGTCAAAGAACAAACTGAAAGATTGTATCGACTTAAATGGTACGATATGGTTAATAAAATTTAGTATCATTGCAAAAATCTATCATCGGTTATAAGCGAAAAGCTGACAGACAAGCCCCTTGAAAATAACTGCACTATGTCTCACAAATTTCTCCCATCGTCGACCCAAACAAGATGAAGGATACCGGTTACTTATGCGGAAGGTTTTGTCAACAACATCACGACAAAGAAGACTTTCAAGCTAAAATTTTGTTGCTTTTTGTTAAAGGTAGCGTATCTACGTCCATGTAATCTGAAAATAAAGTTGTTTAGTTGCATTTGAATGAAGCAAATGCTGATGTTCAACATCCAACGGCTTCAAGTCGAAGTATAAACTGAAAGATTGTATCGATTTGGATTTTACGAGATGGTTAGTAAAACTTAGTATTATTGCAAAATCTGTCATCAGTCACTAACGAAAAGCTGACAAGCAAGCTCATTGAAAATAACTTCACTGTGTCTCACAAATTTCTCCCAACGTCGATCGATACATTGAGAAAGAATTACCGGTTACTTATGCCGTATGCGGAAGGTTTTGTCAACAACATCAGGACAAAGTAAGCTTTCAAGCTAAAATTTTGTTGCTTTTTGTTTATGGTTACGTATCTACGTCCATGTAATCTGAAAATAAAGTTATTTAGTTGCATTAGAATGAAGCAAATGCTGACGTTCAATGTGCGATAGGCTTTGTTAAAGTAGGCAAAGATGCTTGCATAGACTGCGGTCAAGCATAAGTTGTAGTTGCTTCTCACTGCAACTTTTTGCTGTGTCAAAATACTGGATACTTTTCTATTAAAATTTTTTCATAAATATTTGTCTGAATCATCTAATACATGGGAACATGCATGTTTCACTGAATTCGACTTAATGTTTCATGGAATAACTCGATGTTTGTAATAGTTCAATTTCAAAGTCTCGTGGAATAAAACAATTTCATTTTGTATGACAGTAATCTACCTTCAGTTATAATCAGGGCAAATAGTGATTTTTCTTATATTGTCTAATTGCTATTGATTTGTATTTACAGCAGCCTTCTAAAAAGGATGTTTCAAACTTTGATAACTTTTGCCATGGTTTTGGAACTACCATTTGGCACATTACACTTTAGTTGTACTGAGCATAAGTAAGGTTTATGAAGGAAAGTCATGATGCTATGTAATAGGACGACTGCGTGTTAGCAAAAGCCATCTTAACACAAAATTACATAATTGTTTGCACATTTAACATCGGCATTTGCTTGTTTCAAATGCACATAAAGAACTTTATTTTCAGATTTAGGGCCTGTTTATATGGAGCTGAGTTACCCGGCTGAGCGAGTTACTCGCCAGTTGCTTTGACGAACTACAACCTACTTTTTACTTGAAATAATGAAATTAAATTATATAAATCAACAATATACAATTGGTTTTAAGGAATTTTGCGCATCATAAACTGAAACAACGTCTTTGCTCATGCAAAATATTGGAAAACTTACAATATTCAACGTGATAAAGTTTAATTGATCATCACCAACCTTTTCTCACGCATTAGGTGACATAAACAAGAATCGTTCTTATATCGTTTGTGGCCTACATTTGTGGCCTACATGGACTTTTGCGCCAATTTGTGGCCTACCCGCCAATTTGCGGCCTACTTGGACTTTTTGAACGTCCTTGACAAAAATGCTGCTTTAGACAATAGTAAAGCTAAATACGATAAAATATTGTTTCTTAATAATAGAAAATACATGATGTTAAAAAAATGACACTAACGTGGACAGTATAGGAAGCATAAGATTATTGGAATAAAGCAATACTACAACTACAGAGAGTCAAGGAACAAATGAAAATTCTAAGGGTTGCTTTGACGAGCTACAACCTATTTTTTACTTAAAATAATGAAATTAAATTATATAAATGAACAATATACAATTGGTTTTACGGAATTTCGTGCATCATAAACTGAAACAACGTCTTTGCTCATGCAAAATACTGGAAAACTTACAATATTCGACGTGATAAAGTTTAATTGATCATCACCAACCTTTTCTCACATAAAATATAGAATACTTGAAATTCTGAAACATAAGCTGTTTTCTTTAACTATATACAAAAGATTCGTCCAAAACAGTAAAGATTGCTTGAACAAAGTAAGAGAGCCAGACATGAAATATCTGTTGGTGAACCAACGGAAAATCAACAGTATTATATCACAATCAAATTACCAAGTTCCTTAGAAAATGCTTAAAACTTCCTCAAATTTCCATTAAATTCCTTAAATTTGTAAATATAACTACAAGGCGTGATCACATGGGCTCAAAAAGTGATTTTTCATGTTTCTTCCTCCTTTTTGGCTGTTTTCAAGTTTTTCAATGTTGTATTTGTAAAGAAACATTAAATATTATTAGGCGTATATTAATTAAAGTATAAAAACATCCTTAAAAATATCTTTAAAAACCTTTAGAAAATCCTATTTTTAAGGATAATTCCATAAAAATGAGAGCTTGTCAGTGGAAGACCTCTGGTGCATCATGGGTATTTCTAAGGGATTCCCCTAGAATCCTTTCTTTCCCTTTAAGTCCCAGTGTCAGATATATCGGACACCACGTGCTAGCGCTTCTTTTGCCGAGCTAACTCATAAACAAAAGCCGGACATGCGCTTTAAAGTACACCATTCGATTAAGGAGGTGTTTGCGAGCATTTTGATGTATAGTTTGTCTACGAAACTAGTTTTGAGCGATTTTTTGTGAAGTTTTTAATCTTGCCCTTTAAATTTTGTTTTGGCAAGACATAAACAATGGCGGATAAACCCAACAGCATGACATTGAACGAAGTTGTAGACGTCCTAGAGCAAGATTATGGTATTTCTTATGATGGAGTGCGCTCGGATATTGATTGCGAGCTTTCTGCCTTTTCGAAACCTGATGTTGAAGGTCTGTCTTCTTCTGTGCAAGATGAACAAGTAGAAATCCTCATTAACGTACATGATCTCGACCTAATTGAAACTGATGAGGAAGAGGAAACGGTCGCTTAGTCTGGCAAAATAGTGGCATACAACTTTTCAAACACTAAATGGTCGAACGATGAATACGAGGGAGAAATACGACGTGGTGCTTTTACACAAGATGTTGGCCCTGCTACTATTCTTCCAGAAGGATTGCCTTCGGAAGGGCAATCTGTCTTTCGATTCAAAAGACCCATTACTGCGGTAACATGGATGGACAACCGTGTTGTGAATATGGTTTCATCTCAAGCAATACAATCTGATACTGCTACAATTCCAGTAAATGATTTTTCATGTTTCTTCCTCCTTTTTGGCTGTTTTCAAGTTTTTCAATGTTGTATTTGTAAAGAAACATTAAATATTATTAGGCGTATATTAATTAAAGTATAAAAACATCCTTAAAAATATCTTTAAAACCTTTAGAAAATCCTATTTTTAAAGATAATTCCGTAAAAGTGAGAGCTTGTCATTGCAAGACCTCTGGTGCATCATGGGCATTTCTAAGGGATTCCCCTAAAATCCTTTAAGGATTCTTATTACAAATATTAAAGCCCAGCAAAGTGCTTTTAAAAGAGCCATTCAATACAAGAGTACTGAATACTAAAAGCACTTTGCCGAATACCTCAGCAAAGTGCTTTTAAGTTAACATGAAATTTAAACTCAGGCTCAGACAATGGAAAGCGACAGACAGACTATAGCATGGACAGTCATAATTCATAACCAATTTTAAAAAGATATTTTGAATCTTGGATCAATTATGATTCAAGTGACTTTTAACTTAAAAAGTTCAATGAAAATTTTCGCCGTAGGAATTTGTTAGCAATATGAAATTTAATGATCTCCTTTCTAAATATGCTTTCATTTCAACGACTTGGCATTTATAGAAAATAATTGATGTTTGTAATGTATAGGGTTTGAACGGAGTTTGAAGTTAAACTAATTGTTGTTCAATGCAACCGCAGGTCGTGAATGATAAAAATAAAACACAGCAAGTTTTAAAACAAACCACAATCATTTATGCTTCACCTTGTTATTCTTCATCATCAGGATTATCATCATCACCATCAAATTCTGCATTTTGAAGTTCAAGTTTTTCCAGTTCCTTTGCAAAGTCTGCTTCGTCCATATCTGTGACAACCTTTGGCTTAACAGATAAAAATGATAATCAATGATAGAAATTTATAGCTTAAATTTATCATTTAAAATTAACAAATTTCTTGCATGAATGCAAAGGCATGGCAATAGGATTTACAAGTACATTTCAACCCCTAATCTTGATTGCCATGTATCTGACATAATGAGAAGAACTGACAAAATAAACACAAAAGTAGATTGCTAAGCTCTTGGTCAGTAATGATCAAGGTTAAAAATCTGTGGGTAAAGTGAAGGTTTGAGTCAACAATCGACTTGTAATGTGCCAATTTATCGCACACTAATCGACAGAGCATACAAACTTAACAATACTAACAATGGCTTTTAACGAGACATAAAAAAACATCACATCCACTTTTTTACGAAACTCTTTCCCACTACACTTTATTAAAAGAACCGTAAAACGATATCTCGACAACAAACATAGCAACAACCTCAAACTAGACACCGAAACTACTGACACGAAGATCACAACCAACACAAATGAAAATTCCAAAATAACAACTCTATACTTCAAACTACCATACATCAGACATTACTCACGACACACAAAACGCAGACTTACAAACATTATGAAACTCGGCTCCATATAAACAGGCCCTTAGTGACTGAATTGTAGATACAGTTTGCTATACGGTCACGTGATATTTTGATATTATTCTGCGAATGCACGCGAGACTAACCCAGTCTATGCCCCCAATTAAGTTACATTGCACGCGAGCACGTACTAACTAGTAAAAGAAATTGAAAAAGTCTTTAAAAGTTTTCTTAAAATGATTGTAATAGGAAAGATCATGAAAGATTTAAAACATCTAAACCCGTTACTGCATGGATTTCCAACTCGGCGTTTTTATAGCGGCGAAACTCCACGGGTTTTGATAAATTTAATACTTAACACCTGAATTGGAATGTTTACAAGTAAAGAAATTCTTAACATTCCGTATTCTGTGACGAAATTGCAAAATTTTAATAATTACATGCAAAATTGAACTGGATGCGAAAATTCAAATAGAAATTGCTTGATATTGAAGATGCTGGCAATCGGTATCCAGCGGCGCGGTGTGCCTTATTTGACAATGTACGACGTACGATCAAATATTCTGTCTTGGTTTAACACAAACTAAGTCACTTTGCTATCAACCACTTTTCAAGATTTTTTAAGTCAGAGTTTGCTTTCGTTTCTAGTACAACTATATCATTATTTGAAGCAGTTAAGCAGTTATTACGCGTTAGATAGTTTGAAAATCTGACATTTATTCATAATTTTTTTTGAGCAATTTAAATTTATCAGAAATTATAACCCAACTTAAGCTCAATGGCAAATAAACAAGAAATTTCAAACATTCTGTATGATACACCATGTATAATAATAATAAACTTAAATTATTAGTGAGATGATTTAACGATGGTGGAGCAAAACGTGAAAGTTATAAACGACACTGAAATTAGTAAAACGTAAATCGTAACTCTCACACCAACCTCTTTTACTGAATCCAAGTTAGCCGCGAAGGTAAAAATTTACAAATCAAGTTGAAAGTCTCGTTTGCACGCTTTGAAAATTGAAATTGGTTTGAGATAATAAGAATCACCTCTGTGTTGGTCGTTCGACGTCTTCATTCGTTTGCAGGGTACGCTGATTCTGTCCTTGGCATAGATGTGTCGGAAGTGTACAACAGTTTCCCCCAACCAACCAATCAAAATCTCGAGGAATTATCAACCAATCAAAATCCTAAAAAGGAGTCGAACGCATGATGTCATAAAACTTTCATTAACATCTTGACTTTTGTGAAGAAAACATCTCTCAAGTGAGACTCAAATGTACGAAACGAAATACATATACGATACGATACGATACATCATTGTTTCATAAAACTAGCCATATTTTCCTTTATGTTATTGCTTTCTTCATTCGCAATGTCGACATAATCAGAATGGAGTTTGAAGTTAAACAAATTGCTGTTCAAGACAACTGCAGGTAGTGTATGATAAAAATAAAACACAGCAAGTTTTAAAACAAACCACAATCATTAATGCTTCATCTTGTTTTTCTTCATCATCAGGATTATCATCATCACCATCAACTTCTGCATTTTGATGTTCAAGTTTTTCCAATTCCTTTGCAAAGTCTGCTTCATCCATATCTGAGAGAACCTTTGGCTGAACAGATAACAATGATAATCAATGGTAGAAATTTATAGCTTAAATTTATCATTTGAAATCAACAAATTTCTTGCATAAATTCAAAGGCATGGCAATAGGATTTACAAGTACATTTCAACCTCTAACCTTGATTGGCATGTATCTGACATAATGAGAAGAACTGACAAAATAAACACAAAAGTAGATTGCGAAGCTCTTGGTCAGTAATGATCAAAGTTAAAAATCTGTGGGTAAAGTGAAGGTTTGAATCAACAATCGACTTGTAATGTGCCAATTTATCGCACACTAATCGACAGAGCATACAAACTTAACAATACAAACAATGGCTTTTAAGGGGACATAAAAAAATATCACATCCACTTTTTTACGAAACTCTTTCCCACTACACTTTATTAACAGAACCGTAAAACGATATCTCGACATCAAACAAAGCAACAACCTCAAACTAGACACCGAAACTCCTGACACGACGATCACAACCAACACAAATGAAAATTCCAAAATAACAACTCTATACTTCAAACTACCATACATCAGACATTACTCACGACACACACAACGCAGACTTACAAACATTATGAAACGCTTCTGTACAGATATTGACATTCGACTAGTTTTCACATCATTCAAAATCAAAAACCTTTTCTCATTTAAAGACCCAATCCCTGATTCAATTAAATCAATGGTGGTATATGAATTTAATTGCGCGGGATGTAATTCCCGATACATTGGCGAAACTTCGCACCATTTATCAACCAGAATCAGAGAACATACCAGAACAGACAAAAATTCTCATATCTACCGACCCCTTCTTAAATCTCACTCATGTAAAACCAACTATTCACCCTCTTGCTTCAAAATCATCCACACTGCCGACACCTCATTCGCTCTTAAAATCAAAGAAACACTCCACATTAACAAAACAAACCCTGACCTCAATGTTCAAGTTTTTAAATTCAATACAATATTTAGTTTATAATACGCTCGGACGCTCCCCATTAATTTATCTTATTTCCTTATTATTGTTGTTGTAAGGATAGTTGCCCCTTATGGGACACCCCGAAGCTGGCAGTCGTTAGTTGATAGTTCAATAAACAAGTTTACACGACAGCACTCGTGCTTTTTGTATTACTTTACTACATGGTGTCAGAAAATAATTTATCATTGACCACTTAAAACCTCTAGAGCCTCTCATCTTAGATGAAAACGCCGCAGAAAGACGGCGGAAATGGCGACAAAGATGGGACCTTTACTCGAAAGCAAGCGGAGCCACTTCAAAAGATCAATACACGCAGTGTGCAATCTTTCTCCACATGATTGGCGAAGACGCCCTCGAGATTTACGATACATTCACAGAAGCAGAAGAAGGTAAAATCGACACTCGATAACACTCTAACCCTGGACAAAGCCATCAACACCGTCCGAGCAGCTGAGATAAGCCACGCACAAGTCAAAAACCTAGCAACACAACCACTCGAAGCAGCTGCCATCCAAACTACGAGAGCTAGCTACCAAAAACGAAGCCCTCAACAAAAAGGAAAACCTTGTAGACGTTGTGGTACACATCACCTGATTAACCAATGTCCAGCTTACGGCCAAAAGTGCTCAAAGTGTCAAAGCAAAAACCACTACGCCAAAATGTGCTTCGCTAACTCTTCCAGACATAAACTCCACAAAATCACTCAAGAAACCCCTCAAGAAACTCAAGACGGTGTTAAAAACTACCACGAAATTTTCCTCGGTGAAATAAACAAGCCTAACGGAAACGAAATACTCACTAGCATTAAAGTAAACAACAAAGTCATCAGCTTCAAAATCGACACTGGCGCTCAGTGTAATATAATGCCACTCAGCGTGTTCACTTCACTAAACGACAAACCAACTCTTTACCAGACAAACACAAAAATAAAGGCCTACGGAGGAACCCAAGTACCTATTCGTGGTAAATACTACATGAACATCGAACACAACAACAAGAAAATTCATAGCGAATTCTACGTCGTTGAAATCGACAACTCGAAGCCACTGATTGGTCTACAAACAGCCGCGACCTCGACCTCATTAGCAGAAATGATGTCTGTGAAATTCACCAAACCGAACAAAACATTTTCGTAGAGTATCATGATGTTTTCAAAGGTATTGGCCTCGTCAATGGTGAATACCACATCGAAATTAAAAGTGATGCTAAACCTACAATTCATCCACCAAGAAAAGTCCCACGGAGTTTAATGCCACGCTTGAAATCAACACTAGAAAATCTCACGGAGATAGGAATTATCAGCAAAGTTGACCGAGCTACAGACTGGGTAAACAGCCTGGTCATAGTAGAAAAAAGAAATGGAATGCTACGACTGTGCCTAGATCCCAAACATCTAAATCAAGCCATTAAAAGAGAGTACTACAACCCACCGTCAGCCGAAGAAATCTCAAATAAACTCAATGGCACTGAGTTGTTCACTGTAATTGACATGACAAGCTGCTACTGGCACAAGAAACTTGACGAAGAATCTCCTTACCTTTGTACATTCAACACTCCATTTGGGAGATATAAATTTAACCGGATGCCATTTGGATTCTGTTCAGCATCTGACGTCGCGCAGAAAATGGTTGACGATAATTTTTCAGATATCCCTGGTGTACTTGCAGTCTATGACGACATCATCATCGCTGCTAAAGACAAAGAAGAACATGACAAAATCCTCATCAAAGTCCTCGATCGTGCCAGAGATCGAAACATCAAGTTCAACAAAGAGAAAATTCAACTACGCGTCAAAGAAGTAAAATATCTGGGCAACATTATAAACGCCAAAGGGTTCCACCCAGATCCAGAAAAAATTAATGCAATCCTAGAGATGCTCAAACCACAGAACAAGCAAGATCTACAACGTTTACTAGGTATGGTCAATTTCCTGTCACAATACATATCCAATATGTCTGAAATTACAGCCCCATTATGATCATTGCTTAAGAAGATATTGCATGGATCTGGCTCGCAGAACATGATGAAGCTGTTACTAAGATAAAGGAAGCACTAACCAGCAGCCCTGTCCTTAAGTTCTTTTACAACGACCAGCCAATAACTCTGCAAGTCGATGCATCATAAGGGGGCCTTGGAGCTTGTCTGATTCAAAACGAACACCCTGTCATCTATGCATCTAGATCTCTTAATGATGCAGAAACACAGTATGCACAAATTGAGAAAGAACTTCTCGCCATAGTATTTGCATGCGAACGCTTCAACCAATATGTTTATGGATGAGAGATCATAGTAAAAAGCGACCACAAACCACTGGAAGCAATAATGGCGAAGCCACTATGCCAAGCTCCACCCCGGATTCAACGCCTCTTAATAAGACTACAGAAATATCAAGTAACAGTCAAATATGTTCCTGGAAAATACATGTTCATAGCTGACACACCCTCTAGAGCCTATCTCAAGACCGACCGTGAACAACTAGACCTCAATGATGACATCGAAGTCATGGTTCACAGTTTAGTCACCAATATCCTGGCAACATCAGAGAAGATAGCTGAACTCAAAGCTGCTACCAAAGAAGATGAAACCCTTCAAACTCTAAAAGAGACAATCAAGCAAGGTTGGCCAAAACACTGACAATCAGTACCAACATGCATCACACCCTACTGGAATGTAAGATATGAACTGAGTGAAGCCGAAGGACTCCTATTTAAAGACAACAGACTCATCATCCCATTATCCATGAGGAAAGACATGCTACAATTAATCCATGAAAGCCATCAAGGCATAGGAAAGTGCAAGAATAGAGCTAGATCAGTGATATACTGGCCAGGTAGGAATAATGACATTATTACTGTTGTATCTAACTGTACCGTTTGTGCCACCTTTAGAAGCCAGAACCAAAAGGAACCCATGATACCACATGAGATACCTGAGCTCCCCTGGCAGAAAGTAGCATCTGATCTATGCGGATACCAAGGTAAAACCTACCTTGTGATTGTAGATTATTTCTCAAAGTACATCGAATTCAGTCTGTTACCAAATAAAACTGCAAAAACTGTCATCACACACACAAAGTCAATTTTTGCACGTCATGGTATACCCACAAGAACTCATATCAGACAACATGCCATTCAACAGCAGAGAATTTAGAGGGTTTGCAGAAAACTGGGGATTCAAAGTCACCACATCTAGTCCCACATACCCACAATCCAATGGGCTTAGTAAAAAAGCTGTGCAGACTGTCAAGAGGATCCTAAAAAAAAACTCAGTTGTAATGATAGTTGCCCCTTATGGGACACCCCGAAGCTGGCAGTCGTTAGTTGTAAGTTCAATAAACAAGTTTACACGACAGCACTCGTGCTTTTTGTATTACTTTACTACAGTTGTAATTTATGTATCATATTACTTTTATATAAACCTTGTATTGTTTATTATTTCACTTATACTGAAGATGGCATCATGAGATGTTGAAACATGTCTATTTTAAAAAAACTCGTTGTGTATATTAATTGCGCATTAGCAATAGTGCTTCTATAAAATTATGAATACAAAATTTTTTAACTTTGTTTGGCTTTTGAATTTTTACACCCATTACTTCATGTCATTTTCTTGTTTCAATTCTCACAGATAAATTTTGTCAATGTTAACAGGTTCGTTATATTTTTGATTTTAAAGGACAGGGATGGTGTCATTGTAATTTACAAATAAACAACTGATGATGAAGTCATACTTGAACTTTGATAATGTCCCATTTTTAATACAGCATGGTACTTAGGGAAGTGGTAACAGGATGATATGAGGACAGTAGAGGCACCATGGAGATGTCATTTTAGTGATACAATATACTTTTTTTATAAATATAAACCAAACACTTACAGCTTGTTGTAAAACAAATGTTCCTTTCTTGTTCATAACTTCTTCAATGGCTTTGATAGATGTTTCCAAAGCTTTTAAATCTTCTTCTTGATTCATTGTAGTTGTTCCTGACAACATAGAAGAACAAAACAGTTTGCAAACACACCCTGAAATTGTCAAAAGACAATTCATCATTTTATGTTATTCAGGCCTGGGACAAGGTTATTTTTATTCAACTTTTACTATATCAGTGAAAGTGACGACAATTCCCTGCATATGTCCTCTTATAGATCACAGCTCTCAACAAATGAAATTGCTCAAATTCTTCTGGTTATTATATAATTAGGAATGAAACGATCTAATGGTAGCAATCAACACTTGACAATGATCTCGTTATTAAAAGGTTAAAATCTATAAAATAAAATGATTTGAAATGGATAAGTTAATCTGAAACATAGCCTATAGAACAATGACTTTGAAACTCAAAAATTTCAATAAACCTTCCACTCACTGTCTCAAAAAGATGAGAAATTGAGTGTGTGATGAGTAGAGTGTGGAAGGTTTATTGCAATTTTTATATTTCAATGTCATTGTTGTAAAGGCTGTGTTTCAGATTAACTTATCCATTTAAAATCTAGATGTTCTTATTATGATCTTGTAGCATTACCTTTGCTCTCTTTAGTATGGTTCATATGTCATAATAAAATGTATTTACAACTAATATCGTAAATGTATTTATTATTGTTTCACAATAGTGAAGGTGAATGGGTTATCTACACACTTGGAAATCTCCACACTTGCACAGTTTTGCGAACGAAACATTTACGTTCTAATAAAAAAAGGCTTCCTTTAGAAAAGTAAAAAGCCGACAATTATGACCTTATGATTCATGAAAGCCTTCTTATATCCAAACTTAAACACTCTCTTAACACCCAAGGCAACTCAATCCCCCTTCACCTTCTTTAATATACCGCCATTCTCATTTCAATCCTTCATCTAAACTTCCTACTCCCCTCACATGTAATTTAACACCCTGTAATATATGCTTGTATTTAAAATCTCATGTATATAATATATCTCAATTAATCTGAAGATGTCTTAAGTTAAAGACGAAACGTAATTATTAAAAAACCTTTAATCTTTCTTTATTTTATTATTGTGATGGCTTTTTTTAAATGTCTTATGTTGGGCTATTGTGTTCATATTGAAAAAGTAAAAAGCATTGTCGTTAAATAATAGAAATAAAAGTCATACGTATAAGAAAATTTTTGCAGTAAACGCAAAAGTAGGGCGCAAACTCAGTAAATTTATGAATATTTTGCACAAACCTTGTAAGATCAAGCACAGAATGTATTGCTTCAACTTTTTCTTCGTTCGGTTCTGGTTCTTTCACGTTAACATTTCCAGGTTAAATGCAAATAAACAAATTACTTCCCAAACATTGTAGTTATAAGACAATACAGCAATGTTCTTCTTCCCAATTTTCCGCTCTGTTTTGACTCCAATTCAGCGACTGCCAAAAGCAAGCTGGATACAATCAAAGAAAGAACCAAAAGTCTTAATGCTCTCACCCAAATCTCACTAAGAAACGACACGTACATTGCATATTCCTTTGGTGTTGGATCTATGGACGACTGAACATTGCCATGTAATAAAGAACCTAGTAAAAATCCACAAAGTACGCCGAATAAAATGAAAAATAATATCATATGTTGTTTTGCATGTTTTAATCCATTGTAGCAACGTTCTCGTGAAGTCATTATCGAAATTTTGTAGCTCTGATAACATTTTGAAGCATTAAATAAACTTTTAATCACTACCGCTCAACTAGAGTGAAGTGAATTCAATAACAAAGCCCTTTCTACAATTGTACGGCATAAATATTCTACATTTCAATTTCAGCCAATGATAAGCTTAACTTTAGATCACGTGAGTTGGAGACCCGTCGTTTCCTCGCAAAAGTAAGTTTTCGGCAAATAGTGAAAAAGATTATTTATAAAATTAGCACATACACAAATTTATACGTTTTACAGACGTGATAGAGTCCATTCTATCTAAATAGTTATTTTAACAAATTTTGACACCATAGTTTGCATTTCTACATTTCTACAAATAAAATATTTCTACATATATAGTCAAACTTACAGTTCATCAGGAACTGATGGTAGATTTAAATCATATATTGCAGCACTAAAGTCCAAATATAAAACCTCAAGCAAGATATTAAAAAGTTCAGCATAACTGTCAACGTCTGATTTCATCACTACTTGATCTTCTACAAGATTCTCCTGCAGAACGTTTTCTTCACGGGAATTGTTTTCGTCATGTTGCTCATGCTCCAGTCCTTCGTGATCTTCGTCTTTATTTCTATTCTCATTCATATCTTTATTTTACATATGCTAACGTGGCTCGCAAACTTTACCAACAAATGTTGCTTTCGACGAGATGCTCCGTCACAAGCCAGCTACCACTGATTTGTTTCCCAATCAAAAACGGGAGCCTTTATATATCAGTGCCTTGCAACGAGCACGCTCCTCGCTATAAATTGCACCAATCACATTCATCCACAGATCTATTATTAGATCTGTGGAATCCGTCTCAGTGTGAATACTTATTGCTTTTCATCTAAATATCGTTTATAAAACGTTGCAAATATAGGGGAAGTCCCTGATTTCTGAATGATGCAAACAATTGCGCATGAAAAATTCGATGTTTGAAAGTTAAAAAGTTGAATGATTCTGAAAAGAGTTTATGTAATTTAATTTAAATTCATTATTATTTTATTTACTTAAAATCGGAATCGAACTAACGTGATTGAACAGTTTTTACAAAATTTAAAACCTCCTCATTCCGTTTAAATCGAATCGTTTCAAATTGTATCGTCTGGAAAGTTAAACTGTTTTCCAAGTGTTTTTCCTTCGACTCACATTCTTAAATGGTTTTTTGTTTCGTTTTCCTTGCGTTTTGCTGTTTGCATTGCGAAGTTTGTTTATATTTGACTTTACAATTACGCGTTTTAGATCGTGGTCTATGGCAAGCCGTACATGACAAAAGTCCATCGAGAAGAATATATTGTGTATCCAGTTGTATATACGATTACTTTAAACGCGTATACATGCGGTCGAGAAAGTTATACTGGCAATCCAAACATATATACCAGTGATTAAGAAAAATAATACAACACACGAGACAAATATAACATTATGCAAAACGAATACGTTTATCATCCAAATGCATACATAAGACTGGACGAATATAAATCGGATGTTTGCCTGTAATTGTGGTCAGCGGTTTGCTATTTCACGTGCTTGACTCATGGTTCATGCATGTGAGGCAGTGCATGGATTCATGCTTCATGCTCGAAATGCCCATGGATAATAATGAAAGCCGAGCCGGTGACAAGTGACGGCGGCATCCTTTGGCTATGAATCTCATGAAGAACTCACAGAATTTCTACATACGCTTCAAAATCTGTTCAGGCAAACACAACAATCGTTATTATCAAACGACCATCTTGGATTAGAGCACTGTAAAAGTAAAATTGAGCGTTGTATACCAATTGCTTCACCGAAAGTGATTTTACTTTCACTAAATGATCCTCATCCTCGAAATGATCCCTGCCTTACAGCAACGCAAAATGCACAAATACAAACGCCAACGGTTCGATCGCTGGTGGAAAGATTAATTTGTGACATGGAAGTCGAATTTGAGAAGGTTACAGCTGCTTTGGAAACATCTTATGATGAAAACGTTAGAGATGTTATTTCATTTTTACCAAGCAATGGCGGAAGGCCTTCATACAATATCACAAAAATTCAAATAGAGCAGTTGCGAGAGACAGGATTGAATTGGAAAAGTATTGCAAATTTTCTTGATGTCTCTGAACGAACACTCGCTCGAAGAAGAGTAGACTATGGTATTGAAGGAAATTTTACTGTAATAACAGATAACAGCTTATATGCAGAAATACGAGATATCCTCCGCTTAACACCATATAGTGGTGAATGTTACGTACGTGGCAGTATGAAAGCAAGAAACATAAATGTCCAAAGAGAAAGAGTGAGAGAAAGTCTACACAGGCTTGACTCAATTGGAAGAAATATGAGAAGACGGTATGCCATCTGCAGAAGAGTTTATGATGTCCCAGGGCCCAACCTCTTGTGGCACATAGATTCCAACCACAAGCTCATCTCTTGGGGCTTTGTCATCCATGGATGTGTGGATGGTTTTAGTCGACTGATAATATATTTGAAATGTACAACCAACAACAAAGCTAGCACAGTTGTTGAGCTATTTAAATATGGGGTTGCAGAATTTGGACTACCATCAAGGGTACGAGGTGATCGTGGGATGGAAAATGTTGATGTGGCAAGGCTTATGGTAGCACGCCGTGGAATAAACAGGGGGAGTTTTATTGCTAGACGAAGTATTCACAATCAACGTATTGAAAGATTATGGGCAGAGGTAAACAGGGTGCTATCAGCTCTTTATATAGGGATTTTTACTTTTCTGGAAAAGATGCTCCTTCTTGATGCATTGAATGAGGAACATTTATTTGCATTGCACTTTGTTTATCTCCCAAGAATAAATGAAGCATTGTTAGAGTTTAAGCAACAATGGAACCATCATGGCATGAGGACAACTGGCCATCAAACACCTCTGGCATTATGGCAAACAAATATAATTGACACTACTGATTCTCTTCTTAATTTTGAAGAATATGGAGTGCACAATGAAGGACCAACACCTCAAGTACGCAGTGATAATGAAGTTGTTATACCAGACACTTTAATAAATTTGTCAGAAGAACAGGAACAGTTGCTTTCCAATAGTATTAATCCCCTTGCTAATGATGGCAATTATGGCATCAATCACTATTTGAAAGCAGTTGAAATACTTACAAACTTTACACAGGGCTAACTCAACATGTTTGCAAATCGTGTTAAATTGAAAGATATAATTAGTTTCTCAGAAGTTCATACTAGACATTTGTTCATCAGGGGCCGTGTAAAATCGATAGTTGGGGGGAGGTGCATATTTATTCATTTGTATGTTTTGATCTATTTTAATCAATAACAACCAGTTTTTTCAATGTAAACTATAGCAGAACTTTTTGGAAAAGATGCTCCTACTATACAAAAATCCCTATGTATATAAACATTGCCCTGCCCCCACAATTATCGATCTTGCATGGCCATGTTCATAGTTTTTAAAAAAGCTCTAACACAAATTTTTTTAAGAATGTAAATTTGAAAATGTTGTTCTCAATCTAAACAATATTAAATGCCCAAGATTTTTCATCCTTTAAGATGTTTGTGAACTCTTCCACAAGTGCTGGATAAGATTCATATGTGGTTGGCAGTTCAATCCTTGGGATGCATGTACGAGCAACAGGTCTTTGTTGAAATCAATCTAGGCTTGTGAAGGTGATAGATATAAATGTGCATGATATTACATCACTTCCAGTGCAGAACTGCAAACGCCGTGATAGCTGTTCTCCTTCTAAGGACTTCACAAATCTCTTCAGGTGTTCAAGGCACTGTCGTTCAGCCTCAGTGTTTGCCTCAACTTTAAATAATTTAATAATTTTTTAGATGATAGCTCTTTCATCTTGTAAAATTCACTGACACTTTCAATACTTTGGAAACACTGATCATATTTTAATTGGCTGAGGATGGGAGTGCATACTTGGCCAATTAAGAACATACTTGGGCTTTTGAATTAGCTCCTGGTGTGCCAATTCATTAATAATGGCTTTGATGTTGACCACACTTGGCACTTTGAAGCATTTGAAGGTGGAAAGAAACTCTAAGATGACTTCGTCATCCATGCTAAATTCACCACCAAGACAGGAATCCATCACCTAAAAAACAATCAAATCTGCACATTACGTTTTACCATGTTGCATTGCCATTTCAAAAAAAGTGACAATAAATTTTTTATATGTAACCCTATAAAAAACCTGAAGAGCCTGAAAGATTGAAAAATATAAGAAAAACTTTCTATGCATACTTCTCTATCATCGGATGCAATATATTTTTGGAAAGACTCGAACAGAAATTCTATAGTAATGTCTTCTTCTCCAAACAAGCACGTAACCACAAATAACTGAGACAACTTCAGTGGAAAGAAACTACAATTCTTGTAGCCAAAAAACAAGACTTGCTACTGCTTCCCATTCTTTTTTCTGAAGATCGTGTCTTATAAATGGAATTTTTTCGCTAAAGCCAACCATTAACGAGTTAAAACAATCTTGCCAAAAGTTAGCATATCCAACATCACTCCTTTACCTTCACCTTTCTCAGGTTCTCTTGCTCATCCAGTACCTGAACTTCAAGTTAACAATCCACTATAGCTGGGTTGCCAAAACGTGAGATGATATCCTTGCAAATGCTACTTCTGTGTATAACCACATGTTTTACAGGATTTTCTAAACCACATGAAAGGTGGCAATCATCACCTAAAAAAATTAGATTTAACTATATTGTATGATTTGGCAAAGCAATCTTGGTAAACTTATGAAGCTCCTTTCACACTTAGGTATTAGTGGGATTTTGCATCCAAAACAGAGGGATTTCTTCACTTGGTCTCTGTACAGCTGTGAGCATGGTGTTTCCTAAATCAAAACTTGTAGCATTTTTGACATCAACAGAGGTACTTGTACTAACTGTATTTGTCGTACAAGTGGAAGAAAATTGTGGTAAATCATCAGCAGAATTAACAGGAAGCCTTGCTTGCTGTTCTGGGGCAGTAATATCATCTCTTGATGGCAACACATTTGAGGAATCACATGGAGGCATTTGTCCATGGTAAACAGTGGCATTGGTAAGATCATTTTGTACTAGACTACCAGCATTGGAACCAGACTGATCCTCAACATCATCACTATTAAATGCATTATCAGGGATATTTGCATCATCCTTTAAAAAAATAAAAAAGTGCATTTCTTTTTTTACCAATTGCAAATATTGTTTGATTGACAATATGGAAGCATGTTTTGTCCATAACATGTATCTAGGTTAAGATGGGATGAGGCTTAACTGATTGATTTGGCTCAGCAAATACAATTAAATATTTAAAATCATTCAGCGAACAGAACCTTAAACATAAAATATAACTTCCTTTCATTCCCTCCTAGAGCCCTTGAAAATACCTGTCTGGATTGCTTTGAGGATTTTGTATTCAGCAACATGCAGCTTGGACGTACATAGACAGGTTTCTGTTTGAAAATTCTGTGAAGCATCACCCCATCAAGAGGTTGCCCAGGTGCTAACGATGGGGCCACTAAACTGTTGTGGATTGAGGTCAAAATCTCAATCTCCACATTTGAGGGTATTTTCCCATCAAATGCTTCTATTATTCTGATCTCAACTGCTGCAGCTGATAGGCCTTTAGTGAAACTACAACCAGTTAAGTTGTGGCCATTTTCACGTGGCCGTGATTCTTGCCGTGGTACCACATCTTTATTTGGCCCACTCAATAATATCAGTCCCGTAAGAAAGGTCGGTTGTCTCTCCCTTGAATCTTGCTTCTGTTTACAGTTCTGCTCCTTCGCCGTGGCGGTTCGTTGTTTTAACAATAACCGGAATTTACTATTATTATTTGGCTTGTTTTGAAATCAACTGCTTTAGTCTACTAGGAACACTTCGAGAGAAAACGATGAACAGTTTGATGTTAAAACCACTGTTGAAACTGTTACATCTAAAATTATCATTCCATTCAAAGTTAATGTCGTAAATAAATGAATAAGTATATCTTTACATACAGAAGGTTACTAATAATGGCTACATCAATTAATTGTCAATTAGTTACATAAGATGTAAGCAAACATCATTACAGGTCCTTGAAAGCTTCCGTTTTTGAAACAGAATGCGTTTTCAAATGGTTTGCATTTCACACTAATTTATCAGTAGTAATTGGTTGTGTTTACGATAATAAAGTAGATATTTATTTCTATACTAAGGACCGTTTCAAACGGCACATTTTACATGCGTCTAATGCATTCAAGACAAAAAAATTAGATAAATTCTTTGCTATCTTTTGTTTTAAATGCATTCGGCTCATGTAAAATGCGACGTTTGAAAAACGGACCTGAAAGTTGGCAACTAATACATTCTGATTTAAACTTCTTCTTGTGTTGACTGAACATTCAACACAAAATCATCCAGCGCTTCCATCGAATATCCATGTTCTCTTATCAAATCCAAGACATGAGGTAAAAAATCGAATTCTTCAATAAGAGTCTCTTGTATGGGACGACGCCTCCCACAATTTTCTATTCCTGACGTCACTTCACCGAGACGACCTCGAACAATTTGTTCACCATTGGTTACGTCACGTTCCCCATGTTCCAACCTTCTCTTGTTGGAGAATATTTTGCAAAGCTTGCAACCCATGTCTGTGCTGGTATAAAATGAAGATAAAAAGTCTTTATTCACGAAACTTTTCCCTGCAAGACTTTAAAAGTTAATAAAATTTAAAATTTGATTTTATTCTTAAAGGCAACAAAGTATTTCAAACACAATGTAAATTTGTCACTCGTCCCGTCAACCGGCTCCTTTCTAGCTATAAACAGCGATTCCTTTGAATTGTTGGGTTAGTGTTCTGGTTAAAACAGTTCTTTTAAGAACTATTACATTGTTATTATCACCATTCACAACATAAATCAACAAAAAACCTTGCAAACGCTAAAACAAGCTATTTCACGCAATGTCAATCAAATCTCAGCTATTACCGTACGTACGTTATAACATAATGTGGTGGAACATAATGTTTTAAATGTAATAAAAAAGTCAGACTTACCTGCTGTCGGGAAATCAAGTTAACCGAAAATAGGAAAAAAAATAAAAATTGAAAATTTTTTTAATTTGTTGAGTTTACCATACAAACTTCAGTCCGTCCGTACTTTGTCGCTGTCATAAATGTTAAAGTTATCGTGGATTTTATAGTTATATATCCGTCTGTACTTACGTTTCCTGTTAACCAATCAGAATGCGTTGCTAACAGCATTAAGCTTTTTCACTCCCTCGGCACACCTCCAGAAAAAATTGATGAAAAATTCAATACACGCTTGGCATTTTTGTGCGCAAAATTAGAGAATTAGAATGTGCCAAATTTTATTGCCGGCGCGCGACATTTTTCGAAGCTTGGTAACGAATTTATCGAACAGCAAATTCCTTATTTTTGTCGATGATTTTCCAGCAAACGTTTTCCTTGAGCTACTTGGGAACACAAGAGTGTTATAGAGGATAACTAGAGGATCATTTTGATATCTCAATTGCTATGGTTACACATATAGTTTTTCAACAGACGAGCTTCTTGCTCGAGGGTTTTTGGCGAAATGGCGTCGGTTGGCGAAATTTGATAATTTACTCTAACTTCGCCTTGTATAGGTTTCTTTATCCGATCATTCTTTTCCTTAAATTTTGGATATTTGGTAAGATAAATAATCTTCCTACAATCGTATGTTTTTTGTTTTGAAGAAAATGGGATAATTTAGCGTCAATCATGCCGTTCCGCAAGGCAACGAATTACAAACGATTCAATGTTTGGGAATACATGCTCAACAAAAGATTGGCAAGGGAAGGAGATATGAGCAAGCAAAAGAAAGCAAAATGTGTGTCTAAGAAGCTTAAACGTCTTGATGATAAGGTAAAAAATGTTTAGTAGTTTGATTTGAAATGATCTTTGCTTACTCGATCTTGTCTTATGTCAATAAGTCAATAACATATGCAATATTTTGACATGATGTGTCGAATTTTGTAATGATAGGCTTATTTTTTAATGAAAGATTGTTTTATACAGAATCGACATATTTAGCGCCAAGGCGTACTATTTCAGTTTAATTGTATTTTTAGTTTGAACTGTTTGTGCTTGTATTTTATATCAGAATATGTATGCCATTTTTGTGCTGGAACTGTATTCATAAATTTTACAGGTAAAGAAATTGGTGAATGAAGTAGAAGAGTTAGATAGCATCAGGACAGAGTTCATTGAAGGTGGAAGTAGGCAGGAGGAACAAGAGGAGAAAGGTTTTAGCATAGGCAGGAAGGCAGTTGTTAGGTGAAGAAACAAACCAACTGGGCAAAGTTGTGTGGAGTAAACTGGTCGAACACGCAGGATGGAGACAATGTTGGCGGCTAATGCCATTCACGGAGGTAATAAAGATGATACAAAGCCTGGTACCATTGGAATGTTGGAGATATTAGAAAAAAAGTGCAAAGTGGGTGATATAGTAAAAGGATTAGAAAAGTGCAGTAAGTTTAAGAGCAAGGTTTTTCCAAAAATTTACAAAGAAGATTTGAAGGAGTTCGAAAGATCAGATGAGAATATGTTAAGATCGATTGCTGTGTATTATAGCAAAGGAGTTATGGGCAAAGAAAAGTATAGAAGAGTTTATAAGGCTAGCTCATATGAGCAGATATGTGGTAGTAAGAGGGCTAAACGTGTTAGTGTTGCTAAATGTCCCACCCCTCGGCTGGTTCCCTATGATAGATTAATGCAATACATTAAATCTATTGATATTGGTAAGTTATTTAGTGTTCGTGAACATCTGTGCAATGGGTTGGATGAGTGTGAGAAAGTCAATGGTTTTTACAGAGATATAGAAGATATTCTTGTTAAGCTTGCAGAATTTTATTTGAACATTGGTAAGTATAAACTTTTCAACTTTAATCAGCCAAACTCATTTCATGTTGCTATTGGTGGAGATGAGGCCCCTTTTGGAAGAGATGATTCAGCATGCTCTTGGCTGGTAAGTTTTCTATACATTGGACATGGCGTGTCGAGCCGCAATGAAAATTTCCTGCTCAGTACAGAGAACTGTCTCCCTGTAATTGCTTATAGCAATCATTCTACAAAAAAACAATTATTTAACAATTGCTTTTTGATTTGGCATTTGCTTTTTTTTGTGATTTGTTACAAAGCAAAGTAATTTTATGTACAAGCTGAATGAAGACAAAGATTTTTAAAATTAGTTTTTTGTTTGGTTAAGTTGTAATATTGTAATTGTATATATACAATGTAACAAAACTATTTAGTCTTTTATCACATTAGGACAAGTATAATCTGTGAAATTTAATCTTACCAGAATATGTACATGTTAGAGCATGCAATCTTTACATGTGCATACAATCAAATTTGCATATATTATACTTATCTGAATTTTACATTGACTGATATTTGTGTAGTTTAACTAATTTTTTAAACCTTTGTCAACTTTAATAAAAACTCGAAGAAGCCAGAGGGTGGTGTCCTCATTGAAAAATTTACTGTCTAGTATTTGCAGGCAATGTGCTAGTTTGCCCTATTTTTGATTTTAAAGCAGGCAATGCAACAATTACCAAGAGCGAATAAATGGCTCAGTTGTTAGTCAGGTTTCAACTTTTTTATTTGAAATAAATTTAAAAGGTATTTGTAGATCTCTTTGTTTTTAGAGTGATGGCATGAATTAGGTTGAATTTTTTCATATTTTTTCTTAATTTTTGAATGAGTTGCTTCTTTTGCTGTTTGGAAAATTTTATGTTTGTTTGTCTTTATGTACAAAATAAGAAACTGGAAGGCTCATCATTGAATAAACAAAGTCTTTCACCTCGTTTACAATAACTGCTGCTGTTTGACCCTTGCGACGTCCGCTAAAACTTCGCCTTAGGTAAGCAGCAACATCTTCCTTGGACAAGCCAGACAACAAAACAAGCAACTCATTCAAAAGGCGCATGGAGGTGAAGGATATCACCTCAGCCTTCTTGTTTTTAACCTGGTAACAGAAAGGAGCCACAAAACTATCCAAAGTGCGAACAGTACGCATCATGGTAGCAAAAAAAGCATGCGGAGTAACCCTCGTAATTTCCCCATAATATGGGTTTCTGATTCTTTTTTTGCCACCAAGTCGTGGACGAATCCCCATTAGCCAAATTCGTGACTCCTCCTTTAAGAGCTTAGCTGGATTGATAGAAAGTCCCATCAATCTCAGCGAACTATTGTTGTGTGTCGAAGTTGACCTCTGCAAGTTGACGCATAGCTTGCACTTGCCCAACACACCGCTTTGAGACAATTTCCACATTTTCGCATTGCATGTCACTTGCTACTGCGAAAATTGCCTCTTCAACTTTTGTTAAGGAGGAAGGTGGCTGTTGAACGGCGCTGTTGTATATGTCTTCTTGATGTAATTTTTCTTCTGCTGAAAATCGCACATTAGAAACAGCCGCCATCTTCATTAATTAATTATTTTAATCAAGTATTTTGTGCAAAAACCGCTGGACACAATGACTTACAAATGAAAAATTATGAGGCGCGAAACCATTGAGTTCTATAATAACTGGAGCGGCTATCTCAAGCGCGGCCTTAGATATCTGGTGACGCCAAAAAAATGGCGGATTTCGTCCGTTGCCGCTGAGATTTACCGAAATTGACCGCTTTTCCGAAAATTTCACAATTTCCCACTCCCTCCTGAGGAAAGAGTGAAGAAAATGTATGTGTGTATTTGGGATTCGGCAAGCAATGAAAATCACGATAAAAACCTACAATTCGTAACAGCGAGTCAACATAGCTTTCCAGTTATCGGCTCCTACGAGGATGTATTTATAACTATCGATGAAAGAGCTATATGTCGGCTACACATCTATGAATGCAGATATGCGTCGTTTTCTTACCAGCGTCAAACTTGTTTGATCGATTAAACTCTTTAGTCTATACAAAAAGTATATCATAGTTCATCTCCACAGTGGTTCACGAGAGAGAAGTTAGCTTATTTTTATCATTGCTATTTTGCTTCTTTTACTTGTTTCTTTAAAAAGTAAATATTAAATCTCTGGATATTTACGTATTTTCTGTAATTGAGTTTCATATTAAATTTCAAAAGACTCAAGTCTGCATAGGTTTGGTAAATGAAAACAAACAATATTGTATAGAAATTACTTTAAGTAACCTTTTGTGATGTTCTGAAGTGCAACTGCATCAAATACTTGTAAAGTTGTAGCACATTTTGATTTTGTTGTATTGATATATAAATTGGGCAAAATGCAAATAATCATCAAAACACTTATGCTTCCAATGGTGTTTATAATTCATTTTTAGTTTTAATACTCCTACCTTTCTTTTTCACTTTGTTTTGTTTTTCCTATATTTTCAATATAAGTGCACAATTTGAATGATTAAAACAGTTTTCACTTCAATAATAAATTTCATAAGCAGTTGGTAGTGCATTTTGTTCTCTGAGTATCCACATTTGGTGTTTTCTTCATACATGAATGATGAAATGCATATGGATATGTCATAACAAGGCAATAAAACCAAATGAATTAAATACCTATAGTGTACTTTTATGCTAGAAGCTTAACAGCTTTCTAGAAATTATAAAGTTATTGGATTATATTACCTCTATATCATCAATCTCATGAAAAGAAATAAGAAGCAAAATATTTGTAGAAAAGCTTTGAAAAGTGAAAACATTTATTTAAAAAGCAGCAATGATGCATATGATAAATCCCCATTCTGTACTCTAATAGGTAAATAAGCTCAAACTGTTTCTTAAAGAAATATAAGAAATATATAAGAAATATACAGTACAGTAAATTTAAAGGTTTCATCACTGAATCTTTAATGCTTCAGTATAGTGCATTAGATATTAGTAACATTTAAACAACACTCAACTAAAATATTTTGATAAAGATATGCCATGATTTAAACATTATGTTATATAAAACCCAATGGCTTATTCAGTTTAATGCTTCACATCTGCATCAAGTCATCATCAATCTCAGTACAAATGTTTACATAGACACAAACTTTATGGCCTTCCATTTTATATGTTGTGAATTGACATTTAATTAAGCATCAAAACACACAACCTTCTTGCCATCTTTTTGGTTCATGAACTTCAACTTCAAAGCATTCAAGGCATCATTAGTGAATCCATTGTCTCCATCCATAGAATTTGACCATGATCAAATTAAATAACTCTGGATAAGGCAGACAATAAATCAATTATCTTTACAGCATTATCATTTTTAAGACTCTGCCTGATCAATAACATCTTCCAGTCATCTTTACTTCTTGGTCTTCCCTGCATGTTGTCAGCAAATACAACATAACAAGCTCTGCTCCAAATCATGGGTACTGTTGGGGCTGATCATTTCTTCTTGATACTTTTCACAGAGCAAAATGTGTGCAGGGTCTTTTTGCTTTAGGGAAACTATTTTGCAAATAGATAGGTAAATTTACGATTTCATGCATTAACAAATGACAGAAAAGTATGCAGAAATTTATAGACAAAACAGGAAAACATCAGTATATTTGGCGTTCAAGTCAGTCTTAAAAATACGATCTTTAATATGTATTTTATGGCTTTTCAAGTGCATGTATAATTGCTTTTCAATCGTTGACGGACTAACAAAACAAACAACTACCTCACCTGTGGGAAGCGATATGTACCTTTTTGTGGAAACTACGACATCCAACAATTGAACGATTGAAGTGTTGGCATTATAAAAGAAATGCCAAAAAAGAATCGTCACAGAATATGGAACTAACGATATCGTGTTTGTTTTTGAAAAATTCTTTATAATTTACTATAGACACCAGGGGGAGGTCGAGAATATTATTTTTCTGCAAAGCGATCATTTCAGCGGAAATACGTCCGTTGGCCGCCATTTTTTTGGCGACCTCGCCCCAGTAAAGATAGCCGCTCCAGTTATTATAGAACTCAATGCGCGAAACGGGACAATATTCGAACTCGTTTTATTTATATGCTAAACTTGAAAAACTTATGCTAAACTTAAAAAATATATGCTAAACTTAAAAAATATATGCTAAACTTGAAAAACTTATGCTAAACTTAAAAAATATATGCTAAACTTAAAAAATTGGTTCTAATTAATGCAAATGTATGCATGATAATTTACGCGATGTAGTTGATAACTTGATACTGATATCTGTGTTGTTTTCACGTGTGCTGTGTGGAGAAAGTCATGGAAGATGCGTTAAATAAGGCGTTACAAAGAATTTCTGACCTAGAAAGTATAGCTAGGACTCCTAGTATATCTCAATTTGGAAGGGAAAGCGTTGCAATGTCAACAAATAGTAGTTCAACGGCTAATGCAACTACAAGAACGAGCGTCCCAGAGGAAATTTCTCGACGGTTTCCAAGCCTACGTAGGCCTCAAGCATCCCCTGAAACATCAGTGTCCCGCACAGGACGAAGAGAACAGCATTTTTAACAGGCCGCCACTGGTAGAAAAAAGTCAAGCACCAGTGCTCGTAGAAACAATAAATATTCAAAGCCTGTACTGAGAGACTTGGTTCTTATCCCCAATCCAGAAGAAGCTGTGCCCACGCGTTCCACAAGAGTTATGTTGGATAGTAAAGGCTTTGTGGTGCACAGCTTTCCTTTTCAACGTGAGTGGGATACACAATTACTAACACGTAAACTTGCGGAGGCATTTCCAAAGTATGCTGTTATGCTTTGAGTACATTAAAGTAAGTTGAAAATGCTTTGAATCTACCATATGACTGCAATGAAATGGTTATCTGTACATCAAATTATCAGAAAAATGCCTGTTTCTTTTAATTATAACTATAGAACTAAAAAATTTTTTGGATCAATATCTCTACGGACATTTCAGTTGAGTAGCATTTGTGTGAAAGCAAATTCGGAATGGATCATGAACTTCTCCATTTGTTTGACTGAATCTTTACTGACAGTATTGTAAATTTACATTAGGCATCTTATGGCAAACTCATCAAACCAAACCTTGCACCAGGAGTGGAAATGACTGGTAACCTTTTGCTTAAACTTTCTGGTCAAGGATCAGTCTACATTCGTTCCTATGAGTGCCTGGATGAAGATAGTGATTATGAGAGTGCTCTGGTGGATTCACAGAAGGCTGATAAGTCTAGTCCTACTCATGGTGAGACTTTAGACATCATTGAGCAACAAACATAGTTGACGATGATGCTCACCAGCAGATTTCTGAGGTTGGCGGTCAGTCAAATCTGTCAACCAATTTATCTGTTGATGTTGCTTACAACATTACTATCTCTGATGAAATGGATGCCATTGTAAATCCCGAGTATGGCAACGATTCCTTACCTCTTGAAACACAAGGTCAGGAAATGTTGAAATTAAATTCAATCAGCATACTTTTATTTTTTTTTAAATTGAACAGGAGCATTCTATTTTTTAGATCGAGAACCATTCCAGAATGTTGAATATTCTGATATTCAGGGACCTTTAGAAATTCAAGGTAAATTGCAATGTTTTTAAATCAACATTTTCCTTATATTTTTTATGTTTAGACTTAAGTTATTGTGTATTTTGGTAGACCTACCAAGTAAACTACCAGTCAGAGAAGTTCTAATTCACAGAAGCCATGTTCTTAAGGATATCATAAATGAATTCAAGGATCCTACTATTGTTGGCTGAACATTAAGTATTGCCATTGTAGATGAAAGGGGTAATATTGAAGATGGTAGAGGTTCTGGGGTTACATGTGAGGTTGTTAGCCTGTTTTGGCAACAGTTTTTCCCTGCATTAACAATGGGTGCCACGGAAAAAATTCCGTCAATCAGGCATGATTACCAACGTCAAGAATGGGAAGCAGTGGGTAGATTTATGGTATTTGGTTATTATACCATTAAGTATTTCCCTGTTTCACTGTCATGCATTTTCCTTGTGTCATGTTTGTTTGGGGAAGAGGCAATCACACATGATTTGCTTCTTGAATCATTTTACAAATTTATACCAATTGATGAAGCTGAAACATTGAAGAAAAGTACAAGTAATGATTTTGATCCCCAAGATGAAGATCTATTAGACATTTTATCCAGCTACAAGTGTTACAAGAACCCCACTAAAGAAAATATTTCAATGATTGTCAGTCAACTTGCTCATCAGGAGTTAATACAGAAGCCACGTTACATTTCCAATTGTTGGGGTCCCATATTACAGCCATTGAAAAATACAAGTCAGTTCAGTAACATTGAGATTATAAAACAATTGTATGATAAGAAAAAACCCTCACCTAAAGATGTTGTAAAAATACTAATTGCATCCCCATCATCAGACTCTGAAGTCCAAGCATTTGAATATTTAAAGAAGTTTATCAAAACACTTTCAGAAAGTTCTTTAGAATTGTTCTTGCAATTCACAACAGGAAGTAATATGCTAATTGTACCATCAACTGAAGTGGCTTTTACAGCTGTAGATAATGCACTTCGAGTACCAATTGCTCATACATGCGGACCTATGTTGGAACTACCATCTACCTACCAATCATTCAATGAACTCTCAGAAGAGTTCACCAATATCAGGAAGGAGAAAGAATCGTGGTCCTTTCATATTGTTTAACTCTGTCAAAGCTACTTGATAGCTACTTTGTTATGTATATATTGTGCTTTTGAATACTTTGTAATACTTTATTTTCTGTTATGTTCATGTTTTGTTTGAAGAAATTAAACTGTTACTGTTTTGTTACATGAAATGAACATCAAAGAGCATTTTTACAAATATTTTTGACAGCAACAAAGTCAAAATAGTTTTGAAGGAAACAAAATATTTTTTGTAAAAATCATCAGTATGTCATCCACTTACTAATGAAACTCTAAAACGAACAAGTATTCAAAAAAAATAGGAAGGTGTTCTCATTACAAATATAATCAACATAGTTTTTTTCCTTTAAATGCAGTTTGACAAAGTTTTGATTAAATATTCTCTAAAAGTTGAATGCATGACAAATAAAGAAATGTTCCATCACTTTCATCATTTGCTGATTCATTGATATGTTGTTTTAACACAGCCCAAACTTCAGCTGAAGAAGTAAATAAAATTTCTGGAACAGCTACCTGATAATCACTGTCCTTAATTTGCAATGGAGCATCTAAATCCATGTCAATCCCACTCCCCAGATTTTCATCATTCTTCCCAACCATGCTGGTATCTGCAATGTATGCTCCACTTGAAAAAGTTCCCTGAACAAAAGTTGGTCAAGACTTAGGTTTGACTCTGTGCTCACAGGATGTGAGTTCCATTGGGCAATAAACTCATCAAGTGCTCTTTGAATTTTAGGTATGTAGACACAATGAAGGCAAAACAAATGAAAATCATTTATAGCATCTAATATACCTTCATTCTCCACTTCCGTGAAAAGTTTTACATAGTATGACAACACCCCTTCATAGACATCACGATGTAATCGCTCCACACGAACATTATGGACTGATTTCCCAGTAAGAATACTTCCTCTATTCAATCCTCTGTTATGCAACATAAAGCGTGCAACCTCCACATTCTCTAGACCATGATCACACCTCACCCGAGATAGAAGCCCCCATTTCTGCACTCCTACTAGAAATTGTTCTTTCACTGTGGCAGCTAAGTTGTTGTTTGAACAATGCAAGTAAACAATTAAGCGACTGTAGCCATCTATACATGCATGAATTACCATTCTCCATGAAATTAATTTATGATTACCGTCTATGTGCTAAAGTGCATTTGGATAGGGCACGGAATACCTACGATTTGACAGATTGTAAAAACGAAAGACAGTACGAGTTTTACATAATTGATCTATTTCCGCTGAGATTTACCGAGATTGACTGCTTTGCAGAAAATTTTGCAATTTTACATTCCCCCCCGAAGAAAGAGTGAGAAAAATGTATTTTCGCATTTGAACAGCAAATTTATGATGAAAATCAAGGTAAAAAACTGAAATTCATGACAGCGAGTCAACTGTGGTTGCTAGTTGTCGGCTTCTACGAGGATATGTTTATAACTAACGACGAAGGACCTTTTTGTTGGCTACAAATCAATGCAGACGCGCGACACAGCGAAGTAAACATTCAGACTTGTTTGCCCGGTTAAACTTTACGGTTTATACAAAGAAAAAATTTATCATGGTTTATCTATACGGTTGTCGTGAAAAGTCTAGATCATGTATTCTGAGTCATTCAAATTTCATTTAAATTTCAAAAAAACTCAAGTTAGCATAAGAGACTATGGGCATATGAAAATAAATAAACATTGTGTACAAATCGCCTAGTAACCTTTTATGGTCTTCTGAACTGGAAATGCCTCAAAAACTTGTAAAATTGTTGAACATTTTGATTTTGTTGTTTTCATATATGAAATGGGCAAAAAGCAAATAATCATAAAAAAACTTGTGACTTGTACTACAATGGAATTAAAAATTATATTTGAAGTCAGTGAATACAAAATTGTGTTTTTAATATTTCTTCTTTTCTTTTTCTCTGTTTTATGTCTTTTCAATTGGCAATATAAGTGCACAATTTTCAATATAAGTGCACAGCTTTCATCTAAATAATAAATCTTATAACCAAATTAAATACCAGTTGTCATGTGAATATTCAACATCTGATGTTGTTAATACAAGAATGATGAAGTGCATGTTGATAAGTAAAATTTTGCAAACGTGCTAACGTTGCTTGAATGTAATTTGGTAGGAATATAATGATAAACCTTTGGGTATACAAAAAAGAAGCTTAGGAAATTGCTCGAGAGGTATCATTGTGCGGATTTTTTACTTCACTGTTCCACAGTACGAACATCAAGGAGATGGAAAGAATAAAAACAAGAAACCCATGTTATTCAAATCCCACATCAAGTAATGTTTGTGTTCAGAGCTTCAACTAGTTCAGCACTATATCATCCTCACTAATTCCCTCCATCAGTGACATAGATAGTTCAATGTAGGGGAGTATGAAATGTTCATGTTCTTATGCTCAGTTATATTTTAAGTTCCTTTGCAATCAACTGTTTTCTATGAATCATAGAATTATATGTTTGTAAATGTAGATCGTCCAGGTTGGTATAGTCCTGAGATGGACTGTTTTTGTTGTTGTTGACTGACGTCATTTTGACTCTGAAGATAACTACCGCTAAGGTTCTTGAAACGTCAGTCAACAACAACAAAAACATTTACTTTATTACAATCATAGTATTCATGTATAAATATTACTCTTCCAATTTTAGAGGCTAGACACTCCACTGTGTAACACAGTACACTACTAACTATACTTGGATAAATATTGGATACACAAGTAAGATATACTCAATCATAGAGGTTCAAACTACTGTCAATTTGAATTTCTCTTATAGACTTCATTTTAACCTAAGCAAACCTATGAAAATTTTCACACAACACGTTGAACATGGGCGTGAAATATTATTTTGAATAGTCACAAGAAAAAATTGATGTCCGAATGGTGTTTCAATAGAGGTTAAAGTTTAACTTCTTTCCTATTAAATTAGCACTTGTCAGCCAATCTATCATTCTCTCTGAAAATGTTTTAACACAAACCACAATCATTTATGCTTCATCTTGTTCTTCTTCGTCATCAGGATTATCATCATCACCATCAACTTCTGCATTTTCACGTTCAAGTTTTTCCAGTTCCTTTGCAAAGTCTGCTTCATCCATATCTGTGACAACCTTTGGCTGAATAGACAAAAATGACAATCAATGGAGGAAATTTGTATTTCAAATTGATCATTTGAGATTGGGAAGAAAATACAAGGGCACAAAGGTGTGGCAACATGAGGAAAATTTAAAGTATCAACTTGTAACTCGCAAATTACATAATGATTTTTAAGATGATATGGAGATGGTACAGGGATGGTATAGGGAATGTAAAGGTATAGCTTGGGTAATGGTATAGGGATGGTAAAGATATAGCTTGGTGATGGTATAGGGAATGTAAAGATATAGCTTGGTGATTGTATAGGGAGTGTAAAGATATAGCTTGGGGATGGTATAGGGAGTGTAAAGATATAGCTTGGGTAATGGTATAGGAATGGTAAAGATATAGCTTGGATGGTATATGGAAAGATATAGCTTGGTGATGGTATAGGGATGGTAAAGATATAGCTTGGGGATGGTATAGGATGTATAAAGATATAGCTTGGGATGGTATAGGGAATGTAAAAGATATAGCTTAGGGATGGTATAGGAATGGTAAAAGATAGCTTGGGATTTAAAGGAACGTAAAAGATATAGCCTTGGGACGGCATGGAACGTAAAGACAGCCTGGGACGGCATAGGACGGCAAAAAGACATAATGGGGATGGCATATGGACAAAACATTACAGCCTAAGGATGGTAGGAGGTAAAGATATAGCCTAGATGGAATAGGAGGAAGATATAATGGGGATGGTATAGGGAGTGTAAAGATATAACAGACAGGGAGTGAAGATATAGTGGGATGGTATAGGATGTAAAGATATAGCCGGATGGTATTGGAGTGGATAAATGGGCAAATGGTATAGGAATGGTAAATATAGCCAGACGCATAGGAACTAAAAGATATAGGCCTAAGGATGGAATAGGATGGAAAGATACTCAGATGGTATAGGAGTGGGAAAGAAGAATGGATGGATTAGGAACAAATGAGAAATTTGGGACGGCATAGGAAATGAAATATTACAGCATGGAACAAAGATAAATGGATGGGAATGGAAAGATATAAATGGGGATGGAGTGAAAGATGGAATGGACAGGAAAGATATAAGGGATGAAAGGAGGGATGGAATGGATGTAAGGATGGAGGATGGCATGGAAAAGATAATGGATGTATAGGGATGGAAAGATATAGGGGATGGTATAGGGATGCAAAGATATAGCTATGGACAGTGGAGACATGGTGGTATGGGGACGGGAAATAGGATGCAAAGATTACAGCCTAGATGGAACGTAAAAGACATAGCCTTGGGATGACAGTGAGCAAAGACAATGGGACGGTATAGGGACAAAGATAGCCAGACATAGGAGGTAAAGATACACAAGGACGGCATAGGAGTAAAGATGGCCTGGTGATTGGTATAGGAGTGTAAAAGATAAATGGGATGGAATAGGAGTGAAAGATATTGTCAGGGGATGGTATAGGGATGAAAAGATAGCCTGGGATGGTATAGGGACAAAGATATGAGGGATGGTATAGGGATGGTGAAAGATATAATGGATGGTAAGATATAAAGGATGAAAAGATAAATGGAAAGAAATGGGATGGTAGGGGAATGGAAATGGGGGATGCAGTATAGGATGGCAAAGATATAATTGAATACAGTGGATCAGCATAGCTCATGATGGCATAGGAATGTAAAAGATATAGCCTGGAGGATGGCATAGAAATGTAAAAGACATAGCCTGGGATTTGCATAGTGAACGTAAAAGATATTAGCCATGATTATATTAAAGTGGAAAGAGATAGCCTAGGGATTAATAGGATAAAAGATATAGCCTGGGCAATGGCAGGAAATCGGCAAAGACATAAGCCTATGATGCGGCATAGGAATGCAAAGATTATAGCCTATGATGCATAGGAGGTAAAAGATAGCTTTGGGATGGTGAAGAGGATGGTAAAGATATAGCCTAGATGGCAGTATGGAGGTAAAATATAGCCTAGGATGGTATAGGAGGTAAAGATATAGATTATGGATGAAAAGAAAGGGAGGAAGATATAGTCGGATGGTGGAGAAATGGATGAAAGGGATGGAAAAGAGAAGGAGGGACAGGGAGTGAAGATATAGCCTCTGGGACGGGGATTAGAACAAAGATATAGCTGGGATGGCATAGGGATGCAAAGACAGCCTGGGGATGGCATAGGATGGCAAAAGATATTAGCCTGTGGGATGAAAGAAGAGGGAGCAAAGATATTAGCCTGGTGATGGTATAGGGAGGTAAAGATATAGCTTGGGGATGGATAGAGTGTAAAGATATAATGGATGGTATAGGGAATGTAAAAGATATAATGGATGGTATAGGGAATGGGATGGTAAAGATATAGCTTTGAGATGGATGGTATAGGGATGGATGGATAGGATGGTATAGGAGTGTAAAGATATAGCTTGGTGATGGTATAGGGAGTGTAAAGATATAGCTTGGGGATGGTATAGGAATGTAAAGATATAGCTTGGGGATGGTATAGGGAATGTAAAGATATAGCTTGGGGATGGTATAGGGATGGTAAAGATATAGCTTGGGGATGGTATAGGGATTGTAAAGATATAGCTTTGGGATGGGATAGGGAATGTAAAGATATAGCTTGGGGATGGTAAAGATATACCTTGGGAATGGTATAGGGATGGTAAAGAATTAAAGATATAGAATGGGGATGGTAAAGATATAGCATGGGGTTGATACCGGGTTTGAAAGGATTGTTAATGGGTTGGTCGGGGTCATCACTTTTTATTGATACAATATATCTCTCATGCGACAGTATACACTTACAGCTTGTTGTAAAACAAATGTTCCTTTCTTGTTCATAATGACTTCTTCAATGGCTTTAATAGATGTTTCCAAAGCTTTTAAACCTTCTTCTCGATTCATTGTTGTTGTCGTGACAACATAAGTTGGTGGTGAAATAAGATTTATCTAAAAGAGCAAGAAAGTTTACAGTTACACAGCCATTGCCCATTGCATGAAAAGAAGCAAAATAGCAATGATAACAAATAAGCTGACTTCTCTCTCGTGAACCGTGGAGATGAACTGTGATATACTTTTTTGTATAGACTAAAGAGTTTAATCGATCAAACAAGTTTGACGCTGGTAAGAAAACGACGCACATCTGCATTCATACATGTGTAGCCGACATATAGGTCTTTCGTCGATAGTTATAAATGCATCCTCGTAGGAGCAGATAACTGACAACCACAGTTGACTCGCAGTTATGAATTTAAGGTTTTTACCTTGATTTTCATCAAAAAATTGCTTGCCGAATCCCAAATACACACATACATTTTCCTCACTCTTTCCTCAGGAGGGAGTGGGCAATTGTGAAATTTTCGGAAAAGCGGTCAATTTCGGTAAATCTCAGCGGCAATGGACGAAATCCGCCATTTTTTTGGCGTCATCAGATATCTAAGGCCGCGCTTGAGATAGCCGCTCCAGTTGTTATAGAACTCAATGGCTGCTAGTCATAAAATTAAATCCATATAAAATCCAGAGTGGGATCGCAAGCATTATGCAACACGATGTAAAAAGTTCGCCATACCGTATATGAAAATTTCTCACAGACTATATAAAAAATACGACGATTGTCATGTTATAAAAAGGATTGGAACGCTGCATGAAACTTCGGAATAGGCTATAAATTTTGACGATACGATACAAGAAGTTTCGAACGTATATGAAAAGTTTACAATGTCCTACATCAAGTTTGGCATATATTTTTTAGATTTATCTCTAAGTATATAAAGTTTGCCATGAATAGTTTTAGTATGTTGTGTTGTAAGTTTAGAATAAAGTCCAATTTGGCGCCTCATATTCCTCAAAAAGAGTCTCTTGTATGGGATGTATGGGATGTATGGGATGTATGGGATGTATTTCTGCCACTTCACCAAGACGATCTTTACCATTTTGTTCACCATTGCTTACGTCACGCTCCCCATGTTTCAACCTTCTGTTGTTGTAGAATTTTTTGCAAAGCTTGCAACCCATGTCTATGCTGCTATAAAATGAAGATAAAAAGTCTTTATTCACGGAGCTTTTCCATGCGAGAATTTAAAAGTTAATGAATATAATTTAAAATTTGATTTTAATGTAACAATCATTATAACAATTATAAAAGACAACTATAGTGGCCCATCGCTACCATCACTATTTTCGTGTGTCAATATTATTTTCAGCTGAATTTTCATTTCAAAAACAAATTTCACATGAAACTTTACTTTACAATGTAAATTTAAAATTAATTTTATTATTTAATTACGTATTTCATTTATTTTCATTCTTCAAGCGTAAATGAAATTTAAAAAGCACTTTCCTAGGCGTGGCTCAGCGCTATCACCACTGATCTGATAAAAGTCTGGATATAGTTTCTATAGTTAGCAAATAAGTGAAGCCTAATTATATATGCAAACTTCATTTCCGGGTACCACAGGAGATAGAAACAAATGACAAACTTGGTTTTTGAATATTTAAGGCATTTTACGACCTTTTACTAATCTCAAATATCCGTAATTTGATAAAACGAGTTTTGTAAAACAATTTGACATCAGAATGGTCTCAATAGCTGTATAATATCGGCGTTCGTGCTAATTTGAAAATTTTCTGTGCAAGAATACTAAGAATAGGCCCCATTGTTGCCAAGGCAAGATAATTCACAGCTCGCTTTCCAAGTTCAGAGGCAGTTATGATCTAGAATAAGTTTCAATGCCAGCAAAATGCGGTAAGTACCTTTATTTTATCATTCTTTATGCTCTAGAGATTGCTGTATGTTTTTGTTTGCTGTGACTTAATGAGCCAGTGAGCTAGGTACTGTTGATGTAGGAATAAGACAAATTCACAAAGTATTTTTCCTTACTTTTTTATTAGTTTTATTTTATAAAGATAATTTAATCACCACGCTTTGCTATGGCATTTGGATATGGCCTTCATCAATGAGTAAGAATGGTTGTTATTGACAAAAGTATCCAGCATATGTATGAATTGCAGTCTATGCAAAGCCATAGCATCAGGAATTGTATTCCCTTGTAGTAAACTGCCATTAGAAGTTATAAACACCTTTCTGTTTTCTTGCATACTGATAAAACAATAGCTGTTGGTTTGAAAGAAAATACTCCTGTCTTTTAAAGACAGGAAAGCAAATTCACTTTTGTAATTTTTTGAACAAACAACTTCTTAACAAGTAATATTTTGTTTTGTAGCATTCGGCAATATAATGAGCCATTTATGGAGTTGCAATCATATTGCAGTACTGCAGTGTTAGTTGCATAGACTGCAATTCATACATATGCTGGATACTTTTGTCAATAACAACTATACAGCATTCTTACTCATTGATGAAGGCCATATCCAAATGCCATAGCAAAGCGTGGTGATTAAATTATCTTTATAAAATAAAACTAATAAAAAAGTAAGGAAAAATACTTTGTGAATTTGTCTTATTCCTACATCAACAGTACCTAGCTCACTGGCTCATAAAGTCACAGCAAAAAAAACATACAGCAATCTCTAGAGCATAAAGAATGATAAAATAAAGGGACTTACCGCATTTTGCTGGCATTGAAACTTATTCTAGATCATAACTGTCTCTGAACTTGGAAAGTGAGCTGTGAATTATCTTGCCTTGGCAACAATGATTTGCAACATTTGTTTCTATCTCCTGTGGTAACCGGAAATGAAGTTTGCATATATAATTAGGCTTCACTTGTTTGGTTAGCACTATTTTCCACCCAGCAAACCGCCCTTTACTTTACACAATCGGAAATAAATTAAAGATGGCGGTTAATGGGAAAGAACCAAAAGCTAAAAGGAAACCATGCATGCACTGGTGCTAGGTCGTTTTGAGATGGCGAGTAATTTTATATTTTTATAATACAGTTTTTAATATCAACATATGAAAATATTTAGAGATAAATGTTGCAGTATAAATTTTCATGCAACCACCTTAAGTTATAAACTTATAATCCAGGCTGGAAAATGTCGTTTTTCGACGATTGTGTAAAATATTATATAAAATATTATATTGTGTAAAATATTAGATTGTGTAAAATATTATATTGTGTAAAATATTATATTTCAAAGTAAAGGGCGGTTTGCTGGGTGGAAAATAGTGCTAACCCACTTGTTTGCTAACTATAGAAACTATATCCAGACTTTTATCAGATCAGTGGTGATGATGATGAAATAATAGTAATAAATAATTTATATAGCGGCCAAAATCCAAAAGTTCAGTGGCGCTTCACATTTAATCCGCAGTATAATAATAAAAAATATACTAATTAAAAATATGTACAGAACCAACGAAAATAAGAAAATAAATAATTGAATAAATTTAAAACAAATAAGTCTTTAGATTCTTTTTAAAAGGTTCCAGTTTAGTTTCGTGTCGCAATGCTTCAGGCAGATTGTTCCATAATGGCGTTGGGCCTCGCGTAGGACATTGTTTTTCACGCTTGAAGAATGATAACACTGGTCAACAAAAAGAAACTTTTTAAAAGGTGTCTGATATTTTTTGACTGATTTACTATATTTTTGCTATGCTAAATCTAGAAATAACATTCATTTTGCTCTCGGAGGTCAAATTTTTTTGCAAATTTGAATTTAAAATTATGCGACTTTAGTTATATTTTTTTAAAACAATGTTTTCAAGATTTACATGTTTTCAAGATTTACATGTTTTCAAGATGTTTCAAAACAAAATGTCAGTTTTTATGATAAAATTGCAGTATTCCAAGAAAGAATCATGTACACTTCATGTACAGTACATGTAACTAAAAATGAAAACTTAATGTTTGCATTATTACGGTCTAAATTTTCGTTTTTTTTTGATTGTCGCGAATGTTTTGTTGCTGGCACATCTCTTTTTAAATTCCAACAGTAGTCCGCCATCATCACCATGTCCCACCTTTCTCTTAAGTCATGGTGAAAGCGCTCTCCTTGCTCGTCGCTTAAAGAGCCAAGATTTTCGGGATCAATACCAGCTTTTAATTTTTCAGTTGACAAATTGGGAAGGTTTTACAACGAAACTGAAAACACCGTCCATCTTTATCCAAAGTTTTAGTGAATTGCCTTATCAAACCGAACTTTATGTGCAGTGGAGGAAATAAAATACGTCCCTGTCAACTAGAGGCTTGTTTATCACATTTTTGCTCTACAACTAGCAAGCTCTTCACGTACTGGCCATTCTTTTTCACGTAATGATGAGTACGATCCCTACTATCCCAGAGGCATAAAAGTATGGGTATTTGGTAAATCCAGACTGTTGACCAAGCAAGAAGTTGACCATTTTAAGTCAACGCAAATCAGCCATTTATGTTGGTCATAAGAAATTTTTCTAGGACGTACTTAATTGCTTCATGCTGTTCTTTTAATGTTGTGGAATGTGCCAATGGCACAGATGCAAATTGATTTCCATTGTGTAACAACACACATTTCAAGGACCTTTTGCTGCTGTCAATAAAAAGTCGCCAGTCCTCTGATTTGTATTCAGGTACTCCGAGATGTTTCAGTAGCTCTACTATGTCATTGCGATAGACTAGTTCTTTTCTTGAGCAAAATATCTTAAAAATCCTGGTGCCTGGTACGGAAGAAACTTACCTTAACTTTACCATTTAGCATGTTCTTGTCCTTTAAACGAGATGCAAGAAGTTCGGCAGAGTCTTTTGGCAAATTTAAATCGCGAACAAGATCGTTTAGTTCGTTTTTGGAAAACAATTTTGGCTGCTCATCATTGTCATCGGGAAAGGATGCATCATCGGTAGTGGCAATGCTTTGAGTTTCATCCTGGCTACTACTGCTTTCTTCAATACTTGTATCTTCAAATACAAGTACGGGAATTTCTTCACTATAAGGAGTAGGGCGCATAGCTGACGGTAGATTGGGATACTCCAGTGTTGTGCGATTTTTTCTGTTAATTCACATGACATTGATAGCACAAAAGTAGCAATCGGTTGCATGATTTAAGGCTCTCGCCAAATCATGGGGATGCCAAAGTTCATGGACTTTTGCGTGCCTTTGCTCCATTGACGGAGATGCTCTGTGCATCTTTTGCAAGCCATGTGAAGTGCCCAACGTTTGTCTTGATCGCCGAGCTTCATGCCAAAATATGCATAGTAAACGCGCTTGATAAAGGTGGTGACAGTATTGCGATTTGGTGCAAGTGTGTATTCACCACAAACATAGCAAAAAACATCTGGCTTATTTTTATTATTTCTACTTTTTATTAGTTTTTACTTACATTAATATGTTGGTGTGTTTTAACAAGTTTTACCATTGAATTCCAGTATGGGCTAAATAAAGCCTTATTTTATCTTTAAATATTCCATAATAATCGCAAAACCTTAACTCCCTAATTGAAATTCAATCAATAATTGCTTATTCAAATGCTTTCTTCTTTGTATTGCTAGTGCTAAAAAATTTAAATTTGTTCAGATAATAGAACATTAAAAGGTAAATGGTTAATACTTCTGTTGTACCTTTCTCGGGTATTTAAAAGTTAAAAAATACAAAATTAACGATAGCTTAAAATCTCGACCTGACCCAGCAAAAATAGAGTTATTTTTGGACTCAGCACATCAAAATTGTCCAAAATCAGTTTACAAAACTGAGACACCAAATTTGCTGTTGACCAGTGTAATTTAATACACAATCTCGCAAAAGGACGTTTAATTGTTTTGTGTTCACTCACCGTAAAAACAATTTTGTACAAATTCACTAAGTTAATAATAATATATCAAAACTTTTATCAAAGCCGCGGGGAAGCGACTATAACGATTTCGCGCTGCCGAAATTGATAAACCGCATCAAGGCGTCAGAAAAGCCAAAACTAGTTAGTACTACGCAATGGAAATCAAATCCCCGCAATTTTGTACAAATTCACTAATTATAAAATAATGTTTAATAATGATAAATCAAAACTTATATAATAGCTTTAGCTAAATGAGGACAAAAAATTCAGCTCAAGTAAAATGTTTACATATAACATAATGTTGTGGAACATGTTCTAACTGTAATAAAAAAGTCAGACTTACCTGCTGTCGGGAAACCAAGTTAACCGAAAATAGGAAAAAAAACGAATTGAAAATTGCTATAATTCGTCGAGTATTATAATTCACTTAAGCGAGGTCTATGTATAAGTGAATTAAACGATTTAAATCTCGCGCAATGAGCTCTCGTGAGTGAGGTTTATTCTCACACGTCATCCGGTTAACCATTCAGAATGCGACACGCTACTTTTTACGAGCCAATAATGTTGACGTATACGAAACAATGGCTCGCACACCCCGCCAGTGCCAACAACAACGGTGATGTAATATTCTTTTGTATGAAACCACCAATATGGCTGAATTGAATTGTAATTGAATTGAAGTCATGAATGTTAGCATTGGGGAGAAGGCGAGAAATCATTGAACTATTTCACTGGAACATCTTAACACCTTTTTTCCTTAACAACACCGTTGCCCCCAAACCACCTGTCTTGACTGCTCACAAAATGCCCATCTATTTCTGTCTTCCTTTCACCGGCATACACTCCCTTCAAATTCGCACACAAATCAATAGCCTTTGTGCCTTCTAATCAATAAATACAAGCCTTCACTTAAAGTGCAAGGAAGTTCCATTCCACTTAACCTCTTTTAATTTCAATTTATTTTACTTCCTAACTTCCTTATCATATAATTCATTTGAAATTATATTACACTTGCCGCTCGGCAAGTCTCTCGCTACTAAAAACCATGATCAGCCGACAATTTAAAAAAATACTAATAATTATACTTATATTAATAATACACTGCTTTCGTAATTTTAGCTCGTATTCATTGTCAGATCTTCCTGCAACAGCGAGAACCTGAACCAAAATTAGCGCAGTAGGTGACATCGACAAAAATCTGACAACTGTAGTCGTAGGACCTTTCGCCCTGCGACTAAAATGTTTATGTTAAAATGTCGAAAGCCAAAATTCATGCTATCCTACAATCAATGTTCAATCATCTCGTTTTTATAAGATAGCAAAATTAGAAACGACTATAATTTTGAACAAACCTCACTGTAAACGACTGTCTAAGTTAAGATATACCACAAATGTGCTAACGTGGCTTGAATGTAATTTGGTAGGAATGTAATAATAAATCTTTGAGTATACAAAAAAAGAGGCTTTGGAAATTGCTTGAGAGATATCATTGTGCAGATTTTTTTACTTCACTGTTCCACAGTACGAACATCATGGAGATGGAAAGAATAAAAACAACAAACTTGTGTTATTCAAATCCCACATCAAGTAATGTTTGTGTTCAGAGCTTCAACTAGTTCAGCACTATATCATTCTCACTAATTGTCTCCATCAGTGACATAGATAGTTCAATGTAGGGGAGTATGAAATGTTCATGTTCTTGTGCTCAGTTATATTTTAAGTTCCTTCGCAATCAATTGTTTTCTATGAATCATAGAATTAAATGAAGATATGATCTTCGCACTTTGCTGGACAATTTAAGCAATTGTCTCATGAACCTGAAAAATTCAGGTGACTCAACGGGATTCGAACCCATGACCTCTGCGATGCCGGTACAGTGCTCTTACAGTAACATTCCGGTACAGTAACATTCCGGTACAGTAACATTCTTTCATATGACATTCCTTTCACGGGAAAACATTAGCCCAACAAATTGACCTGCTCTCCACTGTGTGACTTCATAGCTCAGTTGGTTAGAGAACTGTACTGGCATCGCAGAGGTCATGGGATCGAATCCCGTTGAGTCACCTGAACTTTTCAGGTTCATGAGACAATTGCTTAAATTGTCCAGCAAAGTGCAAAGATCATATCTTCATTTAATTTCAAACACCGCACTGCATACAACATTCTTTCATATAATCATAGTATTCATAATATAAATATTACTCTTCCAATTTTAGAGGCTAGACACTCCACTATGTAACACAGTACACTACTAACTATACTTAGTTAAATATTTGATACACAAGTAAGATATTCTCAATCATAGAGGTTCAAACTACTGTCAATTTTAATTTCTCTTATAGACTTCATTTTAACCTAAGCAAACCTACGAAAATTTTCACACAACACATTGAACATGGGCGTGAAATATTATTTTGAATAGTCACAAGAAAAAATTGGTGTCCGAATGGTGTTTGAATAGAGGTTAAAGTTTAACTTCTTTGTTATTAAATTAGCACTTGTCAGCCAATCTATCATTCTCTCTGAAAATGTTTTAAAACAAACCACAATTATTTATGCTTCATCTTGTTCTTCTTCGTCATCAGAATTATCATCATCACCATCAACTTCTCCATTTTGACGTTCAAGTTTTTCCAGTTCCTTTGCAAAGTCTGCTTCATCCATATCTGTGACAACCTTTGGCTAAACAGATAACAATGATAATCAATGATAAAAATTTATAGCTTAAATTTATCATTTGAAATCAACAAATTTCTTGTATGAATGCAAAGGCATGGCAATAGGATTTACAAGTACATTTCAACCCTCTGACCTTTGTTGGCTTGCCAGCATAATGAGAAGAACTGACAAAATAAACACAAGGTAGTTTGCTAAGCTCTTGTTGATGAATGATCAAGGTTAAAAATATGTGGTGTTGTGAAGGTTTGAATGAGCAATTTACTTGTAATATGTAAAATAAACAATGATGGTATGAAGATGGTATAAAGATGGTATAAAAATGAATTAGGGAAGGTATGAGCTTGATAGGGGGTTTGAATAAGGATATTAGGTGATGGTAAGATTATTTGGTGATGGTATGTAGATAAAGTAAATGGTTTGAACCCGGGAGTATCGCTACATGTTTGTAGATGTAAATCTTCCAGGTTGGTATAGTCCTGAGAAGGACTGTTTTTGTTGTTGTTGACTGACGTTTCGACAACCTTAGCGGTAGTCATCTTCAGAGTCAAAGAAGATGACTACCTCGGACCTTGTAGCTATTGTAAGATATATTTACATTGCTGTGCACATTTGGGACATCTATAAATAATTAAATCTTGTTTTCGTGAACATCAAAATGTTCATCCTCATTGTGTTTATGTAGCAATATTGCAATTTGATGCATTTCAATGAGAATGATCTGTCATATACAGTGGTGTGAACCAAAGCTTCGTGCTTTTCTTGGTTCTTAAGGTTTGTTTTCCTTGACAACTCATTTATTGACAGTTGTCTTGTTGTACACAATGTTCAGTAGTATATATAATAATCATTCTACAATTGAAATCTTGACATAAACATATTTAAAAGTTAAAATGACATGATGAATATGAGGTATAGCTCTATTGGTTAAGAACAGTTCATGTACGAGGTCAGATGATGTTAATTTTGATTCATAATGGTTTCAAAAAAGCTTGGCTGACTGATAATTATGTTAATAAACACATAACCCAGGCTGTCACATGTTACAATCGTAAACAAAATCTCAGCAAACTTTTGCCATAAATATAAAGCAGTTTTAAAATTCAATCGTTTGTCAAAGAAGATGACTCTGAAGATGACTACCGCTAAGGTTGTCGAAATGTCAGTCAACAACAACAAAAACAGTCCTTCTCAGGACTATACCAACCAGGACGATCTACATTTACAAACATGTATGTAGATGATTTGATATGGTATAAGGATGATAACAAGGTGTTAGGGGCGTAGTGTATGCACATGAATTAAAGTGATACACAGATTTATTACAAAAAGGTTGAGGATCGGTACTTTTTCTTAACACGAAATTCTTCATGCAAGAGTAAGAGAAATTAAGACAATTTATTTGTAAATGATTGCATTACAATCTAAACTTTGATTTTACAAAGTCAACTTAACAGACAAACAAATACATACATAAAGTAAACATTTATATACTTATCGATATTTGACACAAACCTTGTAAGGTCAAGCACAGAATGTATTGGTTCAACTTTTTCTTTGTTCGGTTCTGGTTCTTTCACGTTAACATTTCCAGGTTAAATGCAAATAACTAAACTACTCCCCAAAACGCCAGCAAACATTGTCAGCCATTGTGGTCGTAAATTAAGACACAAATAACGAAATGCCACAGAGAGGATAACGTTTGTTTTACCATAATGAGAGAAAAGCAAAGAAAAAAAAATTTCAGTTCATTTTCAATGTTACCAAGTCAGTTTTCATAAATACAAAACCAATTCACAATTTTCACAGTCCCCTGGCCGAGCGCAATGAATAATTATCATTACAAATTATTTATGAAATTCAATATGATAATCAATCAAAAATTAACCACAATTAATCAAAATTATGGTGTTTAAAGTTACTGTCTTGTTATACCCAAAAATGTCTTTTTCCTCTAAAAACATTTACCATAATCATTTGGCTTGTCTTAAAATCAATTACCAAGAAATACCTTCTTGGTAATTGAGTTCGTTATTAAAACGACTGTTAAAACTGATTACATCGAAAATGATCATTCCATTCAAAGACAACAATGGCGCAAATCAACAATGAATATATAGGTACAAAAGTTTACGTACAAAGTTTTTAAAATAGCTACATAAATTGTTTGTCAATTAATTACACAAGGCGGTCAAGGTGTTAGCATACATGTCCTTGAAAGTTTTTGTTTTTGAAACAGAATGTATAATGAAATGTTTACGTTTAACGTACAAATAAATAAAGCATATAAGATGAGTGGTTATTTCTAAATATTAAGGTTGATCTAAAGTCCATTTAAAGTTCCTCTGGTATGTAAGGCGAAAAATTAAATTCTTCAACAACTCTCTCTTGTAAGGCACAACCTCTAGTACCATTTCCCATTTCCGCTGTCACTTCTCCAAGACGATCTTGAATATTTTCCTCACCATTGCTTTGGTTATTTTGCTCATTTTCTGAACGTCTCGTGTTGTTCAAAGTTTCATCAGGCTTCTTATCCATGGCTGTGTTTGTATAAAATGAAGATAAGAAGTCTTTATTCACGGAACTTTTCCATGCAAGAGTTTAAAAGTTAATTGATAATGTTTAAAATTTGATTTTAATCTTACAGACAACCAAAGTATTTCATACACGATCGTGTAACAAGTATAGGAAAGAGGAATTCTGAGACGAAAATATAATCAAACATTTTTCTGGCCGAGTGAGCGCCTTGTTATATGAAATAAGTATTTTTGCAACATTCCCAAGAATCGCAAAATAAATAAAGCAGCGTAGAAAATTGCATGCAAGTATGAAAATAGCCCCCAACAGAAGTGAGAATGGATTTAAATAGACAATTGAATATTACTATGCTTTAAATTCGTTGCATTGTTGCAAATTCCTTGGTATTTGCACTACATAATCAAACATTGTTCTAATGTTGCAAATTATGTTAAAGTTGTGTTAGGTTTAATTGTACATTCGGGTACGTTGGGGACGATAAAGAACAATATAGAAAACATGAGTGGAACGGAAGTAGAGAGAACAGAGAACGGAAGTGAGAGATGAGACATGCGATACAAGCGAGACGAAAAGAGACAAGCGAGAGAAGCGAGAAGGGATACTTTAAGAAGTAATAATAAAAATTGTTTATGAAACCAAGTTGTGATTGTGATTATTCTTCGTGTTCCGAATACATTGGGACGGAGGTCAATTTTCGGAATACTAACGGAGTGAACTCCTTGTTTTATCCACTAGGGCAGACGGTAGGGTGCATTAGCATTATGCGGCAGGGCCACCAGTGCATAAACTTTTTTTTGTGAATGTAAAGAATGTAATTTCCCTCGTACTAAAATTAGCGAAAACTAGCTAGTACTACGCAATGGAAATCAAATCCCAGCAATTTTGTACAAATTCACTAAGTATAATAACAATAAATCAAAACTTATATCACAGCTTTAGCTAAATGAGGACAAAAAATTCAGCTCGAGTAAAACGTGAACGTATAACATAATGTGTTGTCAAAGCATAATGTTCTAAATGTAATAAAAAAGTCAGACTTACCTGCTATCGGGAAATCCAGTTAACCGAAAATAGGAAAAAATAGGAATTGAAAATTGTTTTAATTTGTTGAGTATATCGAGCGAAGTCAAGCAATTACCACCTTTTAGTCACAATTTAAATCCCGCGCACTGAGATCAGAAATCATCTCTATTATATGAGTTCGGTCTGTCCGATTATTACGTCATCCGGTTTAACCAATCAAAATGCGCTGCTAAGAAATGGCACTGCGAACGTTGATAAACAGAATGCGCTCTTGAAACTTACAACACAGAATAGATGCGTAGCGTGGCGTGTCGCGCTATTTTTTGACAATGTTAAAACTAAAATTAAATGAAGATATGATCTTCGCACTTTGCTGGACAATTTAAGCAATCGTCTCAGGAACCTGAAATCAGATTGAAGTGCTCTGACCAACTGAGCTATGAAGTCACAGTGGTGAGCAGGTCAATTTTGTTGGGCTCATGTTTTCTCGTGAAAGGAATGTCATATGAATGTCGTATGTCGTTTCCTTTCACGAGAAAACATGAGCCCAACAATATTGACCTGCTCAACCCTGTGTGACTTCATCATAGCTCAGTTGGTCAGAGCACTGCACCGGCAACGCAGAGGTCATGGGTTCGAATCCCGTTGAGTCACCTGATTTTTTCAGGTTCCTGAGACGATTGCTTAAATTGTCCAGCAAAGTGCGAAGATCATATCTTCATTTAATTTCAAACACCGCACTGCATAAAACATTCATAATGTTAAAACTCTTGACATTTACGAAACAATATTGGCTCGTAGACCCCGCTGGTACGAACAATAAATATGGCTGAATTGAATTGTAATTGAATTAAAGTCATGAATGTTAGCATTGGGGAGAAGATTAAACGATATATATTCCTGCAACAACGAGAACCTGAACCAAAATTAGCGCAATAGGTGACAACGACAAAAATTTGACAACTGTAATCGTAGGACCTTTCGCCCTGCGACTAAAATGTTCATGCTAAAATGTCGAAAGCCAAAATTCATGCTATCCTACCATCAATGTTCAATCATCTCGTTTTTATAAGATAGCAAAATTAGAAACGACTATACTTTTGAACAAACTTCACTGTAAACGACTGTCTAAGTTAAGATATACCACAAATGTGCTAACGTGGATTGAATGTAATTTGGTAGGAATATAATAAAAAACTTTTGAGTATACAAAAAAAGAGGCTTTGAAATTGCTCGAGAGGTATCATTGTGCGGATTTTTTTACTTCACTGTTTCACTGTTCCACAGTACGAACATCGTGGAGATGGAAAGAATAAAACTCGTGTTATTCAAATCCCACATCAAGTAATGTTTGTGTTCAGAGCTTCAACTAGTTCAGCACTATAACATTCTCACTAATTGTCTCCGTCAGTAACATAGATAGTTCAATGTAGGGGAGTATGAAATGTTCATGTTCTTGTGCTCAGTTATATTTTAAGTTCCTTTGCAATCAATTGTTTTCTATGAATCATAGAATTAAATGAAGATATGATCTTCGCACTTTGCTGGACAATTTAAGCAATTGTCTCATGAACCTAAAAAATTCAGGTGACTCAACGGGATTCGAACCCATGACCTCTGCGATGCCGGTACAGTGCTCTTACAGTAACATTCCGGTACAGTAACATTCTTTCATATGACATTCTTTTCACGGGAAAACATGAGCCCAACAAAATTGACCTGCTCACCACTGTGTGACTTCATAGCTCAGTTGGTCAGAGCACTGCACCGGCATCGCAGAGTTCATGGGTTCGAATGCCGTTGAGTCACCTGAATTTTTCAGGTTCATGAGACAATTGCTTAAATTGTCCAGCAAAAGTGCAAAGATCATATCTTCATTTAATTTCAAACACCGCACTGCATACAACATTCTTTCATATAATCATAGTATTCATAATATAAATATTACTCTTCCAATTTTAGAGGCTAGACACTCCACTGTGTAACACAGTACACTACTAACTATACTTAGTTAAATATTGGATACACAAGTAAGATATACTCAATCATAGAGGTTCAAACTACTGTCCATTTTAATTTCTCTTATAGACTTCATTTTAACCTAAGCAAACCTATGAAAATTTTCACACAACACATTGAACATGGGCGTGAAATATTATTTTGAATAGTCACAAGAAAAAATTGATGTCATAATGGTGTTTCAATAGATGTTAAAGTTTAACTTCTTTGCTATTAAATTAGCACTTGTCATCCAATCTATCATTCTCTCTGAAAATGTTTTAACACAAACCACAATCATTTATGCTTCATCTTGTTCTTCTTCATCATCAGGATTATCATCATCACCATCAACTTCTGCATTTTGACGTTCAAGTTTTTCCAGTTCCTTTGCAAAGTCTGCTTCATCCATATCTGTGACAACCTTTGGCTGAATAGACAAAAATGACAATCAATGGTGGAAATTTGTATTTCAAATTGATCATTTGAGATCAGGAAGAAAATACAAGGGCACAAATGTGTGGTAACGTGAGGAAAATTTAAAGTAACAACTTGTAATATGCAAATTACATAATGATTTTTAAGATAATATGGAGATGGTATAGGGATGGTAAAGATATAGCTGGGGATGGTATAGGGATTGTAAAGATATAGCTTGGGGATGGTATAGAGATTGTAAAGATATAGCTTGGGAATGGTATAGGGATTGTAAAGATACAGCTTGGGGATGTTATAGAGATGGTAAAGATATAGCTTGGGGATGGTGTAGGGATGGTAAAGATATAGCTTGGGGATGGTACAGGGATGGTAAAGATATAGCCTGGGGATGGTGTAGGGATGGTAAAGATATAGCTTGGGGATGGTACAGGGATGGTAAAGAATTAAAGAAATAGAATGGGGATGGTAAAGATATAGCATGGGGTTGATACAGGGTTTGAAAGGATTGGTAATGGGTTGGTAGGGGTCATCACTTTTCATTGATACAATATATCTCTCATGCGACAGTAGACACTTACAGCTTGTTGTAAAACAAATGTTCCTTTCTTGTTCATAATGACTTCTTCAATGGCTTTGATAGATGTTTCCAAAGCTTTTAAACCTTCTTCTCGATTCATTGTTGTTGTCGTGACAACATAGGTAGGTGGTGAAATAAGATTGATCTTAAAGAACAAGACAGTTTACAGTTACAAAGAGTGTAAACAAAGATTATTCAAGAAATAAGATGTTTACTATGCTTGCACAGGCTTATGCAAACTGAGGAGACCTTTGGGAGAATTCAAGAGCAGATCAGTGCAAGCCCCACCGGTCTAGGGCTTGCACTTATCTGCTCTCAAGTTTTCCCAAAGATCTCCTCAGTTTACATAAGCCAGTGCAAACACAAAAAGCATCTTTTATTTCCTTTATAAAATAACAATAATGCGAAACAAACAAACACCCTAACTTTTCCTCTAAAATGTATTCATGATTGATTTGCAAATTCTCTTTGACTGATTGATTGTTAATGTTATGATCGATTTGATTGGTTGAGCTCAGATGTGTTTTGCACAGGCTAATGCAAACACAGCTCTAGACCAATCAGCGCACTTGCTTCAATGTGTTTATTTCATAAAATATAATCATAACCAATATGCTATTCACCTTAATCGGCATATCTTCAGTTTGATTATCCAAACCTTTAAGCAATGCTTCTTTTACAGCATCAATGCCTTCTTGTGTGAAACAAGATACTTGTATATCTGCTCGACATTTGACTGCTTGTGGCATCAATCTTTGTGTGATATTTTGTAACAAAACCTTCTTGGTCTCGTCATCAAGATTAAGCTCATCTAACACATTGGGATCACTGCGAAATGAAAGGACTTATTTAGATACATCAGGTGGAGAAGAGGATGACAAGAAACATGCATGATTGTGTTGAGTAAATAGGACAAAATGAAGTGTAGAGCATGTAAAGATGAGCTTTTATGTTTAGTACAGCGAGGGAAGGGAAGGAGATTTCTTATTTTTAAAGCGTGGTTTAAAATAAAACAAATTCAAGATATTATTGAGTTTGAAACAAAATAACGTGTAATATTTTGTTTCAAACTCTTGTAATATCTTGAATATCAAGAAAACGAGATGTCCCTCTTCGGAATTTGTTTTATTTTGTACTATTCGAAAGTGTGGTTTAACAAGTAAGAAAATGACACAACACATCGCACCATCAAAGTAAAAAATTTGTGGGGTGAGGTAAGATATTTGTGAGAGGGAGGGGGGGATTTTTGCAGGGGCAAGCAATCTGTTTAAGAGTAAGGTGAAAATGACCCATTACTCTGACCATCAAAATCTGTTTATGAGATTATGGTATGTTTTGAAATGTGACATAGAGAGTGAATTCAATAGAAGCCATTAAAATTATGAAGGTAAATATACGATATTTTCATGTGTTATTCAAAGACAGAAATTGTTAAAAATAGCCAACGGAAAGAATCAATAATCAAACATACGTCACAGCTTTCTTGAATGCATCAAAAGCTTTCCCCACTCCTTTGAGATTTGTATCTAATGTCCATGCAGTTTTTGTGTATAAGTCCTCCAGTTGTTCATCTGTTGAGAATTTTAGTAATTCTGCCGTGTGTCTGAGAATACTATGTACCTGAAAACAAGTTACATAATTCAAAATACAAACATATTGGACTGGAAATGTTTTGAAATTCTTGGCCAACCTACAGTTTTTGCATTGGAGTATTTTGATTCGCATTTTTTGACCTCTTCTGGCGACACACGTCTCTTGGACAGATCGATGTAGCCTTAAATGAAACATATTGACCCCCAAAGATGAACGATTATTCATAAAATTTGCCCCATTCTATACACGTCTCTTGTCTGAAGCAAAACTAAAGCAAAAAGGCAGAGTTCAATAACAAAACAAACCTTTTTCCTTGTCCACACGTATTACAACAACACATTCGTTTTTTCCAACTCTGATCAGTTTATTAATAGACCTAATTCTCCTTCTTGATAACTCGCTAAGCAAGATCATCCCTTCGATATTATTGTATTCCAATAAATTAACGTAGGCTCCCATCTCAGCGATGGTTCTGACGTTGACCATGACAACATCGTCTACCTCAGGATACTTGTGATGATAAAAACGACAAGACAAAGGCATTTTTACTGCATTTTTTCAAACATGTGCCATGAAGAAATTTACAAAGATGATGCAACAGTCGGAGCCGAGGATGCACCTGGGAAGACTGAGGATAGCTATATGACCTGGCCAAAAACAGAAGTAACTACATTTGTAACCTAGCCTTAATCTGAAATCTTTAATCTTGATTAAACTTGAAATTTTGATTACCTTTATGTCTATCTTTATGTCTACCTTCATGTCTACCTTTATGTCTACCTTTATGTCAACCTTTATGTCTACATTTATGTCTACCTTTATGTCTACCTTTATGTCTACTTTATGTATGCCTTTATGTCTACTTTTGCGTCTACCTTTATGTCTACTTTTGTGTCTACCTTTATGTTTACCTTTATGTCTACCTTTATGTCTATTTTTATGTCCACATTTATGTCTACTTTTGTGTCTACCTTTATGTCCACCTTTATGTCCACCTTTATGTCTACCTTTATGTCTGCCTTTATGTCTACCTTTATGTCTACCTTTATGTCTATCTTTTTGTCTACCTTTATGTCTACCTTTATGTCCATCTTTTTGTCTACCTTTATGTCTACCTTTGTGTTTACCTTAGTCATAGCAGTTGAAGATACGAAATTCTACTCATTGTTCCATATTTGAATAATTGTAACGATGGTAGCGATAGTATGTTTCTATTTTTCATCTTCTCTAATAACTCATAAGGCTTTATATATTGGCTTTGCTATATGATCTTCACAGACGATAAACGGACAAAAGTATGAATGTTTGAGGAGCAAGAAATCAAGGAAGGCGGGGATTTATCTCAAAATCACGAATTCAATCCTGTGAAATGTAGGTTTGAAAGACTTATATTGTCATATTGTCTTATTTCTATACTCTAAAGTTTTAAGTAACAAGATACACATTTCTTTTCAAATATAGTCAATTTTCCTTCTGTTTACAACACGTTTAAAAAGTGGAGTATCTTTCAAGATGACATGGTGACGTTTTGATGAATCCCAGTTTTACGACATCCGTTTACGAAATGACACTATACAAACGAAGATAGGTTTGGCGTAAAACATTGTCAAATGTGATCCAGGAATGATCCTAAATGTACTCACGCCTCCACTGACAGGTTTGCAGCGACATCCAAACTGATCACAATTTGCATTCCAACACATTTCACAATGTAACCTCCAAAAACATAAATCCACACATCCTTTGCAGTCGGCTTCTACACAAAGGAAAAGTCACAATTTTTTTTTCACCCCCGAGGGAACAAGAAGCCCAGAAATTTGAGATATTTTTGACACAACTTCGTATAAAAAATAGTTCTTACTTAAGGATCGTTTTTCAACAGTATGATTTTGTTCCGCCGACACATTTGTAGAAGTTTTCATCGAAGCTAAAAATCACAGAAAAATAATTTACTTTCCAAATGTTTGAACAGAAACTCCACCAACATACCTGAGTTCACAGCAATGAAACAAACCAACATTCCAATGTATATAAGAAGCTCCATTTTCTAAGAGATTGCACGCACTTTTCTGGGTTTCGCTTTCAAATGCTCAAGAATTAGTGAACATTTCGCAATTTATCATCAGATATATTGAACTTTGATCAAAAAGCAGCCAATTACAACAAGTATTTGAATATCGTAATTACTTAAGTAACTATAGCAATCAAAAGAAAGCACAATACTCAAGTATTATACAAGATTTTTGGTTCTTTGTTGAAATTTTATACTCCAACTTTTTGTACAAAAAAATTTCCTCTAAGTCAAAGGAATATCTAAATTACTGATAATTCAAAATTAAGTATTCCTGTAGAAAATATTTAAGAGTAAAGATTCAAAAAATAATCCCGTTTTAGGTGGAGACTTTTCGTTATGTTGTGTATATTTCAACTGTAAAAAACAAGCGGTCAGTTTAGGGTAAAGCCAAAAAATTTACACTAGCTTATTTAAGATGAATTTAGAAGAGAAAATACGTCGAAAGCATTTGAAGTTAATCGTTGGAAATTCATCACTTATTACACTAAGATATTCTAAAATTGAGCAGGACAAACATTTCTTAAGACAAACGCTGAATTCGCCACTGGAAATAAACACACACAGAAGATACGTAAAAGATAGGCAAAAAAAAATCCTATGGACACGAAAAACATGCCATAGCAAATGTTTTCACAGGCTATAGTTCTTTATGAAAAATGATGAAAAAAAAAGCAAAAGAATGTATTCATATATAACTTTGATGTGTAATCCAAACATAAATAGAATCAGATCCATTACACTACTTTTATATATTGAAATTAACAGTTTTTAATGCTTCAAATAACAACGGATGTGAATATGCAAGTGAAACTAATCGTTGTATAAAACTTTTCCGAAACCATCTATAGATTTATTAACACAAACTTACAACGTCTACGTCTGTAAACGTCGAGTGATTGGTGAAGGTTTTAGAAGCGTCGATCATTGAACAGCAGCGATAGTCAACTTTGGCACAAATCATCCTCCCCACCCCACCCCCATTGAACACAAGAAGCCATTTTTTTGTTTCTAAAATACTCCTTTCATTCAACTATAATACCTTGGAACACTACCTGTCATAGAAACGCATAGTAATTTTTTAAAGCCAATCAATCAATTTTCACTCCGCAAGAAAGAAAGCAAGAAAGCAAGAAATCAAGGAAAGCGGGGATTTATCTCAAAATCACAAATCCAATCCTGTGAAATGTAGGTTTGAATAAGAATGATCTTTTATTGTCATATTGTCTTATTTTTATACTCTAAAGTCTAAAGTAACAAGATACACATTTCTTTTCAAATATAGTCAATTTTCCTTCTGTTTACAACATGAAAATGAAATGAAAAGTTAAAAAGTGGAGTATCTTTCAAGATGACATGGTGACATTTTGACGAATCACAGCTTTCCGACATCCGTTTACCATATGACACTATACAAACGAAGATAGGTTTAGCGTAAAACATTGTCAAATGTGATCCAGGAATGATCCTAAATGTACTCACGCCTCCACTGACAGGTTTGCAGCTACATCCAAACTGATCACAATTTGCATTCCAACACATTTCACAATGTAACCTCCAAAAACATAAATCCACACATCCTTTGCAGTCGGCTTCTACACAAAGGAAAAGTCACAATCTTTTTTTCACCCCCGAGGGAACAAGAAGCCCAGAAATTTGAGATATTTTTGACATAACTTCGTATAAACAATAGTTCTTACTTAAGGATCGTTTTTCAACAGTATGATTTTGTTCCGCCGACACATTTGTAGAAGTTTTCATCGAAGCTAAAAATCACAGAAAAATAAGTTACTTTCCAAATGTTTGAACAGAAACTCCACCAACATACCTGAGTTCACAGCAACGAAACAAACAAACATTCCAATGTATATAAGAAGCTCCATTTTCTAAGACTGCACGCACTTTTCTGGGTTTCGCTTTCAAATGCTCAAGAATTAGTGAACATTTCGCAATTTATCATCAGATATATTGAACTTTGATAAAAAAGCAGCCAATTACAACAAGTATTTGAATATCGTAATTACTTAAGTAACTATAGCAATCAAAAGAAAGCACAATACTCAATTATTATACAAGATTTTTGGTTATTTGTTGAAATTTTATACTCTTACACTCTTATACTTTTTGTACAAAAAAATTTCCTCTAAGTCAAAGGAATATCTAAATTACTGATAATTCAAAATTAAGAAATCCTGTAGAAAATATTTAAGAGTAAAGATTCATAAAATAATCCCGTTTTAAGGTGGAGACTTTTCGTTATGTTGTGTATATTTCAACTGAACAAAACTGGCGGTCAGTTTAGGGTAAAGCCAAAAAATTTACACCAGCTTTTTTTAGATGTATTTACAAGAGAAAATACGTCGAAGGCATTTGAATTTAATCGTTGGAAATTCATCACTTATTACACGAAGATATTTTAAAATTAAGCAGGACAAATTTTTCTTAGGATAAATGCTGAATTCGCTACTGGAAATAAACACACACAGAAGATACGTAAAAGATAGGCAAATGCAAAATCTTACGGACAAGAAAAACATGCCATAGCGAATGTTTTCACAGACTATAGTTCTTTATGAAAAATGATGAAACGAAAAGCAAAAGAATGTATTCATATACAACTTTGATATGTAATCCAAACATAAATAGAATCAGGTCCATTACACTACTTTTATATGTTGAAATTTACAGTTTTTAATGCTTCAAATAACAACGGATGTGAATATGCAAGTGAAACTAATCGTTGTATAAAACTTTTCCGAAAACATCCATAGATTTATTAACACAAACTTACAACGTCTACGTCTGTAAACGTCGAGTGATTGGTGAAGGTTTTAGAAGCGTCGATCATTGAACAGAAGCGATAGTCAACTTTCGCACAAATCATCCTCCCCACTCCACCCCCCTTGAACACAAGAAGCCATTGTTTTGTTTCTAAAATACTCCTTTCATTCAACTATAATACATGGAAAGCTACCTGTCATAGAAAAGCATAGTAAATTTTTAGCACAAAGCGTGTCTGGGTGTTATCTCGCGTGTTTGGGTGTAAGATTTCGCTTCAATTATTTGCTTCCGGTAGCGTTCCATCTATTTCAGTTCAACGACTCCTTCAGAGACATCAATGCTTTACTTTCTTCACTTTTTTCGTAGGTGTCCATCTTAAACAAGAAGTGTCTACAATAAGTACTGGTCTGCGGTATTGCGAGCTCTTGACATGCTCCTCGACAAGCTTTGGCGTCACACATATGACGTGTTGGCCCTTCCAATATTTGATCATATTTAATGACTGCAAGGTGCTTATAATGTCTTCCTGAGTGATACTCGTCATTGTACTGAAATGAAAAGATATTTAAAGCGATTGAATGAGAGGTAACTAACATGACAAATAGACCGCGAGTATTTCAAATATTAGCTAGATCCGTCAACTTCAATACTGTTCTTAAAGATTGAGTAAAGATCATCTCTTATTGATCCACTGTTACTACAGAAAGAAACCTAAACTAAGCTAACTCTATTTATACTAGATATCTCTATCAGTTCTAAACTGTCCTTTCTAAAGATACAGTAAAGATCATCTCTTATTGATCCAGTGTTACTACAGAAAGAAACCTAAACTAAACTAACTTTATTTATACTAGATATCTCTATCAGTTCTAAATTGTTCTTTCTAAAGATTTAGTAAAGATCATCTCTTATTGATCCAATGTTACTACAGAAAGAAACCTAAACTAAACTAACTTTATTTATACTAGATATGTCTATCAGTTCTAAACTGTTCTTTCTAAAGATTTAGTAAAGATCATCTCTTATTGATCCAGTGTTACTACAGAAAGAAACCTAAGCTAAACTAACTTTATTTATACTAGATATCTCTATCCGTTCTAAACTGTTCTTTCTAAAGATACAGTAAAGATCATCTCTTATTGATCCAGTGTTACTACAGAAAGAAACCTAAACTAAACTAACTCTATTTATACTAGATATCTCTATCAGTTCTAAACTGTTCTTTCTAAAGATACAGTAAAGATCATCTCTTATTGATCCAGTGTTACTACAGAAAGAAACCTAAACTAAACTAACTTTATTTATACTAGATATGTCTATCAGTTCTAAACTGTTCTTTCTAAAGATCCAGTAAAGATCGTCTCTTATTGATCCAGTGTTACTACAGAAGGAAACCTAAACTAAACTAACTTTATTTATACTAGATATCTCTATCAGTTCTAAACTGTTCTTTCTAAAGATCCAGTAAAGATCGTCTCTTATTGATCCAGTGTTACTACAGAAGGAAACCTAAACTAAACTAACTTTATTTATACTAGATATCTCTATCAGTTCTAAACTGTTCTTCCTAAAGATACAGTAAAGATCATCTCTTACTGATCCAGTGTTATTGCAAGAATTTAAGAAATAGGTTTACAAAACTACCTCAGATCTTTTATGGACAGGGTTCCTCTAAGATTACGTAATATATCAAGTAGAACCCAGGACCAGTAGCTGCGGTAACTCAACTTTCCAAGGTCTGATAAAGGCTTTTCAGGTGAGCCCACAGTAGACTCAAGTTTGGACAGCTCATAACCTAGGATAAGACACAAAACAATACTTCAAAAACATAAAACACAATCCAACAAACACAATTAAAAGTAGGACTGTGCAAACTCCGGTTTTTCATCTCCGGCTTCGGCTATTTTATAACTCGAATCACTGGTTGTGGCTGGTTAATTTTGCAATTCACTGTTCAACAGTTTAAGGTGTATTAAAGTAAATGGTTTGAACCCGAGAGTATCGTTACATGTTTGTAAATGTCGATCGTCCAGGTTTGTATGTTAAGGTGTATTATTAGTAAAATGTTACAAACATGTTAGAAATGTTTATAAACATGTTAAGGTGTATTATTAGTAGAATTTATATATGTAAAGTTAAATTTCCGCACTCTGACTTTGAATCACAAATTAGCATGTGTGAACGCAATCTAGCGTCATGTTGTTTCATGCATAAAATGCTTTATTTTCATGCAAGTTTTTCAATTTTCGCCGATAGTTATCGTTTGTTGATAAAAAAATGTTTTGATCAGACACGTTGACCAAAGTTTGACAATATTTTGCAGCACAAACGACTGCTGCCGAAGTTTTGCCGGTGATGAACAAACTCCGGCAGGCAAAAATAGCCGGAGCTCCGGTACTCGGTGCACAGCACTATCGTCAATTGTCATGAACATCGTGGACAGACACAGGTAATTTTGTTGCCGGTGATGAACACACTCCGGTGCTACTCGGTGCACAGCACTATCGTCAATTGTCATGAACATCGTGGACAGGCACAGGTAATTTTGAGAGCATTTGATTTATTAGGCTAAGCTGCGCCTCCAGGTAAATGAATGAACTAAGTCAATTTACCCCCCTGATTTAAGTAAAATGTTTATTGATTCCGGTACGGTTACATTTATACAATTTCCACCATTAGGAAAAACACTATACAAAGTGGAAGCACTACTCCGTGGAAGCAGAACCTCGGTGTTGTACTCAGGAAAAAAGAGAGTTTTATAAAACAAAAGCAAACTTACTAAAAGCGATGAGGAATTTTCCATATCCTTTTCGCTGATACGGTGGTAAGGTTAAAATACAGGCGAGGTTATTTCCATCTGGAGATTCTTTCTCCTAATGATAAAAAACAAAAAAATTCTAGAAAAGAGAGTAGAGAAAAACCATTGAAAGACGTCGCTAAAATACACAAAATAAAGTTCAACCTTTGAGAAATAACCGACTAAATGTGCTCCGTCTCTATCGACTTCAGTCAAGATGTTGAAAACGAACGGTTCCACGTCGAAATATAACGTTTTATGATCCAGGAAAAGTTTCGCAGTGAGACACAAATTTTGACAATAAATCTAGAAATATATAAAAGCATTTGAAACGAACTACGCTTTGCTGTCAGCCATATTTTCTATCAATAGTTCATACTAAACCTTGTGATCTTTACCGTCCACTTCGTACACAGATATCGATCCCTTTCGATAAATTTCCCTTCCCGGTGGCTGACGAAACGTACATTTTGTCTAAAAAATTCACAATTATTGACTTCAGACAAAAGCTGAAAATATCAGCCGAAAATTTGTTAGCTCAAGACGACCAGCCGACTTTATTTTAGCAAAGTCGGTTGTTCACCGGTAATTAGAACACATAGTTTGCACCAATAACCTAGAAAAAATATTTCTTGAGACAACAGATTCTAGTGTTTGACATTCTAAGCCGTCCAGACTGTCGCGTAAGTTTGAGCCCGTGGTCCTTCAAGTATGAGGTGCCCCTCCGCCACCAAAATCAGACAATAGAAAATACAACAAAAATTGATCGGTCGAAATGGCTGACAAGACAAAAAATTGACGGGTCAACAAGTATTTTTAGTCAGTCATTGTCGATTGCGCATTATTTTGAGCAGTAGTTGAGAAGTGGTTGCCCTGACCCCCTCCCCCACAAATTTTATAGAAATGAAGGAACGCTGTGTCGTTTATTTTGAATTTGAAACATTAAGTTTGTAATTTTCAAGTTTTGATATGCGCAGAAAAGATGCGCACACTACGGAAATGAATGTCTCAAAACGCTGACGTAAACTTACCAAGTGATCACAGAAGGTGTGTTTATACTTCATATATTTTAGGCAATATTCACAGATCCACAACTTCGTTTGTTTACCGTATTCGTCGGGAAACGGTGAGAAGTACCACGCGTCGATTTCGTACTTTCCTATTTGTATCTTGTCGACATATTTCACTTTCGTTATCTACAAACATCAAAAACAACAACATGAATTAAAAATTCTCATTACGACATGAAACGTGGAACTAAACTCGGTCATAAATGTCGTTCCCAAAGACACGCGCGCTGTGCAAACTTTTTTTTTGACGATCTTCATTGACGTCAAAAATGATTATTGAGGCTTGTATAAAGTAAATGGTTTGAACCCGGGAGTATGGTTACATGTTTGTAAATGTAGATCGTCTAGGTTGGTATATAGTCCTGAGAAGGACTGTTTTTGTTGTTGTTGACTGACGTTTCGACAACCTTAGCGGTAGTCATCTTCAAAGTCAAATGCCTCTGCATGAATAACGATTATACTTTGAAATTTGCATAGTAAGACTCAAACTTGCGCGTTGACTAAGCGCTAATGACAGTAGCCAAACCAACAAGAACTTCAACTCTCAATAAAAATTTCAAAAAACGTTAGTGAACATACAGCCTCGTGTTCTTTCTCAAGAGCGGCAGTTGTTGGATCCATTTCAGCGTACGTCTAAAATTTAGATGATAGATTTAGAAAAGTGCGTTGAACGAAAGCGATAGTCTTTCGTCTAGCACAGAAAACTAGTCTGCTCAAAGATCAAAGCGCAAAACGTACTTAGTGCGTAGTTGTAAATGTTCAGACAAAGTTAACGAAAGTCAAAGTTGTAAGTTTATTATAGAAACAATAGAAATCATTAACTTGACGTAATGAGTCAGCAGAATTCAATAAATAAAATTCAGTTGATTAATCTATGATAAACCTTTCACCTTTTTAACTCTTCTATACAGGTCACAAGCCCGGGACTTGTAGCGTATAAGGCTCTCTGCTTTTGAATCGACTTGTCTCGTTTACAAGGAAGAGGAGTGGAAGGTTATTTTCTCAAATGTTCTTAGATAAGGCCGCTATTGTTTGTAGTTGTTTGATAAAGCATCATGCCGTCATTCCTTTTGTTTAATAACATTCTAACTATTTAACATTGTGATCAACAGAATTAACGTCATAAAAGAGCATTGTCATTTTCGCTACTGAAAAGCTCGCCATTAAAAGTACACCAACAAAAGCCAAATGGCAATGTGTTTCAAATTTTACAGACTGCTTAATCTACATACAAACATTTTTTTAACAGTATAAATATGAAAAAGCGAAAGAGAGTTGCAGATCAATTCACGGACAAAAATACACGACACCAGAACTTTTCATAAGTGAGTTTCCGTATACAAACACGGTGGAAATGATAATTCATATGCAGACAGAAAGGTTCAATTCATTTTAAAAAAGATTTTATTTGTCATAAATCAAACTAAAGGCAAATCAAAGAATGAAAAAATCACCTTCTGAACATGATTGATTTCATCATGTTTCCGTTTCTGGTTTCTCGTCAATTTTCGCTCTGGTCCTTCATTATCTGATTTTTCTTCAGATTTCTCTTCAGGAATGCTTGCTTTAAACAGGTCAACCCTAACATCTGAGACCCACTCGTCCAGGCGACGATTGACTGAAACACAAGGGATAAGAATTTTGACCAAAAACAAACCATTATTAAAAACATTCTCCCCCCTTGACTACAGTGTTCAGGGGGGTGTACATTTTATAATAGTCATGGGTGGTGCATCAATTCAATTGAAAATTACACTATAATGTACCCAAGTGATCCAACAAAACCTCTCTACCCTACACTATAATGTACCCAAGTGATCCAACAAAACCTCTCAACCCTACACTATAATGTACCCAAGCGATCCAACAAAACCTCTCTACCCTACACTATAATGTACCCAAACGATCAAACAAAACCTCTCTACCCTACACTATAATGTACCCAAGTGATCCAACAAAACCTCTCTACCCTACACTATAATGTACCCAAGTGATCCAACAAAACCTCTCTACCCTACACTATAATGTACCCAAGCGATCCAACAAAACCTCTCTACCCTACACTATAATGTACCCAAGTGATTCAACAAAACCTCTCTACCCTACACTATAATGTACCCAAGTGATTCAACAAAACCTCTCTTCCCTACACTATAATGTACCAAGTGATCCAACAAAACCTCTCTACCCTACACTATAATGTACCCAAGCGATCCAACAAAACCTCTCTACCCTACACTATAATGTACACAAGTGATTCAACAAAACCTCTCTACCCTACACTATAATGTACCCAAGTGATTCAACAAAACCTCTCTACCCTACACTATAATGTACCCAAGTGATTCAACAAAACCTCTCTACCCTACACTATAATGTACACAAGTGATTCAACAAAACCTCTCTACCCTACACTATAATGTACCCAAGTGATTCAACAAAACCTCTCTACCCTACACTATAATGTACCCAAGTGATTCAACAAAACCTCTCTACCCTACACTATAATGTACCCAAGTGATTCAACAAAACCTCTCTACCCTACACTATAATGTACCCAAGTGATTCAACAAAACCTCTCTACCCTACACTATAATGTACCCAAGTGATCCAACAAAACCTCTCTACCCTACACTATAATGTACCCAAGTGATTCAACAAAACCTCTCTACCCTACACTATAATGTACCCAAGTGATTCAACAAAACCTCTCTACCCTACACTATAATGTACCCAAGTGATTCAACAAAACCTCTCTACCCTACACTATAATGTACCCAAGTGATTCAACAAAACTCTCTACCCTACACTATAATGTACCCAAGTGATCCAACAAAACCTCTCTACCCTACACTATAATGTACCCAAGTGATTCAACAAACTACACTATAATGTAAAGTGATCCAACAAACTCTACCCTACACTATAATGTACCCAAGTGATCCAACAAAACCTCTCTACCCTACACTATAATGTAAAGTGATCCAACAAAACCTCTCTACCCTACACTATAATGTACCCAAGTGATTCAACAAACTACCCTACACTATAATGTACACAAGTGATTCAACAAAACCCTACACTATAATGCAAGTGATTCAACAAAACCTCTCTACACTATAATGTACACAAGTGATTCAACAAAATCTACCCTACACTATAATGTACCCAAGTGATTCAAAAATCTACCCTACACTAATGTACACAAGTGATTCAACAAAACCTCTTACCCTACACTATAATGTAAAGTGATTCAACAAATACCCTACACTATAATGTACACAAGTGATTCAACAAAACCTCTCTACCCTACACTATAATGTACCAAGATTCAACAAAATCTACCCTACACTATAATGTACCCAAGTGATCCAACAAAACCTCTCTACCCTACACTATAATGTACCCAAGTGATTCAACAAAAACACTATAATGTACCCAAGTGATCAACAAAACTAACACTATAATGTACCCAAGTGATCCAACAAAACTCTACCCTACACTATAATGTAAAGTGATTCAACAAAACTTCCCTACACTATAATGTACCCAAGTGATCCAACAAAACCTCTCTACCCTACACTATAATGTACCCAAGTGATTCAACAAAATCTTCCCTACACTATAATGTACACAAGTGATTCAACAAAATCTTCCCTACACTATAATGTACCCAAGTGATTCAACAAACTACAATATAATGTACCCAAGTGATCTCTACCCTACACTATAATGTACCCAAGTGATTCAACAAAACCTCTCTACCCTACACTATAATGTACCCAAGTGATTCAACAAACCTCTCTACCCTACACTATAATGTACCCAAGTGATTCAACAAAACTCTTCCCTACACTATAATGTACCCAAGTGATTCAACAAAACCTCTCTACACTATAATGTAAAAGTGATTCAACAAAACCTCTCTACCCTACACTATAATGTACCCAAGTGATTCAACAAAACTCTACCCTACACTATAATGTACCCAAGTGATCCAACAAAACTCTCTACCCTACACTATAATGTACCCAAGTGATTCAACAAAACTCTCTTCCCTACACTATAATGTACCCAAGTGATCCAACAAACCTCTCTACCCTACACTATAATGTACCCAAGTGATCCAACAAACCTCTCTACCCTACACTATAATCCCATGATCCAACAAAACCTCTCACCCTACACTATAATGTACCCAAGTGATTCAACAAAACTCTACCCTACACTATAATGTACACAAGTGATTCAACAAAACCTCTACCCTACACTATAATGTACCCAAGTGATTCAACAAAACCTCTTACCCTACACTATAATGTACACAAGTGATTCAACAAAACTCTACCCTACACTATAATGTACCCAAGTGATTCAACAAACCTCTCACCCTACATATAATGTACACAAGTGATTCAACAAAAACCCTACACTATAATGTACCCAAGTGATTCAACAAAATCTCTACCCTACACTATAATGTACACAAGTGATTCAACAAAACTCTACTACACTATAATGTACAACAACAAAATCTACCCTACACTATAATGTACCCAAGTGATCCAACAAAACTACCCTACACTATAATGTACCCAAGTGATTCAACAAAACTCTTCCCTACACTATAATGTACCCAAGTGATCCAACAAACTACCCTACACTATAATGTACCCAAGTGATCCAACAAAACTCACCCTACACTATAATGTAATTCAACAAAACTTCCTACACTATAATGTCAAGTGATCCAACAAAACCTCTACTACACTATAATGTACCCAAGTGATTCAACAAACCTCTCTTCCCTACACTATAATGTACACAAGTGATTCAACAAACCTCTCTTCCCTACACTATAATGTACCCAAGTGATTCAACAAAACTCTTCCCTACAATATAATGTACCCAAGTGATCTAACAAAACCTCTCTACCCTACACTATAATGTACCCAAGTGATTCAACAAAACCTCTCTACCCTACACTATAATGTACCCAAGTGATTCAACAAAACCTCTCTACCCTACACTATAATGTACCCAAGTGATTCAACAAACCTCTTCCCTACACTATAATGTACCCAAGTGATTCAACAAAACTCTCTACCCTACACTATAATGTACAAGTGATTCAACAAAACCTCTCACCCTACACTATAATGTACCCAAGTGATTCAACAAAACCTCTCTACCCCTGATTCAACAAATCTACCCTACACTATAATGTGATTCAACAAAACTCTCTACCCTACACTATAATGTACCCAAATCCAACAAAACTACAATAATGTACCCAAGATAAAACCTCTACTACACTATAATTTACAAGTGATGAAGTAAGCCCTGCTTATTGACATAATTCAAACTAAAATTCTAAACCAGATAATTTGAATACTCATACATTGTGAAAGTTTTATCATACCTATGTAAAGTTCAGATGGCAAACATTAGTTTTTCTTTAGAAATCTACTGTCTAATCATCTCCAAACTTTACAGCCAGAGTGCCACATGAACTTTCATATGTTAATATAAAAATTTCCACGTTATCCTTTTTTAAATTTATTGCTTGAAACAATAATAAGCCACTAAGCTTGTAATTCTGATATATTTTTTCTTTGCCTCTGCAATTGAGAAACGCCGCATCTTCAAGTGTTTTGGTCTAAGTAATTAAACATGGCAAAGAAATATGGCTGCTCTCAGCAACACAGCCAGTCCGCAAGTTTGTTCACGCTGTGAAAATATTCGGATGTTAACTCACAGTAAAAGCAAGTGCTGAAGAAATAATCAATGCTAATTATTAAAAATTTACATAGCACAACAAAATTTGGCAGGTTAAAACACTGTCTGGCACGTCAGCTCTTTCTCAAACACAAAATATCTCTTTTCCACAAGGGACACATAGGGATACCCTATGATATTATGTGAGTTCAACTTACATCCCTTGTAATGCACGTAATACTCCTTAGATCCTTCCTCGACGCTGTTTCTCTTCTGAATAATTTCGGCAGGATCTGATAATTTATGCATACTGCATGATTAATTTCACATGATTTATGAAAAATAACAAGTCTTTTCAAGATATTAAGCTATTTAAAAGAAATTGAACAAATTGACAGAAGTTTGCATGTACACATATTCAGAGGAATACATTAGGAGCTCTGTTTGCTCAAAATCTATATAAAAAAGGAACATAATTCAATACGTACGCCAATTATTGTCAGCGGGTCGCTTGACTAAACAAAAGTCGCCAACTTCGAATGAGATTTCTGACGATTTTTGAGACACGTCCTCGCTTTTTATCAACTTATCTTCTTTTTTAACTTCATCTTCAATCTTTTCCGTGGATTTATCCACGGAGTCTGTTTGAATTTTCATGTTAAAATCGCCGAAAATTTAGAAATGTAATACGCCAAGCAAATGTAATACGAGTTATTAGTACGCGGGCAGTATAAATTAAGGAGGGAGAAAATGGAGTCAGGTCGGTGAGGTTGTGCAGGCACGCAACAAGAGTTGGAATTACGAAGGTAATTTGAAGCGATTCGTGTTTTGACCTTTATTGGAATGGATTTAGAAATAAAAACATACATTTTGCGCGGTCCTTGATTTTCGATATCTTCCCGAAATGTGCAATTTAAGTGGAATCAAACATTACGAATTCGCAGGTATGGAAAAAGTTGTAGTGTCCATGTCTAAGTATTTCACCTGTTTGTCATAGAGACTGAACACAACAATATTAAGTATCAAGACTTGTCGCATTTAGCGCGGCATACTATGTCTTCATTTGCCATTTTTTTGCAAATTCTTATACATCGTATTATAATTTGTCACAGACATTTCCAACAATACTGCGCACGCTGCTGTAGGATTGTTTTGGGCAGACGGATGTCTCTGTATCTTGTTCGCAGTTCTGGGATATTTTCGCTATTCATGGTTAGAAAAGTTATCTCAACGTGACGGCTGTATCGTAGTAATCACATGATTTCTATAACATTAAAAGGATGTCAAAGCTATGTCTTTTAATACATTTGGTCAAAATGCAGGATTAATTATTCCACTGTTCCATGCTTCTACAACTAAATTGCCATTTTCATACATAAATTTATAATTTGGTTCGATCTTTAAAACAAATTTATCTTCTCCAATTACAACGTTGGATAAGATATCACAAAATACGCTTTCAAACAATTTATTTGCATTTTCAATACTTTTATGTGTGAAAGGCTATCAAAGCCATTTTCAATAGTTTTATGTGTGAAAAGTTATCATGAACTTGCTCATCTTGTCCTTACACTTCATTCAAATTTATCTATCATTTAGGGTACGAGTTCTTCACTATTCCATCTGTATGAGCGCTACATCAAACCTTCCATGGGTTGCATTTTTTACACTCACTGCGATCAGGTATCTTTTATATAAACTGAAAATATGTGCTATGGACTAAATTTTACATATGCCGCTCAAGCTCAATAATTGGGGAGGGGGCAATATTCGTATATTTGTATTTTTTAATCTTTGTTAATCCTTAACCACTATTGATTTCAATAGAAGCTACTAAGATAGAACATGCATATATGAATATTTGCCGCCCCCCCCCCCACAATTATCAAGCTTGGGCGGCCTCTGTTTTATGGTGCATATGGCTGAGTTTTATGGTGTGTTTATTTCATGTTTAGTTCAACAATGAATGGCCTGCTGTTTTTCTTGAAAAAGAATGAACATCACTATGGCATTGTCATTACTGGTAATATTATTAACTAGTTGGAAATTGGTGTACATCCTCGTACCTGTTTTTTTCTTGTACACCATCACTCCAGATTTTTTGGGAGCAGTTTCGTAGTATCACGTGGTCTGAAGTTAGTCATCAGTCACGTGAGCTATTGCGTCATAAACGACTTTCGAAATCTTCGTTTTTATTATTTAGGTTGCATATTAAATCTTTGTAGCGTAAGTTTATGATTCTTTGGCGTTTACGCAAAAGGAAGAAAGGCCTCATTTGTGTAAAAGTGTTTTTTTTTTAAATAGATTTTGTTTTTGGCGTTTGCAGTCAATTATCAATGGAAGCACAGGGAAGAAGGTGTTACAATCTTTGTTTTGATGGCGGCAAAACCGAATTTTCCGAGTAGACTTTTACTTTCAAGTTATATGTTTTCAGCGTACGATGATTTGACAAACTCGTTAAGAACTTCAGAAACAACACCTATTTTGTATGACGAGAGCAGACTGATAAGTCTTATGGTTTGTTCATTTGACAGTTTTCATACCCGTTTGTTCTTAGTGCCTGTTTGACTCATTTCATTTTATAATTTAATACAGAAACATTCAAAAATAGACGCAATCCCACTTTTTATATTTGTTCTGTCCTGTGGATTTTTCATTGCTGCCTGGATTAAAAAAAGGTATATCTGCAGACTTCTTTGAAATCATCAGTCTTAGATAAAATTTATCACTGTCATTTCCGAAGAAAGCGATTGACATTCGACTTTTACATTTCATCAAACAATTCGAAAAGATGAATGTATGCAGTATTTTTTTGTATTTTAGAAATAACTTCTTTTGGCTAGCTTTGAGTTTCAAGTGGTGCTTACAAATCGTAGTTTTCGTTTCGGTTCTTATCATTCACTGCAAAACAACGGTCCAAGGACCAACGGTAGTTGTGAAGGTAAATAAAAGAAATTTCTTTTACCGTGTCTTAAGGCAAATACATAATCTTTATAAACTTTTTGTTTTAGTGTGCTTTACTCGCCGGGGTCTTGTTCAATTCAATATCTTATATACCATCTTATATTTGGTTGAAGTGTATTTTTAAATATGACGATATTGTAACAGGTTTTTCATTAAAATTCAATCTTTACATATTTTAAGGTTTGTTCAGTTGCGAGTATTTTTGATGATTGAGAGGCTTTTGCTTTAATTTTAGGAGTTTTTTATGACGCGTTGGTTGGATTAATAATCTCATCTCATATCGTTTTCTTCTTCGTAATGAGAGCAGAATTTCTACGACTAAAAGATGTAAGCACGTTTTTTTTAAACTGTGCAACTTCAAAACAATCTTATGTATTTTGTCATGTACGTTGTCAAGTTGATGTAGAGCTGAGGTAGACTGTTGGTGTTCATGTTGGTATTGACCATCGAACTAAAATACATGGAACGCTATCTGTAATACAAAACCCTAATAATTTTTTGAAGCCTTAATTTTACCACAGACACGCGAGATTTTATCCCAGACACGCGTGTGTAGTCAGTCAATTATTACTCCGCGAGAGAATCTCGAAATACGGAACACGTGTGTCTGGGGGAAAAGTCTCGCGTGTCTGGGTGTAAGATTTGGCTTCAATTATTAGCTTCAGGTTGCGTTCCATGTATTTTAATTCAATGGTATTGACTGACGTTCGAAACAGTGACGTTTAATTTGGCATTTACTTTTTTATTCACTGACTCTGAAGATGACTTTGGGTGTGTAAACGTCAGTCAACATCAACAACAACAGTCCTTCTCAGGACTATACCAACCTGGACGATCTACATCTACGAACATGTAACGATACTCCCTGGTTCAAAACATTCATTTGTACCAATCCAGTGTACACCACTGACAACTTTCTTCAACTGCAGGTTGCTAGATGGCATGTCGCCTCAAGGATTCATGATCTCAATCCAACCGAAGAGTAAAGGAAGACAAAGAACATCTTTGACAGTGCATCAACAAGACAGAAATAATAAAAAGTCGACATTATATCAACTAACCACGAGCGTTATAAGCGACTTAGGAAATTTACAAAAATGACGATGGTTCGTTTGTACAAAAATGTTTATTTACGCGAGATGTTCTCGGTATTTTACCGCGTCTTGGAAAACTTTTGAAAGTCACAATTAAATAATTATCACATTTAAAATTGATAGATTTTTTACGAATAAAAGGTTTGGAAACCGTCAATTTTTAAAATTTACTTTCCTTTTACAATGGCCGTCAATGTTAACGTCATGTTCTCTATAATAGAGGCAAATTTCTTTCTCTAAGAGATGAAAAGTTTGATTTTGCATTCTGAACTACAATACATATTAAGACAAGAAAAAAAAAACACTCACATTAGTCCATTGCTATCCTATCTTATCCTTTAACTTGGCGCAGTTTTTTTCCAACTCGTCGACACGTGACAACAGCTTAATCAATTTGTTTACATCGCAGCGAAACTAAAACATATTGTTCGCATTTTATTTCTTGAAGTGTAATGTTCGCCATTTTATGCACTGAAGGCCATCAATGTCAAATAAAGAAGCAGTTAGAGCAATTTTGAAACCAAACTATTTCCTCTTAAACAAATTTTTAAAACTTTGTATTCACAAAGCAAAAGTTTTCGTGCTTAAATAGTAAAATGCCAAATGAATGGTTCTCTGACATGCGCAATGGAGACATTAGATAAACAAACCTCCGCTGGTAGCAAACATGCTCCTGGTTCACCCCTTAAACCCTGTGTGAAAAGCAATGTATACAAATTTAAAAGGTGATAGGATTTTTCCAGAGTTGTAAAGATAATTCATTACTGACCGGAGGGCCTGGTATCCCAGGAGGACCCGGCGAACCACGTGGTCCCTGTGTTAGAACAAAGAAGAAATATTTCCTCGCTCGGAACTTATTGCTTCATTTCTGCCTAACTACCTTTAATCCAGGTTTTCCATTAGACCCATCACCATTATCAAGTGCCAATGTAACAAGACTTTTCTACATGAAGCAAAACATATCTCACACTTGACGAGACTTCATGTAACAACGAATAAACATGAAGCATTCATTTGCCAAAGCCGACCGGCTATACACTCCTGAAATCATCAAAACTGCTTGTTTATTACAAGCAAGCTGAATTTATGGTAAACTACTTACGTCATCCGGATGTTCACGATCTCCATTTTCTTTCAATAAGTTTATCAATTTGTCGATTTGTGTTTGATCCGGCAGAGAAGGCGCGGGAAACTTTGATGACGTCATACCGCCTAAATCTTGATCGGTTTGAAGATTTGTCTGAAAAATCGATATGGTGAACTTACTAAGAAGATTTTGAAATCTCAACAAGACATCGGTAAAACTTGATAACACGGAGACAATATTCACCTTGGAAGCAAGAGGCAAAACCACATATTAGGCTGTTATCTATGAATTAAAGTAACGTTAATGAAACGCGCATACATGCACCTTTTGTTCAACATTTGATGGAACAGACTGAATATCGGCGGCATTTCCCGATGTTACAGGGATGCTCGACGCGTTCTTGTCGTTACTTTCAGGGACTAATTGATAACCGGAAGCTGTCTTTGTTAGAGTGTATTTTTGACCAATGGCATTTTCAGGAAAGCACTTTGCGGTACGCAGATGAATGATGACAATGTACCAAATAATTTCAACTATTGGAAGTAACATTCCTTCCAAATCCTTTAGTTATTGTCTATAAAAATATATAAGAAATAAGATAACGTATGTCAGTGTAGGTAGTGATGAATGAACAACAGAGAATGAGAACAGTCTTTACACTATCTAAAATATATAAGAAATAAGATAACGTATGTCAGTGTAGGTAGTGATGAATGAACAACAGAGAACAAGAACAGTCTTTACACTATCTAAAATATATAAGAAATAAGATAACGTATGTCAGTGTAGGTAGTGATGAATGAACAACAGAGAATGAGAACAGTCTTTACACTAACTAAAATATATAAGAAATAAGATAACGTATGTCAGTGTAGGTAGTGATGAATGAACAACAGAGAATGAGAACAGTCTTTACACTAACTAAAATATATAAGAAATAAGATAACGTATGTCAGTGTAGGTAGTGATGAATGAACAACAGAGAATGAGAACAGTCTTTACACTATCTAAAATATATAAGAAATAAGATAACGTATGTCAGTGTAGGTAGTGATGAATGAACAACAGAGAATGAGAACAGTCTTTACACTATCTAAAATATATAAGAAATAAGATAACGTATGTCAGTGTAGGTAGTGATGAATGAACAACAGAGAATGAGAACAGTCTTTACACTATCTAAAATATATAAGAAATAAGATAACGTATGTCAGTGTAGGTAGTGATGAATGAACAACAGAGAATGAGAACAGTCTTTACACTATCTAAAATATATAAGAAATAAGATAACGTGTGTGTAGTGATGAATGAACAACAGAGAACGAGAAACACTATCTAAAATATATGAGAAATAAGATAACGTGTGTCAGTGTATGTAGTGATGAATGAACAACAGAGAACAAGAACAGTCTTTACACTATCTAAAATATATAAGAAATAAGATAACGTGTGTCAGTGTAGTTAGTGATTAATGAACAAAAGAGAACGAGAACAGTCTTTACACTATCTAAAATATATAAGATAACGTATGTCAGTGTAGGTAGTGATGAATGAACAAAAGAGAACGAAAACAGTCTTTACACTATCTAAAATATATAAGAAATAAGATAACGTGTGTCAGTGTAGGTATGAATGAACAATACAACAGATATTATCGACAAATGATCTTACCTATCTTATCAGCACGATGTGTTTTTAGGCCGTAAAACGTTCTTCGACTTGCATAACATAACCCTTCCTCAAGAGCTTTCCAAAAATGTAAAATATATTCGTCATGTTTATGAACGCTTATGTCCTAAATTTGGCAAAGCCATCCAAAAGTTTATTTCGTCAAGAAAATAAACTCTAATAATTATCGACAGGTGCCAGAACTTTTGACTTTTAGTAATGTAACAGGTACCAAGTATGTACGAACGAGATTTTATGAAATCGCCATAAGCAGAGTTCAAAATCGCAGCCGCTTGCACAGTTGGTAAGAATTTAATTTCTACAAAACGGATTGCACAATCCAGGATCCGGAATTCTTTGGAGCGATTAACATGTCACAGAAGGGAAAGGTGGTATGAACCAGAATACATATGTTTGTAGATGTCGATAGTCCAGGTGTGTAGAATGTTGAGAATGACTATTGGTGTAGATGTTGACTGATGTTGTTAAAATCCTTAATGTTCATCATTGTGAAGATGATTATTTTCATGTCTTAGTTTAATTTCAGTACTGCAGCAGTACTTTAAGTCAACACCAACATCAAAACTCCTTCTCAAGACTCCACCAACCTGGATATTCAACATCTTTGCAAGTTGTTGAAGCATTACAAGTTGGCAAAACATCAGACAACTTTCAACAATCGAGAAATAAAGTATTCAACCAGAAAACAAAACACATTTTTCAACAAAACAAGAATTTATTTTCATGTTATCTTAAGATATCTTCACCTTTCATTCAGTGTACGTTCTGTAAAAAAAAGATTTTCCCTTAAGACTGAGTAAATAAAAATTAAGTAAATGGTTTGAACCCGGGAGTATCGTTACATGTTTGTAAATGTAGATCGTCCAGGTTGGTATAGTCCTGAGAAGGACTGTTTTGTTGTTGTTGACTGACGTTTCGACAACCTTAGCGTTAGTCATCTTCAGAGTCAAAGTGATTTCATTTACAAACATGTAAATAAAAATTATTGAGAACAAATGTAACTAAAAAACATCAAATATTGAAGCACTTGCAACAACTAAAATTAGACGGTTGATACAGTCTGAATTTTACAAGGCTTTTTCGTTACTGACTTGTCAACTTTCACCAAAAACAGAAAATGTTAGTTCAATGTAAGAGATGAAAACTGCATGTTTAAAAAAGTATTTTGTACGGGTTACAGCCATCCCAGAGAATTTAGGAGTTGGTGTTGACTTTATGTTGGCAGAAGACGAAAAATGCATAAGACCACAAACAGTCCTTCTCAGAAATGTACTAATCTGGATGATTTTACATTTACAAACATATAATGGTATTCAAAGCTTAAACCTTTCATTCAGGTAGTCAATACACTTACGTTGATACGATACCATCCTTCGAACAAAGTTTTACTAATGCTTCATCAGAGTCACCCTACCAAATGAATAGAGGAAAACAACAAGGTCAAGAAAACGTAAATGAAATAAAATAATTTTCAAGGCATTCAGTCAACAAAATAGGGGAAGCATCTCTTACAGTATTTCTCAGGAATCCACTGAACGCGTATGTCTTGAAGTTGTTTGTGTACCTTCCATTTTCATCAAGCTTTAAAAGATGAATATCACAACGAGAGTTTTAAATGGTTTAAAGTTAAAAATTAATAAATAAAATCTTAAGTTTTAAAACTCTTAGATTACCTCTCCAACGTTAATCTGGACGGATGCATGGTCCTTGGCGGAGATTATTCGGTTCGTAACAGAACTAAAAATATCCTTCATATTAAACTCTTTAAAGCTGATTTCATCAACATATGGCCAACAATATTATTCAAAGTTTGACAGGAAAGTCCTACATTAACTCTAATCGCAATTTTACTTACCATTTCCTAGGAATGTATGTATCGACAAGTTCTCCGGCTTCGTTTTGCATCGTCAAAAACGTTCTTTACACAAGCACCTATCACATATTGAAGACAGAAAGTCTTTGTAGATATTCATACGGTGAAGAGACTAAAAACGTCGTCGATTCATCGAAAAAATATCGAAAATTCAACAATTTCTACGCTTACCAAACACGTTTTCTGAAAGAAAATTTAGAAAGAACAATGTTATCCCATGATGCTTTGTAAGTCCACCACCAAATACTTACCGTGTTCACTGATGCTCATAGTTGATCCTTATAGTTTTATAATTCACCCAATCTGCACACATGAGATCCCCTTTGCTACTATTTGCTCCTACATACTCTCTAAAATTTCTTTATGTTCCTAATTATTTAAAAATATCCCTTCATATCATGTAGTGCCCAGTACAGTCCCATAATTATTGGGATAGTTGTAAATAGAACGGGATATACAGGGTTATTCTTCCCGTCTATGTACCTGTATGACCTAGAGTACCCAAGGTCAATAGAGTGAAGAGAACTAAACATGTCAAATGACTCAAATCAATAAAAATATTAGATGAAACGCGATTCTGACTGAGAAAGAAGCAATGGAGATGGACGAAGACGCTTCAGTGATATATGGTCTGGAATTTAACGTATGTGTCTCGAAAAACATTTCAAAAATTTAATCAGCCAATTTACAAATAAAGATTGTGTTTTTCAGCATAAATATTAGAGCCCAACAAATAATTTTGAACATAGTCATAAACAATTTGGTTTTATGAAATTTATTAAAATAATGACGTTTCGTCTTGACTCAAGACATCTTCAGACTAATAAGGAAGTTAACAAGAATTATATATATATTTAGAGTTATTTACATAGTTTGAGGTATCAGATTACTGTGAATGTGTAAGTGTAATGGTGATGTATAGTTAGGGTGAGGTGTTGAGACTAGAAAAGCTTAAGAAGGATGGAGCTGCCTTGGGTTTTAAGTGAAGGTTTTAGTTTGGAGATGAGGAGTCTTTGGTGGATCATGAGATGAAATGTGTCGGAGCAGGATGAGATGATTTTAAAATCATTTGGCAAAGCAGGGTGGTTGGAGGAGTTACGATGATTGTGTTTTTATCAATGTTCAATGCTTACTAAATGTGTAAGATGTAAAATTGTTAGACATAGAGACTACTCGTTTTCATTACAACCGATTATGGACTAAAATTATTCTGCTAAATAGCAACTGTGCTACCTACTCGCAAATGAACTTCCAACAACCAACATTGGTCGTGTTTTATGCGTGAGCTATTCTATATGTTGCCATTTAGACTAGAGCGCTGACCTCACAATGTGCAGAAAACGATTTGATTCATTTCTTGGTTGGGACACAATCACTGAGACAGGACAATCAGGTTTGTTTCACAAACACATGGTATCCCAAGGTATCCCACACTATCCTCTAGTGTCTCATACTACAGGTTCATCTCATCGACTTTGATGACGAAACATGTCTAATTAACAAACATGTTTTCTATCATTTGGCTGGAGAAATATGGTATGTTTTGAGGGTGATATAGGGATATATATGTATGCTTGAGTCATAGATATGGTATATTAAGGATATAGGAATATGATTGTTTTCATTATATTAGTATTTTGAACTATACCTAATGATTGAATAATAAAGTATCTCTTTGAATGAATAATTTAGGCACATGAGTGCAAGTCCTGCTGATAAAGATATAATAGCTACTTGTTATAATGAAGGTAAGAGCTTTTGGCTTCTCATTTTTGTTTCATACCTATGACTACACTTGCTCTTTATCACTGCTTCGATGTCTAGTTGTGGATCACAAATCTGAAATAAAGGCAGCATTATGGAGACTACCCCTGTTGGATGAGACTCAGCCACCATCTGCTTTGCCAGGTCATCCAAGGTCACTACAGAAGGTGTGCGACTTAGAGAACAACGGAAAACCAATGAGAAGGTGTTGTGTTTAAGCACACGAGGAAATACAACTTTGAGATGATTAGGATGCATATAGGGATAGGTATTGCTATTAAGGGATGTAGAGAGGTACAAGTTTGAGTCTAAAATATGAAGGAATTAAGGTTGCCTTACAATTGTAATGATGAAGGCAATGTATATGAATATGTGTAGGATCATTGGGGGATAATAAGGATTACATAGGAATAAAAAATGTTATTGCTCATATTAGTAGTGATGGTAGAAAGCATAACAAAGTTTGCCTTACAATTGTAATGAAGGCAATGTACATGAATATGTGTAGGATCATTGGGGGATAATAAGGATTGCATAGGAATGAAAAATGTTATTGCTCACATTAGTAGTGATGGTAGAAAGCATAACAAAGTTTGCCTTACAATTGTAATGATGAAGGTCATGTATATAAATATGTGTAGGATCATTGGGGGGATAATTAGGATTACATAGGAATAAAAAATGTTATTGCTCACATTAGTAGTGATGGTAGAAAGCATAACAGAGTTTTTTCTACCAGTGTATTATGGAACCCTTCGGGAGATGGAAAGCAGTTGGTTACTTTATCAGAACAACATTTGAAAATATGGCAGCTCAATGATACGGCGCAGGCTGTGCAGGTTGTATTGACCAATAGAAGCAAAGAAATTGCTTAATGTGAATTGGCACAGTGGAGAATCATGACAATTGTACTTTTTAACTTCCCACCAGGAAATAGATACAACTGTCTTGGAGGGAAAGGGTCAACCGCAGTTTACCACTGGAGCCTGGAACCCACACCATGGTGGTTCACAACTTGCTACTGCTAATGAAAACATGGTTCGTGGCTGGGATTTACGATCAATGAGGTAATAAAAATGAAAATGCTCATGTGAAGGACTTTTGAATACCCATCATAAAACAGTGTCTTGTTTTGCAAATTTGTTAATAAGAACTTGTGTAATCAAATTTTTGAAATGTTTTTTTTTTTATTACCAAGTTCACAGTTTTAGTCATGCAAAGGAACTTTCAGAACATTCATTTCTCTGGATTTCTATTGTTTTGCAGTGAGCTAACACCAAAAATTTAGCACAGCTCGAGTATTAAAGTAAATGATTTGAACCCGGGAGTATCGTTAAATGTTTGTAAATGTAGATTGTCCAGGTTGGTATAGTCCTGAGAAGGACTGTTTTTGTTGTTGTTGACTGACGTTTCTACAACCTTAGCGGTAGTCATCTTCAGAGTCAAATGACTCTGAAGAGTGAAATGAGTCAAATTTTGACTCTGACGATGACTACCGCTAAGGTTGTGGAAACATCAGTCAACAACAACAAAAACAGTCCTTCTCAGGACTATACCAACCTGGACGATCGACATTTACAAACACACAGCTCGACTAAATTAGCGCAATAGCCACTCAACTGTAAATAAAATGGCTTCCAATTTCCACAATTTTTTCTCTGCAGGAATTTAATTTTCATCGATAGCATCTTTCTTTTCATTTTTATCGTGTCATTTCAGACAGGTCTACACGTTAGATAGTGCGCATGGTCAGTGCGTGCGTGTCGTAGATTTCAATAATTTTCTTTTCATTTTTATCGTGTTATCTCAGACAGGTCTACACGTTAGATAGTGCGCATGGTCAGTGCGTTCGTGACGTAGATTTCAACCCCAACAAACAATACTACCTGGTCACGTGTGGTGATGATTGTAAAGTCAGATTCTGGGACACACGCAATCCCACTGAGTCCCTAATGATACTATCGGATCATTCTCATTGGTACGTTAACGGTGGTTGCGATGTGTTTGAAATTTATTCAAATAATGTACTATATCTCAAAATTTTATCAATCGATTTTTCTTATTAAGGGTTTGGAAAGTAAAATATAATCATTTTCACGATCAACTGTGTTATCCTCCAGTAGCGATAGTCGTGTTATACTAAATAACATTCCATCTTTATCGTCCGAACCCTATTCACAGTTGGACGATGAAAATGACGATGAAGATAAAAATGATGTCATTCAGTAAGTAAATAATACTTTAAGCCTGTTTCAAACGTCGTATTTTGCATGTGTCGAATAAAATAGTTTGAATTAAATGCATGCGAAATTCGACGTATGAAACAATTAAATTCTCCCGCTTTATTTGAGGTCGACTGCTTTAATTTCGACCGGTTTGGTCGCATTATGCGACGAAAGTGCGAAGTCGTTTCACACGCTGAATTTTGCATGTGTCGAATACAATTTGGCTCTCGCGTTTTACTCACAACAAAGACTGGAACGAGATGAAGCGAAGACGTCATGTAATAATTGTATTCGACACATGCAAAATTCGTCGTTTGAAAAAGGTCTTAGTGAAACTACTTCTGCATTTCCATGGTAGCAATCTTTTCCAAGCCTGGTTCTCATAGTCGTTCTAGATCTCTCACTTGAATCTTTTCAGTCGTCTGGGAAAAGCTCTGCGTCTCTGCCTTATGGGTTTGTGCTCTGGTGAAGACTAAAAACAACTCGGACAACTTTATTTAAAAACCAAACTTTTTTAATGATTTTTTATTTCGTATTTCTGTACGCAACCCGCCCTCAGCTTCAACTACGTTTATCATCCAAAGAGGGCTACAATATGTTAGGACATAAATACAATTTAAGTCAATACGTTTTCCTCTAAAGGCCTTCGAAGCAAGCTGGTTAAAAACACTCTCATTTACAACTTATAAACAACGTCCTTTTAAGAAAAATTATCAATTTTTCCCAGTATAGCTCAGTTCCAAGCTCTTTGAAGCCAGCGTTGGGGAGGTTGCATGATGAGAGATAAAGTGATTAACACCCACCGTAATTATCAATCATATATATACACATCAGGGGGGTGAAATCTTAACTTTATCACTACTACAATCATACATAAAGATTCGTACTTCTCTGCTGTACAAATTGAAAAGAAAAGACATAAAATTGTTTCACAATGCTATGGATTGACAGCGTAATAATCCCCGCCCCCCTTTCCTCCCTAAAAATGAATTAAATAACGAATTTTCTGTGTTCAGGTCACAATCCCCACCAAAAGACGGTGTCATTGCCACGTACGAAGAGCATGAAGATAGTGTGTATTCCGTCGAGTGGTCATCCGCTGATCCGTGGGTATTTGCATCGCTGTCTTATGACGGGAGACTTGTTATAAACCGAGTACCGCGGGAGGAAAAATATAAAATCCTACTGTAATTATGAATATGTACCTTTATGTTCCCATTTATTCTTCCATGTTCTTACCCACACATTCTTTAAATCTTAAGTTCTTCGCTTTTGTCGTTTGCGTGACCGCTGCCCGGTATTATCGCTTTTCCTATTGCGATTTTTATTCTTAACGTTAACCTCTGAGTAATAATGGACGCCTGTCTTCATCTTTCTTGTCGACTTTTGCTTTTTCTGCAACGAAAAACTTGTTTTGTCATATCCTATGGATTAAGGCGCGTTCATCTCCATGGTTACATGCGGGCAATGCGGGTTTTGCGAATGCCAAAGGTACAATGTCATTTGCAGGTGTTGTTATGAGGCACTCGTGAAGTATCTAAGACAAACTTTTGCCGCTTAATTTGTTTTAAAGCAAGCAGACTTAAAATTGTGTGCCTTAGTTACGTGAAAACTTTGGCAAAGTAACTATTAATAACGTTCATTTTTTCATTGTGCTAATTTGACAAGCCTGTGCAAGTTGTCTTTGTCGATAATTTTAACTAAACTGTAAGATCAACTGTGAACTATGATGATATTTCAAAACACACTTCCAGATTCTTTCATATTTTAATATCATAGATAATAACATCACGTTGTTGTGATGTACTCAGGTATAGTAACAAGATAATCTTTGTCTTCTATGTTCTACCAACTAAACTACAAGATCAACTGTGGACTATGATGACATTTCAAAACACAGTTCTAGTTTCTTTCATATCTTAATATCATAAATAATAACATCACGTTGTTGCGATGTACTCAGGTATAGTAACAAGATAATCATTGTCTTCAATGTTCTACCAACTAAACTACAAGATCAACTGTGAACTATGACGATATTTTAAAACACAGTTCTAGTTTCTTTCATATCTTAATATCATAGATAATAACATCACGTTGTTGTGATGTACTCAGGTATAGTAACAAGATAATCATTGTCTTCAATGTTCTACCAACTAAACTACAAGATCAACTGTGAACTATGATGATATTTCAAAACACAGTTCTAGTTTCTTTCATATGTTAATATCATAGATAATAACATCACATGGTAACAAGATATTCATTGTCTTCAATGTTCTACCAACTAAACTATAAGATCAACTGTGAACTATGATGATATTTCAAAACACAGTTCTAGTTTCTTTCATTTCTTAATATCATAGATAATAACATCACATGGTAACAAGATAATCATTGTCTTCAATGTTCTACCAACTAAACTACAAGATCAACTGTGAACTATGATGATATTTCAAAACACAGTTCTAGTTTCTTTCATATCTTAATATCACAGATAATAACATCACGTTGTTGTGATGTACTCAGGTATAGTAAATAAAACAGTACTAAGTTCTTTCAACACGCTGTCTTTGATCTAGCTCAAATGCTTTTCAGTTTTGCCGCAAAACATCGTTAAAAGAGGCAAAATTAAACATAATTACCTCAAACTTAGCAGAGAAATTATCGCCAACTTCGTCATCAAACGACTTCCTTTTCAAATTTTGAGTACGTTTCGACATTTTTGAACCTAAACAGCAAACAATAAATAAAATCACAATTAAGTTAAAACATGAAGTCAAAACGCAACTGCAAACCATCCCTACACCAAGCATACGATAAAAAAAAGACAACAGTGGCAGGCACAATGATTGGAATGTATAAAGCCAAACATCGAAAATTGTCAACAGCGCGAAGTTGAAAAGTTAAATTATCGAAATTTTTTCCATTAAAACATTATAAATCACCGATTTCTGACAGTATCTAACAATGGGAAAATAAGTTTTGGGAGTCGAGACGCCTTGTTCATACACTAACTTTGACGATCGGGATGATTGTCACAAAGCTAAATCAAACGACTTTATTTAACAATGTGACATATTCCAAAAAAAAAAACTTTGAGTCAATACCACTTCAACAAAGGTTCGTAGTTTGAAACAAAGTTTGTCTCTGACACACTTGCGACAACAAAAAAAGGCGAAAAAAATAAAGAGTTTCTCCTCGAAAGGGTCGCCTACACCGGAATGGTTTGCGGCTTATGAAAACTTTTACAATTCAACTAATCTGGCTTGATCCAAATACTATAATGCAAATATACCACAGTCGTAATTATGCTCAAGAATTATTCATTTACGCCACGAAACAATTTAAGTTGTCAAAACAGAAGATTAACAAAATTTATGATCTACAGCATAATAATGAAGATTGCTGATTAAGAAATTTAGAAATAACGAAAACGTGTATCATTAAACTGGTGAGCCATCACTTCCTCGGTAGCCTCAAGCCAAAATTTAAAGACATTAATTAAACTTGTTCCAAATTATATTTCTACCAATAACCAAAAGAAAGTATAGGTATGTTTAGTTGGAGATAATCTTTCATTTAAATATTCAGATCAATCAGATGTTACTTTATGTAGTGATGAATGAACAACAGAGAACAAGAACAGTCTACCTACACTGACACACGTTATCTTATTTCTTATATATTTTGGATAGTAAAGATTGTTCTTCTTGTTGTTATTCATCATACTACACTGACATACGTTATCTTATTTCTTATATATTTTGGATAGTGTTAAGTGATGAATGAACAACAGAGAACAAGAACAGTCTTTACACTATCTAAAATATATAAGAAATAAGATAACGTGTGTCAGTGTAGGTAGTGATGAATGAACAACAGAGAACAAGAACAGTCTTTACACTATCTAAAATATATAAGAAATAAGATAACGTGTGTCAGTGTAGGTAGTGATGAATGAACAACAGAGAACAAGAACAGTCTTTACACTGTCTAAAATATATAAGAAATAAGATAACGTGTGTCAGTGTAGGTAGTGATGAATGAACAACAGAGAACGAGAACAGCCTTTACACTATCTAAAATATATAAGAAATAAGATAACGTGTGTCAGTGTAGGTAGTGATGAATGAACAACAGAGAACAAGAACAGTCTTTACACTATCTAAAATATACAAGAAATAAGATAACGTGTGTCAGTGTAGGTAGTAATGAATGAACAACAGAGAACGAGAACAGATCTAAGTATTCATACAATTCACCACAGCTTTCACATAAATGCAGTTATCCAAAGAGATTTTGGCAACAAAACATACACGAGTTCTTTATAGTTCTTTCGCATGCCACAACACACCATTTGCTAATTGCCAAAACGCGACCTCCTCAGATTAACCAATCAGAGTAGGCTAGTCTCACGCTCGTCTCGAATGAATGCGCAAGCCTGCGCCAGTCGCGAGCAATGTGTTGGCGTTGACCAATGAACAACGAGTGATCCCACGGTCATCGACATGATATCAATGACATTAGGTTGTGGGCGGGAAATCGCAACAATCCCGGAGTCAATATTTGCGAAAAACAAAGCTTTCATGATTTTCCCATGTCCTTGAGACTATAAATAAACGAAGCATGAGAAACGAGTGCTTTCCCTTTCTACGTACGCCATTCGCTTAACATGCTGCGCGCTGTACGGTCGTAAATATTACAACTCGTGCCCGACACACTTCATATTCAGTAGAACGAGAAACGGCGAGTACAACTTTGGGAAATTAGTATTTTAAAGATGGGATTACACGACCTTAAGACGGATGCAGAAAAATCGAGTGGCAAAGATTCGAGGAAGGTAGGGAGTTGAAAATATTAAAATCGTACTTTTTTATACTTTTTGTACTATTAGATGAATTAAGGTGAAAACTTAATGGAATCCATTTCACAAAAGATTTTCTTTGATAATTCCGAACAAAACATCCGTATTCCATAGCGTTAAACAAATTTCAATGAAAGAAATTTGGTCGTGTCGAAAAACGTCTCTAAATGGTTGTGTTAGTTCAAACACAAGAACTCGAAGTATTTAAAAGCAATTTAGAAAAACATATATTTACATGGGAACAATATAGCTTCGCGACCAAAAATATAGGTATATGAAAATATCCTGTTTTAAAAATCGCTAATTTCTACTTTCTATCGCATTCACTAGTACGAAAATTAATGACATAACGATATATTAAACATATCCTTTCAACGAAGGCCAACATCGTTTATCATTAGGCACTTTCATCACATTAATCAGTTGATAATGCTTGGCTTCACAATAAAACAATGGTAAGCATCGTGAATTTAATGTGTTGAAGTCTTTAAATAGACAAAAAACCGACTGGAATAAGTCATTGTTTTAATGCGATTTCAACTTTATGACTCATCTTTATTGTTGAATGCTTCGGGGTGAAGTACTTGATAACTTTAACAGAGTACCCTCCTCTTTTATCTCAGATTAAGAAACCTTTGATTGAAAAACAACGCCGAAAACGAATCAACGACAGTCTAGGCGAGTTGAAGAGATTGGTTTTGGAAGCGCTTCATCGAGACGTAAGAACTCCTATTCGTTCATATGGTATATTTGTTGATACTCTTCAATGGCCCCTTCGGATATTTAATCTCTATGCTTGTTTCAACACATATACGGTTTAAATATAAGTCAGTCAAGCTAGCATGCATATAAACCATTGACATTTACTGACTAAAAATGCCCAATAGTTCCAAGTAATCATTACTTAAGAGTGCACGGCAAATTTTCGCAAAATGGACATGAAATTCATAAAAGGGATTTTTTCTCGATGTGCTTTAGATACTAACCACAACTTATTCATGTAGGCTTCGTTGTACGAAAAAATGGAGAAGGCTGACATTCTGGATCTTACAGTCAGTTATCTAAGATCGACGCTGGGCGCTCGAAGGCAGCAAGACGCCACAACCGGTCTGGCGAGTTACCAAGCCGGTTTCCGCGATTGTCAAGATCACATGACGCGGGTATTAATTTCTGACCAAACGTTGAACACTGAAAAAAAGACTCAGATGATTTCGCATATAGCAAATACAAGACCCATTATGGCACTGCCAATGCCCCAAACAATTCACTGCGTTCCAAATGTCAGTACTTCATGCGGACAGCTCTGCCCCACACAAACACCTTCGACTAGCACAAATGTACCTGAGTTATCCAAAGCCGAAGGCTTAAAACTTCATCCCCCTACTGCTACTGCTACAGCAAGCGCACACCCCTCGAATTGTCAGAACAGTTCCACAGGTGAAGCGACGTGGAAAGCATGGAGACCTTGGTAAAATTCAATTCAAAATTATCTCGCTATTAAATATGTATAATGTATCTAAGCATGTTCAAGCTGGACTTGATGGTGTTGTCCTACAACTGTTGTAGATCTAAATTTAATGTTGTTTTAAACTATCTTAATTTATAATGATTTGCTAATCGATAGCATTAATGTTGAAATGTATTTACAGAATTGTAGCCTAATTAATGAATACATGAATTATGATTTAAAATAAATCAAAATCATCACGAATACGGCGATTGGCCACGTTTCACCTTCTTTTCAAATCAGAAATGTTTGAAAGAAGTTAGTTAGATTTTTAAGGGTTTATGTGCAATAAGCGAGAAGTTTTGCTTCAAAGTTGACGAATACTCGAGATTTATAAAGAGATCTATTGTAATCTTCGTTTTAAGAAAATATCTATTCAGATCATAACCCTCCATCTCCTTGACCTACAATTCTTCTTCTCTGCCTAACAACTGGAGCTTTGCTCATTTGAGGCATCGCACTTCCATCATGTTAATCTAAATTCTGTCAGAGCTAACCACTTGATCTGGCGAAGTATTTTGTGCAATAGTACATCACAAATTATTCAATGGAAGAATCTTTGTTTTTGTAAGCGAGGTTCAATTTCAATGCTTTTTCATTGCAAATCAACAACACAAGGCAGAGCCGTCGCCAGAAACGACTTATCACAAAAGGACGTCACAGTTAGACATGCTGAGACTAGTGTTTCTCAGTAAATGAATGTACCAACTGCGGAACCAAGGTCAACGATGAAAATATCACTTACAAGTGATTAAGGACGCTTGTGACGTGGCCTTCTCCAAACTTTCATCTTTGAAGTAATGCTTATGAAAGACTTTTAAATAAGCCGTAATGAGTTTGCACAAGGTCAATCCACTACGGAAAGACTCTTAACAATTACGAGCATAATGGGAGAAAGTAGGAAAGAACTTTCGAAGCGAAAATTCAAAGTGTCATTATTGAAAGCCGAATCCTTTTGGTCTTGTGACGCACGTCATTGCTTGAAATGTGCTTTCAAAAAAAACAAGGAACAATAAAAATTGAATGCAAACAGATGAAATAAAAACCTATTCTTCCAAGTGAATGGACCGTGTCCACCGACTTCGCCCATTCACCTACTCTAGAAGGTAGTTTTTGATGAGTATTACAAGCAATTTTAGATAAAATAATTTGTGAAACTGCCGCATGAGTGAAAATCTGATGTACATTTCCTCGAGAGTACCGAAATACGCAAGAAACCGAATAAAAAGCTTCATTAATTTTCATTTTTAATCATTAAAGAAGACGTTATAACACACGAACAGCTGTATTTTCACGTCGTGAGTTTGTAATCGGGCTTAATAAGCAAATGAGCACCTTCATCCCTCCCTATGTATATAGAGTATTGTGCTATGGTATATTCCCTACATTTAAATATCTTAACCCGACACTCAGCTAGTCAAAGACAAGGCAACAAGGAAATGAAGCTTTTAAGTTCTTGTTTAAAGTGTCTACGTGTACATACAAATATAAACAGTCCGTTGTTGTTACTCATAAAGAACAGGTGGTCTACACAATGTCACCGAACGATACGAGACGATTTGACGGCTAATGGATAAATTTACTCCCAATTACCTCATTAAAAAATTAAGCATTGTGTATGTTTACTATTATCTGTTATCATTTTCACACTAATATAATCACAGACTAAAGGTTTTGTTATTAACTTATTGTGAAGATTATTCTCTGTTGTTCATTCATCACTACCTACACTGATACACGTTATCTTATTTCTTATATATTTTAGTTAATGTAAAGACTGTTCTTGTTCTCTGTTGTTCATTCATCACTACCTACACTGACACACGTTATCTTATTTCTTATATATTTTAGATAGTGTAAAGACTGTTCTTGTTCTCTGTTGTTCATTCATCACTACCTACACTGACACACGTTATCTTATTTCTTATATATTTTAGATAGTGTAAAGACTGTTCTTGTTCTCTGTTGTTCATTCATCACTACCTACACTGACACACGTTATCTTATTTCTTATATATTTTAGATAGTGTAAAGACTGTTCTTGTTCTCTGCTGTTCATTCATCACTACCTACACTGACACACGTTATCTTATTTCTTATATATTTTAGATAGTGTAAAGACTGTTCTTGTTCTCTGTTGTTCATTCATCACTACCTACACTGACACACGTTATCTTATTTCTTATATATTTTAGATAGTGTAAAGACTGTTCTTGTTCTCTGTTGTTCATTCATCACTACCTACACTGACACACGTTATCTTATTTCTCATATATTTTAGATAGTGTAAAGACTGTTCTTGTTCTCTGTTGTTCATTCATCACTACCTAAACTGACACACGTTATCTTGTTTCTTATCTATTTTAGATAGTGTAAAGACTGTTCTTGTTCTCTGTTGTTCATTCATCACTACCTACACTGACACACGTTATCTTATTTCTTATATATTTTAGATAGTGTAAAGACTGTTCTTGTTCTCTGTTGTTCATTCATCACTACCTACACGCCACCTGGTTACATGACACTTTGCCGACTGGTTGAAAGAGAAAAAAATTATTATTCACTCAGCAGGTTTTACAACAGCTGAAATGCTGCGGGGACATAAAAAATGAATAATCGTAGCAACAAACCCCGGGGAGTGTGTTCCAACTTCAAGTACGTAAGATAAATTGTTGAAGTGGAAATGATTAACCAAATATGCATTAGTGAGAATATACACAGAAAACACAGACAGTTAGACGAAAGCCAATCACAATTTGCATAAAAAACGGTCCGCTCGGCAAAACCGATTAAATCCTGACAAGATTTGAAATCGACCAATCAGAGACCGGGTATTAACAAGAGGAAGTAAGATATGGTCATATCGCAAGGCATTCAAAACAACTCAAAATTGCATTTGTCCAATGAAATAGTGATTAGGATACTTTGAAAATGAGAAAGAAAAAATTGCAATGATTTCTGACTTTGAAGGTAAAAAAGTCTTAAATCAACTTCACAACTCATACACGGACGACCAATAGAGGCAGAGATTTTAATTCAAATCAAACCAATCAGAAAGCTGATATAAATATAAATACTTATAGCTCAACGGGGAATCTTATCTATTACCTTTCGCGTGTTTGATGACGCGAGCTCATCTTCGGGATAATCGTAGCACGCGAACAAGCTGTTGAAACAGCCGGAAATCGAAACCGCAACGTTTAAACGCAGGGAAGACTGTGGAAAGTGCTTTGTGCAACAACAGAGGGATAATATTTCTTAGAGAAGAAGTGGAACTCGAAGATAACCAGATGGGATTGGAGCAGCTACAAAAATCCCTTGATCAAAAAGCTAAATCAGGGAATAATAATGGCAAATTGAAGAATACCGTAAGTAGCCAGAATATACTGCAGTAATTGTACAGTAATGCGAAAGGCTCTCTTGTAATAATTTTCTCTGCTAACAGTAACTTCCATCATTTGGTTTAGAAAAGTACGAAACCAATGATGGAAAGATACCGAAGACGGAAGATAAACAATTACCTAGAAGAAATCAAATTCTTGGTCTTGTCAGCCTTAAACAAAGAGGTATGGACAGTATTGACAATTTAAAATCTTCTCGTGCGCTTTCATAGCTTCCAAATTTAACATTGGCGTGAAATGAGTAAGATGCTGTTAAGATCTGTCTTGGATTTCGACGAATAAAATGTAAACATGAGCCGTTTTAAAGCGAACGCTTCAATGACTATAGGAATTCCAGGCTATGCAAAATACCAAAGACCCCTGATGACATAATCACGAGCAACTGACAGCGAAGCGAATTTTTCAGCATGATAGCGCTGACATTCTCCAGCATTTCCTCTCCAAACCACAACGGTACTCTGACATTCAAAGTTTAAACTTCCCGCCACAGAGATAAACGGTTTGACAGTTTAACGGGGTCGGTGTCAACCCTTTGAATACAATATCCTGAGAATTTGTATTGTCGGTCGCGACTCTAGTGTCAATATCAGATCTCTCCTGCAGAAGACACAAGTCTGACGTGCGCAAAGATTCAAGTGTCCACATTAGATCAGTGTTGATGAAGACACTAGACTGGAGTATATATTGACTTAAGTTTCAACATCAGATTACTCCTGATGAAGACACTAGACTGGAGTATATAAAAATTCAAGTTTCAACATCAGATCACTCCTGATGAAGACACTAGACTGGAGTATATAAGAACTCAAGTTTCAACATCAGATTACTCCTGATGAAGACACTAGACTGGAGTATATAAGAACTCAAGTTTCAACATCAGATCACTCCTGATGAAGACACTAGACTGAAGTATATAAGTACTCAAGTTTCAACATCAGATCACTCCTGATGAAGACACTAGACTGGAGTATATAAGAACTCAAGTTTCAACATCAGATTACTCCTGATGAAGACACTAGACTGGAGTATATAAGAACTCAAGTTTCAACATCAGATTACTCCTGATGAAGACACTAGACTGGAGTATATAAGGACTCAAGTTTCAACATCAGATCACTCCTGATGAAGATACTAGACTGGATTATATTAGTACTCAAGGTTTAACATCGGATCACTCCCGATGAAGACACTAGACTGGAGTATATAAGAACTCAAGTTTCAACATCAGGTATCTCTAAATGAAACCACTAGACTGGAGTATGTTGGAATTCGTGTTTGAGCATATCTGATAACTTCTTATGAAATTGAATGAGTCCCCCCCAATTCAACATCAAGGACCGTGACAGAAAAACAAGAACCGCAGACTCACTAGTATAACTCTAGAATTACAAGAGTTGAATTAGCGATTTTCAACTTTGTGTTAACCGAGTCAAAACTCAAAAGCTTTAGCTTAAAGACGGCCAACATTTCATAGAGGGTTGAAATTGATCAGAATTCGATTGCTTTCATAACTTTTCATCAAATATGATACCAAAGTAAACAGTTTGAACCCGAGAGTATCGTTACATGTTTGTAAATGTAGATCGTCCCGGTTGGCATAGTCCTGAGAAGGACTGTTTTTGTTGTTGTTGACAGACGTTTCGACAACCTTAGCGGTAGTCATCGTCAGAGTCAAAATTTGACTCATTTCACTCTTCAGAGTCATTTGACTCTGAAGATGACTACCGCTAAGGTTGTCGAAACGTCAGTCAACAACAACAAAAACAGTCCTTCTCAGGAGTATCCCAACCTGGACGATCAACATTTACAAACATGTAAATATGATTGAAGTGCCTGTTCTTGAAGAGTGAAGAAAGAAAATCTTAGACACCGTCAAATAAAATGCATCAATTGCAGAGAATGGATGATATTGACAATAAGATTTTCACGTCGCACTAAGGTGGTTAAGGAAAAAAATAAGATGTTTATTTCAGGAATAAAAAGAGGAAGCAATTTGACGTATGAACGCAAACGCATGTATTCATTCTCCTTATATATCTCTTTCTCCTCCTTCATGAAGCCCTTTTGCTTGCAAATTTCAAAGTTCAATTCCTTCCTATTATTCTGTTGTACTGTTCCTGGTATCAGAAATAGACAACAACAGACCACTTACGATCGAGACAGCAGACATACACAATAACACAAACAAAGACTCTTCTTACAAGATGCTATATTGACAAACAAGAGAGATCCCCATTTAGAACGTCAGTCAAGTTCAACCTGCTATGACCACACCCCTAGCTCCTAGTCTTTCAAAATTTTCCCACAGTATAGATGAAGAAAGCGGAAATCCCTATCGACACATACCGATTCCTTTCCGTTTAAAACAAAAACTTTATCGCTGTTGAAAAACCGTTATTTTGTTATTTAGTTCAAAAAATGGCAGGGGTCCGAAACGGATATACGTCAATTCGTACTTTTATAGAAATAGAAGTTAGTCTTTATAACATTGGAAAGCAGTATTCTAAATGAATTTTTGGAGGGAAATAAATCTGCTTCTAAGAGTTCTAATTAGCACTAATTTCGAAAAGAATGATTAATAAGCTATTAAGTCAGTTATTATAAGTTAATAAGTCATTTATTATAAGTTAATAAGTCAGTTAGAAAAATAAGTCAGATTTATTATTAGAATGTTTGCAAGATTCCTTCACATCAGAAACACGTGACAACCATGCCTAATGCAAGGCACGTGTTTGACACGCGCGGCAACACTGGCAAGTTCAAACAAAAAGCACGGAAGCTCTACTTTACTTTGGTTTGAATTGAAAAATCAACACAAACTGATGTTTTTGGTGAGAACAGAGGAGTATCTAGAACGTTGATTGGGTGGGGGATGTATGTTCATATATTCAGTTGTACCCAAATGATTTCTTCTGAAATTCAAATTACTTTCAAAAGAAATCAATAGGGCACAACGGAATATATGAATATACACCCCCCACCCCGCAATCAACGTTCTAGTTACGCCTCTGTGTGAGAAAGCAGAAAATCTTAAATAGAAGTACTTTATTTTCATAATTTCTTAAAAGCACTATATATATCAGGCGTCTCAAGTGAACGACAAGTTTTTTTAAAGTAAGCATGTTTCGGCATGCTTATGCCATCTTCGGTACAAGGAATGACCATGTCATCTATTTACAGTTACATTTATATTATTTATGGTAATTCGATACGCTCTCACTTTAATAATATAAATATAACTGTAAATAGTTATAGCATAATCATTCCTTGTACTGAAGATGGCATAAGCATGCCGAAACATGTTTACTTTAAAAAAACTTGCCCTTCACTTGAAACGCCTGAAGTACTTTATTGATATACTTCCATAAGACAGCTCCATCACCAGCCGACAATTTAAAGATGTATAGTATAAAACAAATTTCGAAGAAGCAAGACATCTCGAGATTGCAAAATATGAATCAAAACAAGACGAGCTGTGAACTGAAAATTTTCGATTTTATTTCAAAGTCATCCTCAGACAGAATGAGGATGACTCTGTCTGAGTCAATAATTAATAAGGAGGATGATTATTCCGTCTGAAATAAAGTCGAAAATTTACAGTTTACTTCTCGTCTTGTTTTGATTCATATTTTGCAATCTCAAGATGTCTTGCTTCTTCGGAATTTGTTTTATATTATACAGCTCCATCCCTCTTAAGCTTTTCTAGTCTCAACACCTCACCCTAACAATACATCACATCACACTTACACATTCACAGTAATCTGATACCTCAAACTATGTAAATAGCTCTAAATATATCTATAATTTTTGTTGACTTCCTTATTAGTCTGAAGATGTCTTGAGTCAAGACGAAACGTCACTGTTTTAATAAATTTCACAGAACCAAACTGCTTACGAATATGTTCGAAATTATTTGTTGGGCTCTAATATTTATTTTGAGAATCCGTTTCCCGCCTGGCACTTCCATTACTATGGAAACGGCAAGAGATACGGCGCTTAGCTGTTGAGGTAATTACATACGTATAAATGACATTCATATTTCTTTAAGGTCAAACTTTATACAAAGATGGAAAAGGCTGATATTTTAGATATGGCTGTACAATACATCAGAGAAGTGAGAAAACAGTCCCAGGCCTCCACAACAACCCACATACACGCGGCCGAAAGCAATCGTTATAATTCCGAAGATGACAAAATCTCTAGTCCCAGTCCTTCTCAACCACAAAACTACAGAAGGCCGCCTTGCAAGCATTTAGGCGAAATCAAGATGAAAAGTGGTTTTTCTAACGAAATTAAAAACCGCTACAATGAGACAACGAGCGCTCGTGAAACACAGAGAAACGAGAGCACTAGAAGTAACGTTTTGTGGAACAATTTGTCGAGAAACCAAGGCCCAATTGTAAACTGTAATACTTCAAATCTTTGGCGACCTTGGGAAAACGGCAGTACATAAATATTGAAATTTTTTATGGGTAGACTGTAAAAAGTCAGATGACCAAATCACGACCATGCAACCGGTAGAAACTGTAAATAACATCAATTGTACAGACCGTATTGATAACCGGTGACATTTGCTGGATAATTAGCGAATATAAGCGCACAATTTTTTATATGACTCAATCATATTTTAGATTACATGTTGTTCGGTCAATAAATAGAAAACATTGTGATTACATCAAACTAAGATAAGACAAATCACAATAGACAGCATGACAATGTGCATATAAACGCAAAGATGTATCGCAATTTTCTTGTTTTTCTTTTTAAATAATACGGCATTTTCACGGTATTTTGTTTCGGTTGTAAAACTTTTTGTTATAATATAAAACCACTTTATATATTGCTGTAAAATTTCTGTGAGACTTGCCACTTTATAGATGATTTGAAAACTAAGCGACTTGACTTTTGCGATACTTTTCCTTTGAAGTGAAGCAGAGCATTCATGCATTATCGTTCCACTTCAATGTGTAGATTTCAAATGAAAATTACTCCCACGTGATGTCGGTGTTGACTCCCACGTGATGTTGGAGCCTGACTTCCACGTGAGTCTGACACCCACCAACTTAAGACTGTAGATAGCGCTGGCATTGGATAGAGACTTTGCCGAATGGAACTACGATGTTAAGCTGTCACAAAACACTATCATACAGTCATACAGTAGGTCTCTCCCAAGCGATTCTTGCAATTCTCAATGAAAACAGCAATCACCCCTCCCCCCTGGACGCATTTCACACAGTGGACACAAGATTCCAAAGAAACTCAATCCAAGGGGTCTAACTGTCCTTCCTGTACTGTCTGTGTGGTAAATTATTGATCTATGACATAAACACAGAACTCGCTATGACATTGCTGTGAGTAATATAACTGTTCTTTTGTATGTTATAGCTATGTTTCCTATAATATATAGCTATGTTTCCCTTAATATATATGCTATGTTTCCCACAACTATAGAGATATGGGAAACATCGTTAGCAATACTAAGCGTGATTTATTAGTTGATCATACAAGAGCGAAAGGCGACAGCTTAAAAATATTTGGCAATTTTGAAGCCGCAATATCGAGTCGACTCAATAAGAAATGCATTAAAGCTCTCAGTTAAACTCGAAGAGAAATTGGTCGGAGATCACCTAACTGCATACACACAAACTTTTGTTAGTCGTTACCCTAATCTCTTCAGGCAAAATTGAGGTCGGCATTTAGAAAAAATGGCCGATAATTCATCTTTTATTTTGCCATAACTTTACCACCCGATTCACATGGAAATCATTAAACAACAAAATGACAAAACCGGTTCTAGTCATGGCATTTCTACTCCTCTCGTCGGCCACAACAAGCAATTCATCCCCCCCCCGCCAGTTTCCCTCGCATTCTAAACGAGTGTTTAAAATACATATATTAATAAATTAAAGATGGCACATCCTACCTTTCAGAACGTCTTTTACTCTGTCTTTTACAGCCTCCACAATGACGACGTTTCTTGTTTCATTTACAGTAAACTTTTTTATGGATCTTTTTATGGTTTCGTCATGCTTGGGAACCATACATAAAATCTGTTCATCATTATCATCCATAAGTTGATTATCATCATTATCGATATGTTGATTATCATCATCATCGATATGTTGATTTTCATCATTATCATCGATATGTTGATTTGCATCATCATCGATATGTTGATTTTCATCATTATCATCGATAGGTTGATTATCATCACTATCATCGATATGTAGATTATCATCATTGCCATCGATATGTTGATTTTCATCATTATCATCGATATGTTCATTTTCATCATTATCATCGATATGTTCATTTTCATCATTATCATCGATATGTTCATTTTCATCATTATCATCGCTATGTTCATTTTCATCATTATCATCGATATGTTCATTTTCATCGATATGTTGATTATCATCATTATCATCGATATGTTGATTATCATCATTACCATCGATATGTTCATTTTCATCATTATCATCGATATGTTCATTTTCATCATTATCATCGATATGTTGATTATCATCATTATCATCGATATGTAGATTTTCATCATTATCATCGATATGTAGATTTTCATCATTATCATCGATATGTAGATTTTCATCATTATCATCGATAGGTTGATTATCATCACATGTGACGTCACCGCAGTCGTTAGAAACGTTTACAAAACTTTTTTTCTTCAATGCAGGTGCAGATTTTGCCGTTTTCTCCTCTTCAACAGACGTTTGTGTTGGCGGGGGTACAAAATATGGCAATTTTCCTCGCTGGAAATCGTTCAACACCATCTTCGCAACTGTATTAATGTCGGCTTCACCCCCCTAACAAAATGACAACAAAATTAAATCCCATCTTCTAAAGTGACATGGAACTCCATTATGCTCGTCTACTAGGAAGTTTAAACTGAATTGAAGAAGGAATTATTGGAAAAATCCTTAGAAGAAAATTGTAAATTAGTAATGAAAACCCGTTAGGAGAACAAATGAAGTTGTATGTATGGAGCCAGGGTGTATTGGAGGACGAGGAGAGTGTGGGGGACACTGGGTGTATTGGAGGACGAGGAGAGTGTGGGGACACTGGGTGTATTGGAGGACGAGGAGAGTGTGGGGGACACTAGGTGTATTGGAAGACGAGGAGAGTGTGGGGACACTGGGTGTGTGGAGGACGAGGAGAGTGTGGGGACACTGGGTGTATTGGAGGACGAGGAGAGTGTGGGGACACTGGGTGTATTGGAGGACGAGGAGAGGACACTGGGTGTATTGGAGGACGAGAAGAGTGTGGAGGACACAGGATGTATTGGAGGACGAGGGGAGTGTGAGGGACACAGGATATATTGGAGGACAGGAGAAGGGGCTCGGGGGACCCAGATCCCCTGTCTTGTGATAGTAAAAAATATCAGTGAGCTAGTGGCAGAAATGATATACATCAGAGCGTTCTCGGCAGTGAAAATACATACCATTGACCAGCGGATGTGGTCCAGCAAACCAAAGAGCACCCCTCCCCCCTTGTCAATGCACCTCTGAAAATTATGTGCGTAAATATATAATTACCGCTATAAGAGCCAGAAGTAGATTAGTTACAGCGGTAATTTATCCTCCCAGCATGCCTACCCCGGGGTGACATTTAGAGAGAGATCTTATGGATGAATATCTATGATGTTATCAGGTTTCTGACATATATATTTCAGAACCAAATCAGAAATCTCTCTCCAAGATATTAGATCAAAAGATCCCCAGTAAAACGCGAAAATAATTCAAAATTTCTCAAGTCACCTTCAGTAATTTGCCTGTTTTTGCCGCGAGTTTCTCGAGAAAGTCTGTAACATTCGCCCACGACGTGATCTTGTAAGTCTTCGTCAAATATTCGTGTTTAACACGTGACAAAAGAGCGTCGATGTAATCCGATGGATTATCCACGTTCTCAACTCGAACCTAAAGTTAGATCGCAAATCTCAATCATCGCTCAAAAATTTCATAGCGCGAAAAAAATATGAAATAAATTTGATGTCATTAGCTTACGACGCCTTTAAGAACAATGTCGGTTGGTGAATCACCGGCCGGATAAACGACACCGGGACAATCGATGAGAAATATTCTGCGCATCAAGGTGACGTACTGCCAGACCTACGGGCAGAAGTTGGAATGTAGACAGGTAAAATTTAGTCCGAAACAAACACCTGGATAGACAGAAGGATAAATTTGAATAATATGGGTAAATCTCAAAAATAAGCGAGAACAGACAAAAGTAAGCGAATTGTTTGAATCCTATTTGTATCTTTGAATGTTTGTAAACGTAGCCCTGAGAAGAACTGTTATTGCAAGTGTTGGTGTTCATTGGACAACCTTAGCTGTAGTCATCTTCAAAGTCGGTGAAATAAATTGTATATATAAGATTTCAACGTATATTATAACGATTGCCAAAGAGTATTTTAGTAAATCAAACAAGACAATAGACATTCCGTATAAAGCAAACATTATTTAATCTGAACGTTTCGATAAGTCCTACATGTCATCATTAGAGTATTTTTCTACTGATGATTACATGTAACACTTGTCATCATCAGTAGAAAAATGTTCTAATATACGTTTTAATATACGTTCTAATAGACGTTCTAATGTACGTTCTAATATACGTTCTAATAAACGTTCTAATATACGTTCTAATAAACGTTCTAATAAACGTTCTAATATACGTTCTAATATACGTTCTAATAAACGTTCTAATATACGTTCTAATAAACGTTCTAATAAACGTTCTAATGTACGTTCTAATATACGTTCTAATAAACGTTGTAATATACGTTCTAATAAACGTTCTAATATACGTTCTACTAAACGTTCTAATATACGTTCTAATAAACGTTCTAATATACGTTCTAATAAACGTTCTAATATACGTTCTAATATAGTCGTTATAATATACGTTGAAATCTTATATATACTCATTATTTCACCGACTTTGAAGATGACTACAGCTAAGGATGTCAAAACATCAGTCAACGCCAACATCAACAGTTTTTTTCATACTGCACTAAACTAGACCGTAGACAATCTACATCAACAGACAAAGATGCATCGTATTATTCCTAACACGGTTTTTATATGCACATGAAAAACACGTGACTTGGACGAGATTTGAATATTCGTCCGCCACTTTACCTGTTGAGCTACCAAGCCCCCACAGATTGGAGACGAGTCAAATCTCTTTTAAACTGCGTATGGGCTAGAGATTCTTGCCACGATAGCAGTTTTCTGGATGGCACCCAAGTTACATGTTTTCCATGTGCATATAATAACAGTGTTAGGATTATCATAATGTACATTTTTTGACGATGGCTTTGGAATAAGTAAATATCGTAACATGACAATCATCTTCATTTCTCACTTGACTGTGAAGATAAGTTCAACAAAGGTTGTCGAAACGTTAATCAATTGAAGCTCTGTCAAAATGATCATTCAATACAAACCTTCGTTTCACCAGCAATCGGCGCGACATTACAGACTTTCTTTGAACGAAGAGCGTTGATGATCGAACTTTTGCCGACATTTGGATAGCCAATGCAACCAACACTATATATAAAATACACCTTGTTAAAAATGTCGAAATATACTCACAAATCTTTGGACGGAATAAACAAGATGTAATGGCTTTCTATGTGTATATTTCACTAACGTTTGATTGACATGTTTTTCTTTCTATTTTGCATTTATAATTATTAGTCTGATCTCCTCATGCACTGAACTATCCTTTTTATAAATCTTTCTTACAACCTTGTTAAAAATGTCGAAATGAAAATATATCTCGGTACTCGAGGTGTACGGGGGGGCAATACATCTCAAAAGCAAGACTTGAGGGGGGAGTCAGCAAAATATTCATTTGGTCGGCTCTCGGAAAGCAAACTCGTTCAAAGTCAAGCTTTCGGTGAAGGAAAAACAAAAGCAATGTATTGCATTTTGAAAACTCGCTATAATGTTGATGTTTATGAAGCCGAGTCAGTGGAACAAGGGAAATATCTTCAACTCTTGCCATGCTAATGTTCTACGAATAAATTTTTTTACTTAAGCAAATTACTAAAATGACTAAACGCCCGAAAGATGACAGCGCGCCAAATTACCTTCACAAATTATGAACATACAGACTTCAGAAAAAATATCAAATGTAATACTACGAATTTAAGATCTTTTCACAAACAGACTTGTGACCAGGGATATACCGGGCGATAAATATAAAGAGCCATTTAATGAATAGAAAAATATTTATTTAAAAGTGTAACGTTTCGTCTTGACTGATGATGTCTTGAGAGTCAAGACGAAACGTGCATCAAATTTTGCTTTGATATTTATATTTACAAACAGACTAGTTGATATTGAATCAATAATGTTTCAAAGTGAAGACGTTTGGTAGCTGCAGTCGAATTGCAAAATTATTTACCTTATATTTTTCTTGTCGCTATGAAGCTGAAAACATACATAACAAAAATAGTAAGTTGTTGAAATCACGCTTACAAAAATTATAAACGCGTTTGGACACTTATAATGGATTTGAGACATCAAAACACCTTCGAAAACTGTCGTAGAGTGTTGATTAGAGCGCCTTTGCCAAACGGATTGGTTAGACTGGCACGGAAAGCAAGTGTTGGATATTCTGAAGACAATATGGTAACCCATTGTTGCTAAAACGAAAGAGGAAAAAGGATTAGACAAAAGAATATCGTTTAGTCTTAATATTTGTCATTTATTAGTGTCTTCTTTGCGTCTTAAAAAGGTCAAGAATGAATTATGGACGAATTATGAACGAGTCACTCTAACCTACCTAAATTTGTGTCAGCATTTTGTTCTACTTTTGTGTCAGCTTTTGTATTCACTTTTTTTATTTTATGTCGACTTTTGTCAGAGGATTTTTTGTGTTTTCTTTGTGACTCAACCATGTTAAAAACGAATTTAGTTTTGTATTTACTGTGAAGACGAGTAACCAAAAAATTACCGAAACCCATAAACATTGGTATCTACTCTTCTTTCTTTTGATTACATTTGAAGCCTCCTTCGCGGGAAGATTTTAACAAGTTTTTCTTCGAAACTTACCGTCACCCAGGTCGGAACAAGATCGCACTTATTCAAAACAAAAATAAGATGTTTATGTTGTTTTTCCTTTGAAAGATATTTCTCCACCTGTCGACATCGAGTTCCTTCTGGATCTCTGGCGTCCAGAACCTGAAACATAAAATATACAGAGCGCTTAAAAAAACAGGGGGTGGGTGAACAATATTTAAAGACACCATTATGAGTAGCATGGATAAACGCTATCCAGGCTTCGTGCAACCGGCCCCAGGACAGTTTCATCCAACTAAACCTTATCTAACTTCACTCAACTCAATTTTAGCAGTTATCATATTAACGCACAAAATTTCACGATCGTCATCATTATTTTACTATCTAGCAATAACTGTAATGTAAACATCTTATATTTAGTACATTAATCTTCACATATAATTCACTTACAGTCTCATAACATCTTAAGTTAAAGACGAAACGTTACGATCCCTAATCTTAACCCAACCCTAATCCGATACCTAATCCTAACCCTAACCGTAACCCGATCCCTAACCCTAAGTCTAATCCGAACCCGATCCCTAATCCTAACCCTAACCTTATTCATGACCTCAATAAAATTTTTATGCGGGCCAATCACATTTATACTAAATATTCAGAGCAACACCCACCTGCAGAAGGACGTCAGAAGAATCTATAACCTATAAATTTCAGAACATTGAATTCAATTAGGCAACATCAATAATTGTGCATCATCAAACTAAGGATGCAAGGATAGCGCAAAGTTAAAAAATCCCCTTGATTAGTTATTTAAATCTACCATGAAATTTTTCACGCATCTCTTTCATTTCTCGGTTCTACTTTCCTTTTACGTACGATGGGAGCACGCTGGGCTGGTCTTTCAGGTAGTGAGTTCAAAACTGGATTTGTTGAAACATGCCAATCGTACGATACTTCCATCTAGCGCCTGCCTAATTGTTCATAGTCATGACAACGACCAACTATATGTACTTGCACTACATTTGTGTCAATTAACTCACTTAGTCGCAAATTATTAAAGAAATGATCTGCGCATGCGCAGTAGGACTTTAATAATCCCACAACTTTCGTGAGCCTCTGAATTTTTGTATATATATATAAAGCCAATATTAGGTATAGTAGATGTCAACTAGCAGTGGACGCTGGGTGCGATATAGTATGCAGTGGCTTAGGGGCCCACACTTCGGTGGCGACCGCACTCTCCCTGCGTACCCTGAGCAAAGCCTATCGCAGGTGATCTCAGGGTCTGATGGGCGGAAACTTGCTTTGGCATCTCCCAAGTAGGATAGCGTGGAGGGGCCGAAATCTCTTACCGAAACGTTAACATGCGGCGTTCTAGTGCCTTGCGCTTAAGAAGGTATCGGGAAGCATGGACCGAAAACGGGGTTTTTTGCTTTTGAATTTTATCTTTTGTTTTTCCTAGAGTTCTTCTCATAGAAAATCCAAAATATCCAAGGAAACTTCTTTTACTTATAATTCAAGGCAACTTAAACATGTGTGAATGATACATTTTTGATTGGTCTGTATCTTTCAAGATTTAACTTTCTTACGTACAATTTTCATTCATCATGAGGACTGGTCTGTATCTTTCAAGATTTAACTTTCTTACGTACAAATTTCATTCATCATGAGGACTGGTCTGTATCTTTCAAGATTTAACTTTCTTACGTACAATTTTCATTCATCATGAGGACTGGTCTGTATCTTTCAAGATTTAACTTTCTTACGTACAATTTTCATTCATCATGAGCGAACCATGAATTGTTTCATGGCGCGCAAGGACTATCTGCTTTCTTGTCTCATTTGATGTTGAAGTTGAAATAAATAACTAAGTTCAAGACTTTAATAAAGTTTTTATGATGACAACATTTAATTAGCCAAACCATTTGTATAGTCTAAAGAGAACCACACTTTCTATGCTTTTTCTTTTAAGAAATTTTTATTCATTTTGAATAAAAAACTGACCAAAATAACGTTTAGGAAATTTATTTCTCATGCACATTTTGTCGCAATGAAATATTAACTTCGATTATATAAACGGAGATTTAATGTAAGCATTTTTTAAAACTGTTACTTTTCCTGCAAACTTTGCAATAAAAAGTTACAAACCTTATATAATTCATTCCATATTCGCTTCGATTGTCCTTTGCTGAAAACTGACTCTATGGCAAGTGATCTGTTGCAAAAAAAATTGAAATATTTGGTAGTCTTGTTTATCATTTATCAAACTAAGAGAAATGGAAAAAGAAAGCATTTTGTATTCCTACGTTGAATCTGGTTCATCCTTCGTCAGATCCATGTCTTTATTTGAGTCGTAGTTTTCTGAAAGAAGAAAACTGCCCAAGTAAGAAAGCGTTTACAAAAAAGTTGAAATACAAAAAGATAAGTAAACAATTTGTCGGGTTTTTGTTTGAAATACACACTGAATCAGAAAATTGCAACTTTAAGAAGCAAAACAAACAAACGCGCATATAGTATAAAACAAATTCCGAAGAAGCAAGACATCTTGAGATTGCAAAATATGCATCAAAACAAGACGAGAAGTGAACTGTAAATTTTCGACTTTATTTCAAAGCCATCCTCAGACAGAATGAGGATGACTTTTAACAGATTGAGGACGACCTCATTCTGTCTGAGGATGACTTTGAAATAAAGTCGAAAATTTACAGTTCACTTCTCGTCTTGTTTTGATGCATATTTTGCAATCTCAAGATGTCTTATTTCTTCGGAATTTGTTTTATACCATATTTCTTTAAATTGTCGGCTGGTCATGGCTTTTGGTATAAACGCGCATAATTCACTGGTGTCGTAGTCAGCCGGCAAGTTCCGTAGTCAGCCGGCAAGTTTGTTTATGCTATATAAAGTATTTGTTGTTCGCTCACTGTCAAAACAATAAACTTTAAAGAAATGAATAAAGTTGATGATAAGTACAACGTGAAAGCCTTTCTATTTTCTCAATTTAACGGTTTAATGACTACAAGGTAACCATACAAAAAAGAACGCGAGAAAACAGATTTGGCAGCCCGCGATGGATTCGGGATAACTTTCTAAGGAAGGAACTGCTTTGATTTTGATTAGATTTTGTTGGTTCTTTTGATTTTGTACAATGCACGAAATTTTTCAAAAGTATTGACTAGTTCTAGAATGCTGATGTATAAAAACACTAAGCAAATCAATCTTTAATCTGTATTCCGTGAAGTTAGCAATATCCCTTGCGACAACACTTGTTTTCAAACATTATTGATGAAAATATTTTACAGAAAATATTCATTTGAGAAATTTGCTGCCTGAATTGAGAAAGTGAAATGTTTTATCCGTGCCTGGCCATAAGTCAGGGTTGAGACGGCAAGAACCCTCAATCCCTGAGACTTGAAAGAAATACACTAACGAGCAAACAAACCTCTAGAATCATCAACTTGAGAAACAAGGGCCTAAAAACAAAAATATGTTACATATATATGTTTTCGCACCAAGTTAATAAAATACAAAATACCTCAACGTCAGCTGCCATGATTGTGGGTCGTTTTCGCTGAGCTTTAGGGCCAAACGTTGTGCTGAAACTTTCAGTATCCAGTAAATGAACCCGAGCAGTCTGAAAAGAAAATGGTCAGTAAAAGTAAATGGGCAAGCCACCTGCAAATAAAGTAGCAAGAAAAGGAAAATATTAAGGATGTCAGACATTCCTTGGTTTAAAGTAAATGGTTTGAACCCGGGAGTATCATTACATGTTTGTAGATGTAGATCGTCCAGGTTGGTATAGTCCTGAGAAGGACTGTTTTTGTTGTTGTTGACTGACGTTTCGACAACCTTAGCGGTAGTCATCTACAGAGTCAAATGAGGAGTAAACGTCAGGTTAGCCGTATTTGTTATCTGGTTCTTACATCATTGTATTGTGTGTACAGGAAATGTGTGGGTGTCAATTGCGTATTGTCATTGTGAATTAGTGTGAAGTGTAATGTTTTTAGTTGATCGTTTGTTTGTATTGTGAATAAGTCGTTTGTAAGGTGCCAGTAATTGCTGTGATCTGTTCAGGGGGGTTTGTTCCAACTTAACTTGGTTTGACACCAAGTGTCACATGGTTACGACTGCAACTGACATCAATACTGTATTAAAACAACACCTTTGCTCTGTCATGTAAGAGTGACAACGGCATCTTGCTTTGTTTCATTATAACCTAAAGATACAGAAGATAATAACTTTTCTTCCGTTGATGACAACACATGAAACATACGCATCTATTTAACTTAAGACTTTACCTTGTATGGATCCTTCAAGATTTTACCCATTTCCACTTGAAATGTTTGCAAAGCATTCTGGGTAATCACACGAGTATTTCCTAGGAAATTAAAAAAGATGATTTTCCAGAAATCAACAGATATTAATGATCAATAATCGGAGGTCTTGTTAACGATGAATACTTTGGATCTTTTGTTTAAGAATGCCAGGTTTCATTTAGAGATTTTCTGGGGGAGGGGTAAGCAGGGATGTGCTACACCCTCCAAACATCATATTAGGGATTTGGTTAACGTTGAACTCCCTGAATTTTTAGCAAAACCAATCAGTATCAGTGTGCGAATTAACGGTGTGCAATGTGCAATTTGCACATCGTTTTAGCTAGAGTGAAAACAATTGCACATCACTTTTTCAAACAATATGCAAAAAACTTCATTATTGATTACCACCACAGAAATTGAACAAAGTTTTCAAGCTTAATCTTTACTGATCTTTACTTTAAAAACAAGTGCGCTGCACGACATTAAAATCCATGTTGACACAATGTCATCAAATTTAAAGATGTTGTCACTGAGACTGGGAAGTCAGTCAACAGTCTACATACATGGTGCTTATATGCTTATGACAATAGGGGTGTCATACATTATTAATGTCAATTTTTGCATTTGCGTTTTTTTTAAACCATTACGTACTGCTTGTGGCATCATAGCTATTTTGAGTATTTTCAGTAAAATCAGAAAACATTTTGATTTTGATTGTTAAAAGAAGACAAAAAAACTTAAATAAACCAAATTTGAAGAATAAACCAAAGGGAATTTTGATTTTATGCTAAAGAAACACTTTTGTCAAAAAAAAAATTGCACATTGTTTCTTCTCAACTAATTCGCACACTGATCAGTAATATAGGAAAACAGAGTTTTTCTGGACAATGTTTCAACTTTGTACACCACCTTTGATAGCTGCACTACCAGATCACCCTAAATACCAGAGCCATATTTGTCTTACATAACTTCTTCACCAGCTCACCTCACCCCCACTTACAATTTTTAGCAACACCCATGTATAAAATATGAAGACATGCCAATGACAGGCTTGTCACCAAAAACCAAACAATGTTAATAAACTCAAGTCATCCTCAAAAGTCCCATAAAGTCCCTTGTTGTGGGATGATTTTAAGCCTATTTCACAAGCAACTGGTCATAGATGTCTAAGATTCTTACCAAACCATTTTCTGTTTGGTTCAACACGAGCAACCTCTCCGGAAACAGCTCGAGATTGAAATGCTGCAGGTTTAATGATTTTGCCATGCCTGTTTCTAGTAGGTTTGCCTTCGTCACGGTACATGTTTAGCCTTGACACTGTATTCTTTGTTCGTGCATTTTGTCCACCATCTTTCTTGGTATGTGTATCTATGGAATGTAGAATGTTTAGTTTTGAATGATGGCCAGTGATTTGCCAGATGAGAAATTATTTGTAATGCATAATGATTTTTATAACACGAAGGTGTAGCCATTAAAAACACTTCAAAACCTATACAGTGTTTCATAGCAATCAGTGCTTTAGAACTAAATCTATCAGATTGGGGGCTCTCTTGACGTTTTCATCAATAGTGCCCTTTTAAAATTACCCATTTCAAAGGTAGAAGGGGGCTCCTCCCTCAAGCGCCCCCCCCTTCTACAGCATTGATAGCATAACTACATGTTTGTAAATGATGATCATCCAGGTTAATAAAGTCCTGAGAAGGACTGTTTTTGTTGTTGTTGACTGATGTTTCGACAACCTTAGCGGTAGTCATCTTCAGAGTCAAATGAGGAGTAAACGTCAGTCAACAACAACAAAAACAGTCCTTCTCAGGACCTTATTAACCTGGACGATCATCATTTAGAAACATGTAACGATACTCCCGGGTTCAAACCATTTACTTTACTGATAGCATATAATAGAAGAGATTGCAAAGGGAGGGGTGAAGAGACATTCTCCGCTTGCTTTACCCATGGGAAAGCATGGTATTGGATGATATTTCACATCCTAAATTTTGTTTTCAAGCTATTCTGGCCACACATGATCCTGGGTATCTTTTCAAATTATTTTAGTGTAAAAAGTTTGTGTTTGTGCTTTGCCATGTCGTGTGCAGTTGTATTACTTGTGTATTTTCAGGCAGTAGCCTTGTTTCAAAACTGCGGAGTATCTCGGTTTTTGCCAAGATCTCAGGAGTAGAAAACCGGAAAATATCAACAATCAAAACTTGTCACTTGACAAATTTCGGGGAACACAACTGCTTTTCTGTACAGTCTGGTCTGTTTCTTTGAATTGGGGTAGTCTATCAACTGCTAATAACTTACAAAAAATGCATTATGAAAGAAAGAAAATTCACAAGCACTTGTAAAATTTAAGCCGAGCCTTCCCCCACGTGGATTAACAGATTGAATATAAATATAATTTTTAACTTCATAAGAAGACTAATATTTTACAGATAAAACGCGTTATCTGTACGAACCTGGGTTTGTACTGCTGCCTTTACTCTTTTCGTTGATCTTTCTGTTCATTTTGGCTTTGCGTTTTGATGTTTTAGCCATTTTTCACACAATAATTGAACAAATATTCTTCTCCTTTCGAGACACGTTCTTGTAGAGAATACGGGTACATTGAGGGACATCTGATGATAATTTAGCGGCTCACTCTTATTCGTTAATTCATTTATTTGTCAATTGTCCCGGTATTTTTTAGCAGAATTAAAAATTTTAATAATTAAATAACAATGAAAATCATCAGGAATAATCACGTTTTCTAAAAAAATCCATGCATGGACGTACTTTAACAAACATCATTCATAAAAGCCACACAGCATACATGAGGTTAGGGGTAACTTGAGGATAACTTTGCACATTAATGCTTATTACCTACCTGGGCTCATTAAGAAGTATTTCGCTTTTTTCTCATTATTCCACTTGCTTAATGTCTTTAAAACTGACTAATATTACTTTATAGATAATATCAAATTGCAGAATGAAATAAGATTTGCACCAAAATTACGATTTCCGAGTTTCCGAACAAAATAATTCAGAAGAAATAATTTGCAAGTCGTTACTTGTTGTTATGACAACACATATTCAATATGGCGGGTCAGGCATCATTGTCAGATTATGGGATTAATTCAGCAAACAACGACAGGGACTACGAACAAAACGCAATGTTCCAGAGCTTAGAACAACCGCTAGGAAATCTCTCAAATTATGCCGCCAAGCCTGTGGATTATGATGGCAAAGTCCGTAAAGGAATTTTGATTTTCGATGCTGATTTTGAAAGTGGAAATCTTGGCCGAGTTGATGCAATCACTGGTTTTGAGTACGATCTGTTTGTCCGCCCCGACACTTGCAACTCGAGGTTGTCTTCTTGCTTATTTCATCTTAATTTGAGTGCAAAAACTATTGATAATCTATGTCTTTTGATCCAGAAGTGAACATGAAAAGCAAAGTAATATAATGCAGACTTTTCATATTGCATACATGATACATCTATTTTAAATGAACAATGCACGACGTGTGTCCGTTTGATAATTGTTGATGAATGAATAACAGAGAAGGAGAACAGTCTTTACACAATCTAAAATATATAAGAAATAAGATAACGTGTGTCAGTGTAGGTAGTGATGAATGAACAACAGAGAACAAGAACAGTCTTTACACTAACTAAAATATACAAGAAATAAGATAACGTGTGTCCGTTTGATAAGTGATGATGAATGAATAACAGAGAAGGAGAACAGTCTTTACACAATCTAAAATATATAAGAAATAAGATAACGTGTGTCAGTGTAGGTAGTGATGAATGAACAACAGAGAAGGAGAACAGTCTTTACACTATCTAAAATATATAAGAAATAAGATAACGTATGTCAATGTAGGTAGTGATGAATGAATAACAGAGAAGGAGAACAGTCTTTACACTATCTAAAATATATAAGAAATAAGATAACGTGTGTCAGTGTAGGAAGTGATGAATGAACAACGGAGAACAAGAACAGTCTTTACACTATCTAAAATATATAAGAAATAAGATAACGTGTGTCAGTGTAGGTAGTGATGAATGAACAACAGAGAAGGAGAACAGTCTTTACACTATCTAAAATATATAAGAAATAAGATAACGTGTGTCAGTGTAGGTAGTGATGAATGAACAACAGAGAACAAGAACAGTCTTTACACTATCTAAAATATATAAGAAATAAGATAACGTGTGTCAGTGTAGGTAGTGATGAATGAACAACAGAGAACAAGAACAGTCTTTACACTATCTAAAATATATAAGAAATAAGATAACGTGTGTCAGTGTAGGTAGTGATGAATGAACAACAGAGAACAAGAACAGTCTTTACACTATCTAAAATATATAAGAAATAAGATAACGTGTGTCAGTGTAGGAAGTGATGAATGAACAACAGAGAACAAGAACAGTCTTTACACTATCTAAAATATATAAGAAATAAGATAACGTGTGTCAGTGTAGGTAGTGATGAATGAACAACAGAGAACAAGAACAGTCTTTACACTATCTAAAATATATAAGAAATAAGATAACGTGTGTCAGTGTAGGTAGTGATGAATGAACAACAGAGAACAAGAACAGTCTTTACACTATCTAAAATATATAAGAAATAAGATAACGTGTGTCAGTGTAGGTAGTGATGAATGAGCAACAGAGAACATTAAGTCTTAAACTTTTTTGCCGACATACTGTAAACAGTGTAAGAGAAACCAATACTTAACCACAAAGTTTCGTGTCTATTTATATCCATCAACAGATTTCGAATGTGGTTTAATTTTACGGTAAAGAATGCGTCATCGTACCAACGCGTCATCTTCAACATAGTGAACTTCAGCAAAACAAAAAGTCTCTATCGTGATGGTATGAGTCCCGTCGTCAAATCATCGAGTCGCCCAAAATGGCAGAGAATTCCATCGAAAAATGTGTTCTATTACCGTTGCCCTGATCATAGGAAAAATTACGTCATGTCTTTTGCGTTTTGCTTCGATCGAAGCGACGAAATCTATCAGTTTGCTTATTGTTATACCTACTCGTATACAAGACTGCAGAAGTATCTGAACCAATTGCAAAATCGTGGTGTTGACTTTTTTCGTCGCGAGCAGTTGTGCCTTTCTGTTCAAAAAAGAAAGGTTGAACTGTTGACGATCACGTCAAAGGGTAGTGGTTTTGGTGGACGGAAGAGAATCGTGTTTCTCACGGCCAGAGTTCATCCAGGTATGATGTACGGATAGATAGTTAGACGAGTACAGTCTTTACCTAAAATATATAAGAAATAAGATAACGTGTGCTGGTGTAGGTAGTGATGAATGAACAACAGATAACAAGAACAGTCTTTACACTATCTAAAATATATCAGAAATAAGATAACGTGTGTCAGTGTCGTAGTGATGAATGAACAACAGATAACAAGAACAGTCTTTACGCTATCTAAAATATATCAGAAATAAGATAACGTGTGTCAGTGTAGGTAGTGATGAATGAACAACAGAGAACAAGAACAGTCTTTACACTATCTAAAATATATCAGAAATAAGATAACGTGTGTCAGTGTAGGTAGTGATGAATGAACAACAGAGAACAAGAACAGTCTTTACACTATCTAAAATATATAAGAAATAAGATAACGTGTGTCAGTGTAGGTAGTGATGAATGAACAGAGAACGAGTACAGTCTTTACCTAAAATATATAAGAAATAAGATAACGTGTGCTGGTGTAGGTAGTGATGAATGAACAACAGAGAACAAGAACAGTCTTTACACTATCTAAAATATATCAGAAATAAGATAACGTGTGTCAGTGTAGGTAGTGATGAATGAACAACAGAGAACAAGAACAGTCTTTACACTATCTAAAATATATAAGAAATAAGATAACGTGTGTCAGTGTAGGTAGTGATTAATGAACAACAGAGAACGAGAACAGACTTTAGCGATTCTTCACAAAGCCAAATCAAGTTATCTGACTTTGTTTGAAGGACATTCAATGTTTTTAGGTGAAACGCCATCCTCCTTCGTTTGTCAGGGAATCATCGATTTTCTGGTCAGCGCACATCCCATAGCGCGCATGCTTCGTGACAACATTGTGTTCAAGATCATACCTATGTTGAATCCTGACGGAGTCGTCTTGGGTAACTATCGTTCGTCCTTATTGGGTTTCGATTTGAATCGTCACTGGAATGAGCCCACGGCATGGGCGCATCCTAGCATAGCAGCTGCCAAAAACCTAATACTTGGTTTAGATGAAGTCTCGAACGTTGATTTTTATTGACATCCATGCTCACTCGACTTTAAATAATAGCTTCATGTATGGTAATTTGTATGACGACGAGCAGAGATTGGAAAGGCAAATGGTCTTTCCAAGACTTCTATTCAACAATGCTGGAGATTTCTCGCTGTCAAACACGTCACTAAATCGCGATGCCGCGAAGGCGGGGACTGGGCGCCGGTATCTGGGAAACAGCCTTAATACGGCTGCTCACTGCTATACTCTGGAAGTTTCGTTTGCTGGCTACGTCACCGGATATGGTCAGGTGACACGACCATACACAGATGACATGTATCACAGACTCGGAAGGCAGGTGGCGAAGACCTTTTTTGACTTTTACAAATTGAATCCATCGGTTTTGAACGCGTGTTTGAACAGTTCCTGCGAGGAAAAGTCCACGAAACACGTTATGGAAGACAAGTGTAAATTTTTCTCGTCGGAGGATAAAGAAGAGGGGAGTGGGAATGAGTCGAATGATTTACACGAACAACAGCGAAACTCGGATTCTTCAATCGATTCACGCATATCTGCTTCGTTTAGATTAACGCATCGAGAAACGAAGTGAAGATCGAGGTCTTTGCGACGCGCGCGCAGGGATATAAACTTTTTATGAAGATTTAAACTTTTAAAAGTGATTATTTATGTATATTTAAAAGAGTATTTAGCTATTTGAAATATATTTACTATTTTATATAATTTTATTTCATGTACACGATCGCCCAAAGAATGTATAGGAAACGGAATAGGATTTGCTCAAGAAGTGCCATGGAACATGACTTAGCGAGCGTCTCAAAACTCAAAGCCCCATTTGTTCTGTTGACTTGAGAATCCCTCTGTTAGGCCTGTTTCTAACGTCGCATTTTACATGAGTCGAGTACATTTAAAACAAAAGATAATGAGTAATTTTATATCATTTCTTTTGTTTTAAATGCATTCGGCTCATGTAAAATGCGATGTTTGAAGCGGGCCCAAAAATAAAATGTAGCCAACGGAAAGCAAATTGTGATAATGGACACGAGAATCCAACAAGTAGCGTCAAAAGCCACAGTCAAACGATGGCACACGTCAACATTATGTAGAAAAAAATCAGATTTCGTCCTAACTCTTTATATCTCACCGCAGCCATACGGCAACAATCAAGAAACTGTCTCAATTATTGAGATTTCTCATTGAATCAACTGCAGTTTTATAATTTGACAAAAAATAGAAACATTCAGGCTGGTAGGTGAACTTTTCCTAAGTCTTCACGTCAATCGTCTTCGATTTTATGAACTCAAAAGGATAAGTCAAGATGGTCTTTTTAAGACGAATAAAAACAGTGCTGTAGAACTAAATTTATCAGAGGGGGGTTCTCTTGACGAAGCTGAAGCCATGAAATTATGAAAAATTACCCATTTCAAAGGTAGAAGGGGTCTCCTCCCCCAAGCCCCCACTTCTACAGCACTGGATAAAACCATACATATAAAGGAGGGTTTTACAAAAAGACAATATACACACAATACATGCTTTCATTTCCACAATTTTAATACAACAACTATGTCGTCATAAATATCTATAAAGCTGAGCTTTCCTAAGCTTCGTCAGCAGTCCAAAAAACTTCACAAATTCGCACACACTTGGGAAACAGATCCGGATTCGACTGTTATTTTACGGAAGGTGGGGGAGGTCATAGCTATTGTCTATTTCATTTAGTCTTAACTACACATCACATATGTCGTCACATATGACGTAACATATGACGTGACACATGACGTAGAAACGAGTGGCAAGAACATTTTATAAGAATCGGCATCGGCCTAGCGTGGAGTGTTGATCACATCTCTTGCTTAAGAAACTGTTTTAAACACAATTGGTGGAAAGGAAGGGGGGAGGGGTGAGGAATTTGCGTGTCACCATAGATTACGTCATAGATCCATACTTCTCGTGTGTATCAGGTTTGTATGCAATGTTGAAGAAGTTTGCCCCTGCATACGTCACATCCGTTTGAGATTTCGCATAAATTATACTACTTCACCGAAAATTAATGGCACTTTGTTATTTCAATTCTCAAATACCTAATTTGAGAAGATTTTGTGGAACGAATTATTCACAGCCGAGGTGTATCTTTAATATAGTTGCTTGCATTTTGTGTCTAAGTTCATTCAGCCAAAAATCATAAAAATTCCATAAAAGATGATACAAAACGGAATTGAAAGCAGTTCTCTGGAGCTTGTACGAAGCAGCGTTTCTTGGGAAAGAATTTTTTCAACATTGCATACACCCGTACGCAGGTTATCATTGCCTGAAATAAAAATGTTCCTAGGTGCACGGACTTTAGCAATAAGTAAAACGGAGAGATTTTCAAATCGAACTAAAACACCCAAATCACCTTCCGTTCAACAGTCGAACCAGGAATTTCCAATAACTTAACCGTAAAAAATTCTAAGCGAACGAAGTTCCCGAGTTCTTGTCAGTACATTCAATAAATAACAACGCTACTACATGGTTTCGTCCGAACAGGACTCGTCAAAATTCAGCAATAGTACGACGAAAATCTTGTTTGTTGTTGCACAAACAGTCGTTAAGGGAAAAGCACCTTTCTACTTCAAACGTAGTCGAAATATTATCTTTTAACAGTGAATTACACTGATGTCATAAAAAAACATGGTCGGTTTCTTGTAACTTATGAAGTAGAGAAAGGTACCAAATCAAAAAAATCTTTCATAAATTTGCTTACCACCAAATGTAAAATACCCCAACCCGCGAATTGATCTCACCTTTAAAAGCAGGAGTGATTTGCCCGCATAATGACAGCGGTCGTCTTACATCAACATGACTGTTACTTGATGTAACCCTTCGCGAAATGCATCGCGAGTTACACGAAGAAACAAGAAAATAACACCTCAGTTTTTTATGATAGTCTGTTTGCACTCGCTCACTTTACAATGAATACGGAGTTCGGAAATCGACGAGAAATTTGTAGAGCAATCAAGACATTCAAAATTCCTGTCCGCCCACGCAACGCAGCAGTTGGACCGGATGTGAAGATGAACGTGGAAACGATCTGCGAACTCGTTGCCGCATTCGGCACAGAGATATTTAGCCTTACTTCGATGCATCTCTGACACGTGTTCATCCAGGTCACTTCTCACCTCGAAACCCAGCCCGCATACCGGGCAGAAGCTTTTCACCAACTCCGGGTGGTTGCAGGCAACGTGCTCTTGGAAATCATGTCGCGTGGTGAAACCCATACGACAGGACTCGCATTTAAAACGCACGCGATGCAAATGGTAGACATTGAAATGTTTCTGCGCGTCGATCTCTTTCTCGAAGACGATGTTGCAATGACGACATTTGAATGTTTCCCCGGCCGCGTCCTTCCTGGAGATCTGGTACGAGTGGAGCGCCGAGGCATGTTTCTTCAAATGATCAACGTTTTGGAAAGTGATGTCACATTTCTGACACTTGGGGATGACGTCATTAGTGCATGAATCTGTCGGATGGAAATGCATGAGGCAGAAATGTTGAAAAATTTCTACATAATTTTTGGCCGTAATGGAGCATAGTGAACAGTTGTATACATTGACAAGTCCGTGGTCTGCTTGAAGATGGGATGTAAGATTATCCTTTGATACAGTCTTGAAACAAAATATACATGTGTCTATGTTCATACTCTCACAGTCATGTTCTGTAGTTTTCCTTTCGTTCTCTACGGCAGTGGTATCGCTATTAATCCTATCATATCCATGCTTGTCATTACTTGTTTCCCCATTCTCCTTCACTGATTGTACGTCTGCTGTAACGTGATTAACCGCTGACTCGTGTTTCGCATCGTTCCCGTTAATTGGCCAATCGTGACTTGCGCTACTAACCGCATGAATGCCATTGGTCAAAGGCTTTGACAAATCAGAGTTCACCGCGTGGTTAGAGAGAACACCATTGGTTAGCGATTTTCCCGCGCATTTTTTAATCTCTTCAGACTTTCCATTTTTGTCAGACACAAATACAATTTCTAAGCCTGAAGTGTTTTCCTCATTAAGTCCATGTTCCCCATTGTTCCCCGATAAACCTTTACCTACATTACCATTAATCATTTGGGAACCCTCATTGCTCTCACAACTCCCGCTATCACTGCATGCTTCTTCTCTTAAGCCGTCAGGAAGCTCTTTGGTTAGCTCGTCTCCGCGATGCTCCCGTAATATGTGCCAGCGGAGATGATAGTAATCGGTGGTCGTGACGTTGCATATGGGACACGTGGATAACACGTTCTCGGGGGAATTACGCGAGAGAAAATCTTTACCGTGATATTGAGCGATGTGCTGATGTAATTCAGTAAGGCATTTACATTGACATACAGGGCAGCGTCCGCTTTTCATTTCTTCTGTATGAACAGTCTTTATGTGCAAGGACAAAATATCCTTGTTATCGCAGGGAGCCGAGCAGTAGAAACAGCGTAAAGTTTTGTCGTGCATGTCTGAAATATGAAAATCCAAAATGGCTTTATTACTGAAAGACAATCCACAAACGGGGCAAAACACTTTCGAAGAACAGCCTTCAACGTTCTTCGAGATATCAGCAGTTGACTCCGTGTTTACAGCCGGAACATTTTGCCCAAACTCTGTCACTCCATTATCAACTTCCTTGCCGTCATTTCCATATACTAAAGTAGACAAAGAGCTGAGATCTTTCTGTGTAGGTTTAACAGCAGCCACAGGCAGGGAATCATTAGTACCAAGAGGGTTAACATTGTTCGCCTGGGGATAATGAGTGGCTTTCACAGGCAACGGTGTGTTTGTCACAACAATTTTTCCATTCACCTAAAATAGAAAGTTACGTGAAAACACAACGCACTAAGGAAAGAGATACGACTAAAACTATTTTAGAAAATGCACTGTCATTTTAAGAGTGCTCTTCAATGTTAAATACGATTTCAACAGCAAAATATTCGTTTTACAAGCCCTATAAATAATCAATCAAAATGCGCGTGGACTGGTACCCACACGACATATCAACCCATTGAACTAAAATACATGGAACGCTACCTTCAGCAGATAACTGGAGCCAAATCTTACAACAGACACGCGAGATTTTACCCCAGACACGCGTGTGTAGTGTTTCGAGATTCTCTCGCGGAGTAATAATTGATTGACTACACACGCATGTCTGGGGTAAAATCTCAAGTGTCTAGGGTAAAATCGCGGCTTCAAAAAATTAATAGGTTTTGTATTACAGGTAGCGTTCCATGTATTTTAGTTGAATGGAAGGAGTATTTTAGAAACAAAACAATGGCTTCTTGTGTTCAAGGGGGTGGGGTGGGGAGGGTGATTTGTGCCATAGTTGACTATCGATGCAGTTCAATGATCGACCCTTCAAAAACCTTTCCCAATGTAATGTTTCAACCATACACAGAGGAGGAAATGACTTTTCACCTCGGCAACATTGATGATGCCATTTCCTGTTGAGGGACATGGTTTCTTCCCAGGTGATCCATCTTCATAATGATGACCTGAATTGACTCTTTTTAGACTTTGGACTACATCACTTTCGCTACTAGTACGTCTGTTTTCAACAGGAGTGGGGCTCAGCTCTGGACTTCCACCTTCACCGTCTATGTCGTCTAGAGGAAGCGCTGAAGGCTGTGTGAATGGTCGCCATGTTGAATTTTGACGCCGGCTGTCTTTTTAAAACAATAGAAAAACATTTTGAAATTACATGTTACAGGTAGTATAGACTGTTCTCGTTCTCTATTGTTCATTCATCACTACATACACTGACACACGTTATCTTATTTCCTATATATTTTAGATAGTGTAAAGACTGTTCTCGTTCTCTGTTGTTCATTCATCACTACCTACACTGACATACGTTATCTTATTTCTTATATATTTTAGTTTAGTAAAGATTGTTCTTGTTCTCTGCTGTTCATTCATTACTACCTACACTGACATACGTTGTCTTATTTCTTATATATTTTAGTTTAGTAGAGATTGTTCTTGTTCTTTGTTGTTCATTCATTACTACCTACACTGACATACGTTATCTTATTTCTTATATATTTTAGATAGTGTAAAGACTGTTCTCGTTCTCAGTTGTTCATTCATCACTACCTACACTGACATACGTTATCTTATTTCTTATATATTTTAGATAGTGTAAAGACTGTTCTCGTTCTCTGTTGTTCATTCATCACTACCTACACTGACAAACGTTATCTTATTTCTTATATATTTTAGTTAGTGTAAAGACTGTTCTCCGTTCTCTGTTGTTCATTCATCACTACCTACACTGACACACGTTATCTTATTTCTCATATATTTTACATAGTGTAAAGACTGTTCTTGTTCTCTGTTGTTCATTCATCACTACCTACACTGACACACGTTATCTTATTTCTTATATATTTTAGATAGTGTAAAGACTGTTCTTGTTCTCTGTTGTTCATTCATCACTACCTACACTGACACACGTTATCTTATTTCTTATATATTTTAGATAGTGTAAAGACTGTTCTTGTTCTCTGTTGTTCATTCATCACTACCTACACTGACACACGTTATCTTATTTTATACACTAACCTTGACCATGAACTTGTACAATATGTTCTTCCAAGATCTTTATCTCAGGAAACGCTTGCCAACATTGCCAACACATATACCCCTCATCCTCCTGAAGACGAAAGCCTTTGTGCCTGTTTCGTAGGTGAGTACGAAGTTTACGTTTTTGATTATAAAATCTTCCACACAGTTCGCATGTATATCCTTCTTCTTTCTTTTCAGCATGGTAACTGGATGGAGAAATATTAGATTACTAGAGAAAGATGTCTGTATTACAGTGATGCCTGTATTATAGAGGCAGATGTCTGTATTAGGGCAGATGTCTGTATTAGGGCAGATGTCTGTATTAGGGCAGATGTCTGTATTAGAGGGAGATGTCTGTATTAGAGGGAGATATCTGTATTAAAGAGAGATGTCTGTATTAGAGAGAGATGTCTGTATTAGGGGAGATGTCTGTATTAGGAGAGATGTCTGTATTGGGGGGAGATGTCTGTATTGGGGAGATGTCTGTATTGGGGAGATGTCTGTATTAGAGAGAGATGTCTGTATTAGAGAGAGATGTCTGTATTAGAGAGAGATGTCTGTATTATAGAGGCAGATGTCTGTATTAGGGCAGATGTCTGTATTAGGGCAGATGTCTGTATTAGAGAGAGATGTCTGTATTATAGAGGCAGATGTCTGTATTAGGCAGATGTCTGTATTAGGGGCAGATGTCTGTATTGGGGAGATGTCTGTATTAGAGAGAGATGTCTGTATAGAGAGAGATGTCTGTATTAGAGGCAGATGTCTGTATTAGAGGCAGATGTCTGTATTGGGGAGATGTCTGTATTAGAGAGAGATGTCTGTATTGGGGAGATGTCTGTATTAGAGAGAGATGTTTGTATTAGAGAGAGATGTCTGTATTAGAGGCAGATGTCTGTATTAGAGGCAGATGTCTGTATTGGGGAGATGTCTGTATTAGAGAGAGATGTTTGTATTAGAGAGAGATGTCTGTATTAGAGGCAGATGTCTGTATTAGAGGCAGATGTCTGTATTGGGGAGATGTCTGTATTAGAGAGAGATGTTTGTATTAGAGAGAGATGTCTGTATTAGAGGCAGACGTCTGTATTAGAGAGAGATGTCTGTATGAGAGGGAGACGTCTGTATTGGAGAAAGATGCTGGTATGTATTTGACAAAGATGTCTGTGTCAGAGAGAGATGTCTGTATTAGAGGCAGATGTCTGTATTGGGGGGAGATGTCTTTATTAGAGAGAGATGTCTGTATTAGAGGCAGAGGTCTGTATTAAAGAGAGATGTCTGTATGAGAGGGAGATGTCTGTATTGGAGAAAGATGCTGGTATGTATTTGAGAAAGATGTCTGTGTTAGAGAGATCTCTTTATTACAGAGTGGTGTCTGTAATAAAGAGAGAGTTGTGTGTATTACAGTGAGATGTCTTTGCTAGAGAAAATGTCAGCATTAAAGAAACCTTTCAGTATTACAGAAAGAGATGTCTGCATTGGACAGTGGTGTCTGCATTTCAAAGAGAGACGTCCATTTTAGAGAGAGAGGTAGGTCTCCATGAAAGAAAGGTGTGTATTAAAGAGAAAGATGTCTGTATCATTGAAGAAAAATATGATTCTCCATGTTAGTGAGATACAAAAAAATATCTGTTGTGTCACAAACCTTGTTTGATAAACCCTGCATGTGTGTCCTCTTGGTACTGAACATTTACAGAGTGAACACCAAATGCTTCCGGTTCTTTGAAACCACGGGTTGCTGTGGCGAGAGAAAGAACATCAACAACTTTCAACTCGCTGTTCACAACTACATGATCTGGGTTTGCCTTTCCGTTCTCTCTCTCTGAAATGGGAAGATCTTCATAGAAAACCAAAGAAATGGTGAAATCTAGTCATTGCAGGAAAGGAGCTTAAGTACGGCAAGCCAAGTATAAGTAACCATTTTTATGTTTGTATTCTGTGTAGACCATGCAAAATCAAAAATAACTACATCCAGCATATGGAAACAGTTTACATTGTGATTTTTGAACTTTCACAATAAAAGACAGAAGTCCATAGGGTAAATGGTAAGGGCATAGAAAAGTTTTAGTGCTAGGGGGGGGAGGAAACAATCTTAAAAAATAGACGGCCTGTTATGTTTATGAGTGTATTTTACAGAAAATGACAAAATTTTAACCAGAACAAGTTTTTCATTCTTTATTATTTCCTGGACAGAACGTTTTATACACCCCCCTGCCATTATGCACCCCTGGTGTTGTAGACAGAAAAAATCACGGTGGGAGGGGGGAGGGGTAATGTTTGCTCACATGTAATCTAACCTAGATTGTGTTTTTAATGAATGAATGAATAAAAATATCAATCGAACCTTGATTTATCACAGAATGCGGTTCATCCACATCAATTTCCCGTGGATCTCGTACAAACCGGACTGGTTTCGCCTTTTCTCCACCAACATTTGTCGCAACATGTATACCATGACACATCAAATGAAGGGTCAACTCTCTTTTTGTGAGGAATGCGACAGAGCAAAGGTCACATATGAATGGAGGGGACGCCATGGTATCACAGAGCTGGATATTGGCTTGGTTCATGGTTGTGTGGTGTTTGATTTGTGCAGGAATTTGGTCCTGGAACCTTGTCATTTGTAGAGTTTTAGCTTGATTGTGTTCTCCAACAATTTTCATGTTTGAAAATGTTTTGTCGTCACTAGAAGCATCAAAATCGAGTAAATAATTTTTGAAATTCTTTTCTTGGATATATACCTTAATCCACATGAAAGAATTCAAGATTTAAGATTAGCAACTGCGACTATTTGAAAACTCCATAACTATTCAAGCTAGTTTGGGATCAAATTTCGCCGTACCTGTGATTTTGTGTATTTTGCGAATCATCTGGCACCTAAATGGAAAAATATCATATTTAACGCATCGAGCCAATCTTGCAAAATCTCGTCCCTTTGCGCTTCTAATTGAAACTGACTTTTATAATTCTCGTTTCTTTTAATCTTTGCTGACTTTAAGTCTACTGACGTATTATAGAATGTAAACAAGAAATTGCTTTGGTATTAACGACATTGCTTCAGGGAAGATGTGATCAACTCAAGCTTGTGTTTATTGGGATATTAATTCAACTCGCTGTGTGGTTCCTTTCTCAATAAGGAAAGCAATCGGGATTTTTCAACTTTCTTATTGTAATAATTTACAATATAGGCACGGTGCCAGCTAACTTCGAACCATTTGAGCCAAAAAATTTTGACCGTCCGCAAAGATTTGCCTACCATATTAACGGTTTAAAAAGAAGCTGTTGACATCCATCCTCAACTGCCATTAGGCATTGCCGGCATGTTTTTATTTCTAACGATATTTATTTGTTATACTGTCGTCATACACACAGACAAACTTGGAGACAAACAGCACTTTCATACAAAGCATTCGGGTTTCATATTTTCAATTGCAAGCATCCGAATACCGAAAACGTAAACATATTTTATACGAGTCCACTAGCGCTTTGTGTTATTCGAGTATACCTGACCGTCGAACTGAAGAGCCCTCATCGATCATTGAACGCTTTTAAAAACGCAACCATTCGTCCAGACGATGGACACGGGAAATTGCCATTTCATTTCCAATAAAACGCCAAAGCTGTGACCGGATTCATTGAATAAAACGTAATTTTTGTTTATAAAGCGTTTCATCGCGCTTCTCTTCGGTTTTACCTTGCCCACGCGTCACAGTAGACTAGCATTATGAATAATGGAAACAAAATACCTGTATCGAAGATGGTTCGACATCTACGTTTGACGATATCTTTGATATAATAGAGTGAAGGTTCCTTCGTCTGAAAGAAGGAAATATGAAGGAAAATGAACCCGGTGTCTCTTCTCAGAATCAAATGTTTGATTTATTAGGGTGGTTTCTCTCCACTACGGCGTTAAAACGTTGCCGCTTTAAGAATTTTTGGCTCCCTCAACTCTGTATTAACGGGTCACACGGGGATGTTCATGTAATTCGAAGCTTACCTCTCTCGCATAGTTTGATAGGATTTCCAAAGCTTAACTTTAAAAGCTACACCCTGCGCTTTTGGAATTCAAAACAACGCAATTACAGGCAGTTTTCGCGCTTAACCTCCCTTGCGAAAGCGAATGCAAACGCGAAGATACTACCGCCTGTATTCTAGCGAGATAAGCCCAGACGATTAGGCATTCTTGTTCAATTCAATTGTGTTTGTAATAAAAGAGAGACCGCTTTCAAAAAGCCTTTGTTTATATGCATAAATACATATGACGTCCGAGAGAAATGCAGCCTACAACAATAGATATTCGTTAATCATGCATGGCGCCCCATCATTTATTCTTGACAGACTTAAGGGGAAGAACGCCGTTTTCAAACCTTAAAAGGCATTTCCAGCAAATTTAAACATAAAATCGACTCCATTTTTTGCTGTTTGCATGCCCCAGCGTGTTACGCTTAGAATTTCTATGAATTTTTACAGCTTAGGGGTCGAAAACGGGATTTTCCGACCTGTCAGAAGATTAATAATATAGACCGAAGATTCTTTTGTCAGCTTTATTTTCAAATGCAAATATTTTTTGTGAGTGAAATATAAAAAACTATTAGACTGGAACAAATTGTCGTTTAAAACGACAACACAACTGTGATCTATGTCAACAACATCAGCATTTTTTTGTTTCATAAAATCACTTTGTTTCATCTCATTTTAATCATTCGACGCTACAATTCATTAACAGCTTAAGTGAAAATCGCAAGGAAAACTTAAAATTTTTAGCATTCCAACAATCCTTTGTTCATATTTGGCAACTGATATTTACATTCAATCGTTCGAAGAAGACTTTGCTCCCTAAGAAACGAAAAAAGGCATGCAAGAAAAGGACGGGTGGAGGGAAACGTGAAGCTATAAACATTTTTAAAAAAATGAGACCAATTGGTCAATTACAGATAGTTTTCCAAACGAAAACAATTTTTGAAATTTTCTAAGTCGAAAGTATCTATAAAATTTTATCATTAATAAGGCTTCGTGAAATCGCAAGACGTAAAGCTTTCAACTAAAATGGCAATCAGCTCAACCCCAACTCTTTACATCGAAATCAGCCTCAGAAGTTCCGAGAAGTCCTTATAAGTCAACATAAGACATTAAATATGCTATTATATTTATTGATTAATCAACATAATTTATATTAATCAATGCTGTCCATCCATTTAACGTCAGTCGATTCATCATTTCTTCAATCGCACGTTCAACATTTCATCATTGCTATACTTTATTAAATCCACAAATAACTCCTCGCTATATTCAAACAAATTTTCCATCACTGCAACGACCTTTAATCTCGTAAACCCGACGCTACACATCAAAGCCAAAATAACTCAAGGCCAAAAACGTCAGATAGAGCAAGAAAACAGATCCAATTATTATCCAGACGATTCCAAACTCTTCTATAAATAAAATAATACCTTTGTCAGCGCTTAAGTAACTCTCAAGTAAAGTGATAGCGTATTGATAATGTCTAGCGCTAGGCAAAATAAACCATTGCAGCACAATTTTCAATAGAAAATGCTTTCAAAAGATGCTTTTTTGTTTCTATTTTTATGTAAACACGGGCAAGAATAAACACTTGTGTGTTATGTAATTCTTGCCCAACTCTATATTCGCCACTGTAGGTCATGCGGATATGGTATAATCTCATCAGGTATCTTTGAGAAGACTTTGCTAATCTTTCTAAAATAAGCTAATATTTAAGGAAGAAAAACCGCGAATACCTTTGAAAACAAACGCGACTATTTTTAATTGTTAAATCCATTACCAACAAAAACTTTAAAAAAAAAAGGTCGAAAAACACTTCGACGATCAAAGAGAACTCGAGTGGAATCAAAATTCCACCAATCAAATATTAAATACCTCAGATTTCGAGTTCATACAACTGTACAAGACATCTTTGATAGTGAAAAGTGTCTCTCACAATATTCAAGGGGAAAATCGATGACAAGCTTGAGAAAATGTCGTATATAAATAGTTTACCCCGGGCAATTATTCAAAATCTTTCGAAATTGGCTTTTTAGCACTTGTAATCAAACTTATACTGCTTATTTTGATACGCAAAAGTGCAAACAAATACAGTGGATATGACTCCATGCAAAAGCGACGCGTGCATGATTTACCCTGCAGATGCTTTACTCTAAACCGGAAAACCATAGCAGTTCAATAAAGGAGAAGAGCTGACAGTTTTTCCAATGACGACACAACGATAAATATAATTTTTCAACATTCCGCTTCGAGTGCACCCGAGGCTATGTTAACAGTTAACCGGATGGCCATTGCAGCGCCATTAAACCTCGGCAAACAACTATCTTAAAAGGGTTCGGAGTGTTTGTCAAAATAAATTTAAGTAGATTTCAAACACCTTTATCATAAGAAAACCTCGCAAATTCCAAGTGGTTTAAAGGCATTTTAAATGGCAAATACGACAAAGAATGTTTTCGAGATTTTCCTCGTAAACTGAAGCCAACTTTAAACGTTAGAAGGCCTAAAACAAAAAGAATGATAGCATAATGCTATCAACCACAAACAATAACGACCTTATCTATACCAAACAACTACAAGCAATAACGACCTTATCTAACAACATTTGAGAAATTAACCTTCCACTTCTCTTCCTTGTAAACGAGACAAGTCTATTCAAAAGCAGAGAGCCTTATACGCTACAAGTCCCGGGCTTGTGACCGGTATAGCAGAGTAACAAGCTTGTAACATGCTTGTAACAATCTATGTTTAACATCGATATTAGATTCATTCTTTTCCAGTGGAAAGCGGGATGCTTTCACTGAAGGGCAATGATGTATTGTCTAACATTAACACCGCATTATGTTACTGATATTTAATATGGAATTCGAGATTTGTCCATATGAACTGTTTAACATGCTTCCAAACAAAAATGAGCAGGAATATTCAGTTGTTTGATCTATGATAAACCTTTCACCTTTTAACTCTTCTATACCGGTCACAAGCCCGGGACTTGTAGCGTATAAGGCTCGCTGCTTTTGAGTAGACTTGTCTCGTTTACAAGGAAGGTTAATTTCTCAAATGTTCTTAGAGAAGGCATAAATAATGCACTTATTCGTTGAGCTACCCGCATACATCCACTTCATGTAAGGAGGAATGAGCACGACTTACTTCTGTTGTCAAGGGTGACGAGTTTACACGAGTTATCAGCTGATATCGTGAGCAATCCAAACTCCTTCCCGGCATTCTCCAGCGCTGGTGACGGTGGAAGAAATGAAAGGCCAGTTACAAAGATATTATGAACTCGCTGAATGGATACTAAAGGCTAAAGAAGGATAACAAATGATACAATAGCACGAGACTCCTGAGTTCTAGTCTTTGTATATTATAAGCAGTCAACTCGTATGCAATAAATGATGATTTAAAAGTTTTACCGTTAAATTCCATGCTATATAAACGGCAATGGAACCGGATGCAGTTCCTACGGCAACGTAGCGACCTTGATCACTAAAAATTACATGAAGTACACGATTTAACTCCCGTGTGAAAATACCCTCGGGTAAACCCCGGAAGTATGACCCCATGAGATAGGTCTCGGGTAGATACGGAGCCTGATATTGGAGATGCACACCATTTCTGTGACTGTTTGTGGTCAATCTCTGCGGACAACATGACTATAGTTGGTTTACGATTAATTGGACCTACTGTACGGTTCAAATGTATGAAAAAATTCTCGAACAAAATGTGAAGGAATTGTCAGACATTGGACTTGCTTTCAACTGACGTTTCATGGTACAGTGATCTCGTTTGAAATCTACTAAAGGACCGTTGTTAACCTTTTGAAAAGTTGAAAAACCAAAAAAATAATTTCAGACCATGATCGATCTCCTGAGATCGTCACCATGCATCCACAGGTACCGTACAAACCAAACAAAGGGTCTGGGCACGACGTTGGAAAAACAAAGGGTCTGGGTGCGAGGTTGAAAAACAAAGGGTCTGGGTGCAAGATTGAAAAAACAAAGGGTCTGGGTGTGAGGTTGAAAAACAAAGGGTCTGGGTGCGAGGTTGACAAAACAAAGGGTCTGGGTGCGAGGTTGGAAAAACAAAGGATCCGTGCACAAAGTTGGAAGCAAAAAGGGTCTGGGTACGAGGTCGGAATACAAACCTTACGGCCATCTGTGTTAACGGTTCACGTCCAGCGTCACGACTCAATTGTGGAATCCATTTTGAACAATCCCAGCGGACGATGAATGAGGGCAGCGGTTTTTGACGATCAAATTTCGCAGGCACTTGAATGGTGTATAAGAATGTCTCTCCTTTCTCATTTGTAAGAAATCTGACAATAAAAGAATGCACATCTTAGGCCTTGGACCCAGACCTCGTTTAAGGACATGATTCTGGGGGAGTTTTAAAGTCATGCATCAAGTGTTAGATACACGGAAGGTTTGGTTGAACTAAATAGGTATGCATTACAGAAAAGTTCATTTTAAAGTTCAAACGAAATCTCGAAAATCATTGACATGGTCAGGAAAATGGGAAAAGCCAATACTTCATGAGTTCTGAGTATTGCGCATTTGAACAGTAGATAGCACTAAAGCCATTTTTCTCTGCATTCAAAAATTGCTTGTATGGGTTTTCATCAGCATGAATGAACTAAATTGAGCTCGTTTAGCAAGCCCAGAATAGCAAAAACGCCAAATCATAATAATGTCTAGATACATCTCGAAAGCCTGGGCCTTTAGGCTCAAGCCTGCTTAGCCTACCGGATAATCTGCACCTGATTCTATTGATGATGAGACGGTATGTGAAGCAATAAAACTCCTGGATTTTAGTCATTCACAAGGGAGGGAGGTTGTTGATTGGACGAGCCAGAAGACGGCTGAGATGGGGAAGCCTCCCAGGTCTATGAATCAAAGAGATCCAGCCTTTGGCAAAAAATGACATAAAGGCCTGTTAAAAAATGTCAATGAAAAGAAACCTGCAAGCTCTAATTCTAAAGCTATCTTCATTTTCATCTTCGTTAGGTCCGCTATAAAACAGCTCAAATTCACGCTTCCCTTCTTCAAGTTTCCAGACAAATGCCTTGGTATCTCTCGAGACTGTCACAAACTACACGATGAATAAATAAGCATTAAGTACAGACAATGGCGGAGTTTCTGAAGGGGGAGGGGTGCGTAGTATCTGTAATAAAAAATACCAAAAAAAACTATGGAAAAATTTCTTAAAATTCAAACAGAAGCACTCGACTTTTTGAATCATTCAAGACGAAAACAACGAAACGAAACATTTTCAGAAATCTTTATATAATAAAATATGTTTCAAAGAATACATAAAATAATGCGAAAAGGATTTTGAAAATGGTCAAAATCTTGCACGCTTCCTTTTTATGATATTACCATTTGCGTTCAAATGGTAAGTGTCCAGAATTTTTCGCGTTTGTTTACGTTTCAAACGTCACGTTTGTCAAACGAAACGTCGGGTTTCAACTGGTAAACGTTACGTTTGTTCAAATCGCGGATTTTAAAGTTTGTAACAGCTCTTTCTTGTATTATATGGTCAATTATCAAACTTTGCAAATCGCCTAAGGTATACAGATGTAATTTTCAGTTGCTACAGTATTTTCTCATTGTAAAATCGTATAAGCATGTTAATCACATGACTAAAACCTGTTCAAATTGCTCCTCAAACGTTAAACATTCCTGAGCAAACGTTACGGATCGTGAATAAAACACCATGCGAGTATATACGAGTACATACAAGTACATACGACTGACATATGAGTACATAGGGTTAGGGTTAGGGTTATGGTTAGGGTTAGGGTTATATATATATATATATACTTGTGACCAATATGCAGTCGTATGTTACTCGTATGTACTCGTATGTTACTCGTATGTACTCGTATGTTACTCGTATGTACTCGTATGTACTCGTGTGGTGTTTTAGTCACGATCAACGTTACGTTTCTAATTTGAAACGGGACTTTTCGTTTGACAAACGTGACTTTTGAAACGTAAACAAACGCGAAAAATTCGCGACAGTTACCAGTTGAAGGCAAATGGTAATATACTTTGCAAGAAATGTAACACTTACTCTTTTGCCGTTTGGATGGATGTCCAAATCATCAACGTCTGTTTCATGAGCTTTGAATTCGTGAACGCAACTCAATTCAGGATACTATAAATTCATTCAATAAGTATAACTAAGTAGACGTCAATTAAAATATACGAGACCTTAATAAGGTCTAAATATATATATAATGTATTAATCCTAACACGGTTTTAATATGCACATGAAAAACATGTGACTTGGACGAGATTTGAACTCACACCTTCGGGATACTAGTCCGCCGCTCTACCTGTTGAGCTACCAAGCCCACAGGGATTGGAGACGTGTCAAATCTCTTTTAAACTGCGTATGGACGAGAGATTCTCGCCACTAGAGCAGTTTACTGGATGGCACCGTGTTTCGACTTTATTTCAAAGCCATCATCACAGAATAGTCGTCATAGTTATGTCAAAACAGACGAGACGTGTTAAACGTCACAACATACGTCACAATAAACGAGAATTCCTCCGTTAAACGTCACAACATACGTCACAATAAACGAGAATTCCTCCGTTAAACGTCACAACATACGTCACAATAAACGAGAATTCCTCCGTTAAACGTCACAACATATGTCACAATATGCAAGACATTCTACGTTTAAGGCCACAACATATGTCAAAATATACGAGGCTTTCAACCAAAATCCACCAAATTGCAAAAATCGGCAATCTTTGATCGCAACGAGTTGAACGTCAGGGTCCGGTTGTTCGAAGCCTGGATAGCGTTATCCATTGGATAGCAATTTCTTTAAACTCTTATAAAACGTTTTAAAAAGCAAAAAATATAAGATTCCAACTGAGCAATCACTAAAATGAAATATTGTTTCGAAGATTACGAAATTTCTTTGTGGTAAGACAAATATAAACACCTTTTTAACAAGTTTGAAAATATTTGCTATCCAATGGATAACGCTGTCCAGGCTTCCTGCAACCGGCTCCAGACCTCCAAACACAAATCTGTGTATTTAAATAATTGTATCCACTTTAAGGACGAGTCGCCACTGAGTTTGACTGACCTACCTAAATTTGCGTTAGAATTTTTGTATACTTTTTTGTCTGCCTTTGTATTTACTTTAATGTGAATATATTATGTCGACTTCCATTCGTTGCTTTTGTGTGTTCTTTGTGTCTCGACCAATGACAATGTAAAAAATAAGTTTACTATTTTGTCTGTTTCATCAAAGAATTATCGATGAGTTATGAACGAGTCACTCTAACCTACCTAAATTTGTGTCAGCATTTTTGCCTGCTTTTGTATTTACTTTTGTGTTTACGTATTCTACGTCGATTATTGTTCGTTTTTTTTTGTAATTTCTTTGTGTCCAAATCATGTTAACAAGAAAATTGATAATTGTATCTACTGTATAGATGAGTCATGGACAAGTTATGAACAAGAGATTCTAAACAATCTAAATTAGTGTGGGCATGCTTTTGTCTTGTCAATTACATTGAGTTCTATAATTATCTTCAATTATCGTTTCCACTTTTGATAATAAAATTTCATACGAAAATGGTATTCAATTGAATTGTAAATTAATGCCAAGTGGAAATAACAATTTTATCACCACAACACCTACCTTAAATATACAAACATAACCGTTAGAACCACCGGTGACAATGTGTTCACCATTGTTTGAAAAACGGACAACCTTTTGAAAGTCGCCTTCGTTATCTTTGTCCAAAGATTTGACGGATGTTTCAGAACGAAGTAACGAAACTTCATACTCCGCATCATCGCTTTTATCCTGTTTTGTCTTATCAACAGACGTCTTCAATTTAATGTCAACTGTCAACAAATGACATTCCTCGTCTTTGCCGACTGCCAAACATTTTTCTTTAGGATGTACTGCACTGTTCATGATGGCCTTTCTTTCAGAGTCATGTTCGTGAACTTTCTTTGCTGTGATAGCTTTACTTCCATAGTCCAGTTTGAAAACTTGCTATGAAATATGAAATGTATGAAAATATATTGTGAGAAAATCAGCCTTTAAGGAAGAGTAAAGGGGTCATGGGAACATGGGACTCATAAATTTGGGGGGGGCTGCCACACCCCTGCCAACTGACTTGCAAAGGGGTTGAATACATCTGAAA